CACAGTGGCTAAAACAATAGAAATCTTGTCAGCGCGATAACTTGAGAAATACTTAACATATGAACTTCAAATTTGGTTTGTGGATTGTTCTTGGTAATCCTAAGAAGCCTATTGAATTTGGGGCCAAAAGGTCAAGGGTCAAGTTCACAGTGGCTAAAACAATAGAAATCTTTTTTTTATTCTGAGATTATAGGGATTAGGGATTAATTCATATAAAACCTACAGAAGACACTAATGCTGTCAATGAATGTTCCATGTGACCAAGGTACATGTAAGTTGATGTTAAAAGAGTGGTGTTATGTCATGGGAACAGTCACGGTTGCGGGGCATTTGTGTTTGTAAACACACCTGACTTGTTTTTTTCATGGCTTTCCAGTCATCTTTATTTTTGGTGCTACATATTTTTTGAATATGAACTATATTTGTTGTTGTTTTTTTTTTTGGGGGGGGGGTTGGATTCTGCTTTTTTTTTATACACCCTGTACATGTTCCATAGTTTCTTGTAATAATCATTCAACATTGCAAGAGTGTCAACAAGCTTGAGTTCATGTTTCCTGTTTCACTAGTTGGTGATGAATGACTTTAAAGATTCCAGCTATGGATATGAAACTGAAATATTTTGTGAAGTTTTCAATTAATTACAGGCTATACAAGCAGCATAACAGTAACTAACGTAATGTCAAATCTCCACCTGAACATACTACTTGTACTCTTCTTAAATAAAACTTATTGAATAGCCTTATTTTAAAAAAAAAATCATGGTTTGATATATGATGATTTGAATGGATCTGTTTCCTTCTATAAACCCTGCCTTTAACACCAGTGGTTGATGTCTGTAGGGGAAGAATTAACCACATGCAGTGAGACTCCAAACCATGTGTAAGCTAATCAAGACAATTACCCAAAGAGCACAGACTAACAAGTTCTTGGCATGGTGGCCATTTGATACCTTAACCTTACCCAGTGTTGCCACACACTGCTCCAAGATGGAGCTCACTGATTTCCTAGGATTGGAAGGAAGGTCCAAGTCATGGCCTAAGCCTTGACTCACACTGAGACATGATGACCTTCACTGGTCCACATTTACGTAGGACTGGTGTGAAAATTAATACCGACTGTGTCACTTTGAAACAGTGGGATATGTCTTTAGATTGGTCAACATTTGTAGCTGGGTTTGCAGTTGTCTTGGTCAGGGCAAATTTTGGTGGGTGATTTTGTCCTTGGATTCAGTTAGTCCAAGGGTGAGTAGTATGCAAAGGTGCAAAATGGGTACTTAGTTCTCACTTCTTGCAGTTGGTTTAATAGAAGAAGATGTTTTTAAAATCACATCAGGCCGTGTTCATGTTTTGGATTTGTACAATTGAGTCAGGAAAAGTTTGCAGCGGTTCTATTCATTTTCAAGGTTTTTTAAATAGTGCTCTTTGATAGGTTTATGGGGAATTACCAGTACACTTAACATTCTTGCTCAAAGACACAAGGTGATCATTCATACATGATTTGCTCAGGCACTGATTCTGATTATTTTTATTCTTTGGCACGGTCAGGGGGGGGGGGGGGGTGGGCAGTTGAAAAAGATAATCTTAAAATTGTCCTCCCTGGTTGCATAAATACATTTCTCTCTTTTTAAATCTTTATCAACAAGAGCACTTATCTTTTAGGTGAAGTTAGTTAAAATACTTTTAGTGTAATCCTGCTTCAGAAAATTTTAACTGTGCAATTTGACTCACAGAATTGGAATTTTAGGACTCTAGTGAATGAAATTTCAGAATGTGTGATGAGAACATGCAGTTATGTTGTCTGTGGGTGTAGTAATCCAGTAAGCAGGGGGTTTATATAGCTGAGATCGCTTGGATTCTCTGGGGAATTGAATGATATGATGTATGTAGATCAAGCATGTTTTATATGGGTCACATGTGTATTTTAACATTCCAGTGACTGATATACTTGTTGCCTCATTGCCTCATATTGAAATATCCCTGCCATGAAAGATGGTCTATTTAGTCCCTGTTATACAGTGGCACACCTGGGGTGGGGGGGGGCCTCTGGGGGCTTGAGCCCCCCCCCCCCCCCCCCCCCCCCCCGAGGTTGTCATTTTTTAAATTTTTTTTTTTTTAGTCCCACGATTTTGCCTTGGTGATATGAATGTGGCCTGTTTTCGAGTAGTACAATAGGGGTGTAAGTGGCCCACCAACGTCAAAATAGGCCGCCCCTCAAAAAAAACCAATTTTTTTCTGCGTCCAAAAATTTGGGGCAAAATTTTTTGATAACATTTTTTGTTAAATCTGTAAAAAAAAAATTTGAGCCGCCCCCCCCCCCAACCAAATCCTGGGTGCGCCACTGCTTTTACATATGTACGTAACTGGACAATTCCACACAAAAGTGGACTACCACTATGTACCGGTACTACTACGGTACTACTATCCAGTTTATAGTCTGTCTATTCCTGTACTTGAGGGTTGGACTCCATCCACAGTGATCATGTCTACTTGGGCAGATTGTTTTACTCGGTTCAATGCCAGATTGGCATTGAACCATAGACATTTCAGGTCATTGTTGATGTTGACGATCCATCCTTTCTTTGGACGTCCATATGGATAGAGGTGTCAAATGATCTGGTAGTCAAGAATCTTCCTTGGCCAGCTGTCCTCGTTCATGCACTGGAGGTGACCAAACGGACCTCCTCATCGACAGCAGACAGATCAAGTTGGCGCCTTAGTTCGCCCATAGATTTCCTGTCCAGGAGCATTGCTGAACAAATCCATCTGATCATGGCATTATCGTTGCTGGCATTTACTGTCCCGCTTTCACTCGCATATGAGGGGACACTACGAACACAGGCATTATAGGCATAACCCCTCACATGCTGAGAGATCCCCTTGTTGGTCAGAACTGGCAGCAGTTCAAGGAAGTGCTTTATGGATTTTAGGTACATATATTTAGTCATTCAGGCACCTTGTTTTTACAGGAGTAATGCAAGTGTTTATGTACATTTTCTTGCTTTTAAAGGCGATATACAATATTTGCAAACATCAACAAACAAAGTTACCAAATACACATGAAATACGATCTGAAATACGAAATACAATTGACTGTTAGTGAATAGTAGTCTCAAGCACCCTGCAAAATCATAGCACCTGGTGTGCCGTCAGTGTCATTTTTAAGAAAAGTTGGTTTTGTATCAATTTCCAACAATGTTCGGCTGACCATCGTTGGAAAAAACTGTCTTTCTTCAAAGAATGCCCCTGATTTACCAAATTTAGCTAGTCCACATTTTGTTTGCAATTGTTTACACATCCATTCGTTTACACGTGAACGGGTCCAAGCCAGCTAGACTGGTTCCCTGACCTTACAATTCCCAACGTCTGTAAATTTCTCTGTTTCAATTTAAGTGGGTTGGGTTCAGATAACCAGACTACAAGAACAAGATTTCTTGGTTTTTTCCAGCATCTATGAACACAAAACTTTAAACAGGTCAGTAAAACAACATTCGCTATAAAATACTGACCCCCTAATCCATCCATTTCTGAAATTACAGTAAAAGCAAATGTTGTATATTTCCTTTAAGGCAGAGAGAAAGGTTATATTTTATGGCAAAAGAGTTTTTTGTTTGATTATTGTTTTGTTTTTTTTAACTTGTATTAAAAATGGGCCAACAAACTGTAATTCAAGTAACTGTAAGGCAAGTAACCTTAACCAGCCTTTTTCTTTCTTGTATCTATGCCTAGATTTGGTCTACATTTTTTATCGTCCACATTTATACATATTGGCAGATATCTTGTACAAATAGCCATTGGGTTGTTTCAGTCACACTCTCATAGAAAACAAAGACAATTTTAACACAAAGACAAAGTCTTCTTTTTTGTGTGATTGCGAGTAATAACATATCCATGCCATGCTACAATGAGGGAACATACACTCTTGTTGTTGTCATCAGGGAAGAGCTTTGAATATTGGACATGTTGGGTATGGTTAGGCGAAGTAAAAAAAAAACATGTTTCTCGTCCCCGCCCGCTTCCTTTTTGGAGGCCGCCTGAATTTTTTTAGTATCTGTTATTTTTGAAAAATGCAGTAAAAAAACACCGAAAAAGTCCACAAATTCATCGGAAAATAAATACTGTTCATTGTAGACCAATACAACTCTAAATGACACTGTAAATATGTTCAGTTCTCTTGTCCAACTTGTCTTTCATTTTAAAAGTGTCTTTGAACAGTGGAAACACCAACGGTTGCAGGAAATTTTAAAATGGCGACCATCTTGAAAAAAATAAAAAATAAAAAGCCCCTCTTCCTCCTTTTTTTTCAAAAACCCGGACGAGAAACGTTTTTTTTTTTTATTCGGCCTTAAGTAAAAAAGGAACTACAGTATGTCCCCTAAAAAAGCATGAAGGATTTTACACAGCTAATGTCCAATTAGTATGAAGACCACAGCACTCGGAATGTAAAAGACACAAAAAAGTGTAATGCGAGTAACTGTGGAATTGCCCAGCTTAAGTTTTTGTGCTTGTATAACTCTACCAATACAAAGATATGTATTGACTGTCAAATCACTTGCACTGACGTGTTAAGGCTACTTGCCTTGGCAAACTGTGCATTCCTGCATTCAGCCTTAGACTGTAATACAAAAGTTGGCTGTAGTTGTAACACATATTTGATGTTAAGAACAGTGTCTATGAAATTTTAAAAAAAAGTTTCTAAATTCTAGGCATCATGTTTCCGTGGCATAATGTTTCTTTCAAGAGGTTCTTTGCTTTCTTTTTTCCATAAAAAGAGTAGTCAACTGCATTGGGAAAAAGTATCTGAAGAGGAGAACCTTAACAAATAAAGGGGTGAACATAAATAGAGTCAAAGCCATGGCAACTGAGACATTTAGGTGGTCCCTGGAGCTGCCAGTATATGCAAACATCCAAGACTATTCTTTTGTGCTATTTTAAAGTACATTGAAATATTTTGAAAAAGTTTTTAAAGCACTGTTTCAATTTTTGTTTGTCAAAAAACTTCAGGTCAGATACTACAAAGTCAGTCAGATGGCTCGGATTTACTGGAGTCTCCAACTAGTGTGGAATCCATGACTAGAGAGAAGCTGAGTAGTCCTTCATCTTCAGAGTTATCTTAGTTCTTATGCATCTGTGCAGAGGGCTGACAGAGATGCTGCGTGTGAAGTTTGTAACCTTTCATTCCAGAGCATAGTGCATGCCAAATGAACAGACCTATGTTCTTTAGTTGAGTCGTTAGGGAACTTCTCCTTCTTTAACTGCCATTTCATGGTCATCAGTGGCAGATCTGTTTTGCTATTATCATAAAGTGCCCATGTTTGTTCTTGTTTTTATTAACTGTACAACAAAAGAATGTCTGGTCCACACCTAGCATTTTTAACCAGTCCAGTGTTTTTTACTTTTCTCTTTTTGGGGGGGGGGATTGTTTGGATTTTGAGGGTTTTTTTGTGTTTAATATCATAAAACATCAAGTACAAATTCCTTCTTACAATGTTGAAATTGTCAGACATGAAATTGAGCATGTTCAGTTCATCGAGCATCTCATTTTGTTGTCTTGGTGGGTTTTTTTTTTGGGGGGGGGCTGGACCAAAGGGCCAGCCTTTTTTATTTACTGCACGATGACTGGCTGACAGACTGACTGTGTCACAAGGAATCAATAATATCCTAAAAAGAGACGTTTGCATCCAGCTCAATGAAGCAAGCCTGGTCTTGTGTTTCTGTTGACAATTCTCTGGTTTTATCTCTTGTAAACATGTCGCTTACAAATTTATATAAATGTGTTACATTTTCGAATGGAAATGGAGACTTATTATTATTCCCAGAAAATGTGCGTAACCACACTGGAAGATGTTTTTGATGTTAATTGATGTTTATTTATGTTATAATCCATTTTTCTTAATCTATTAATCGACTATATAAACATACAATAAAAGCCTGTGGTTTAAAAAGGAATGTATATTTACTTGCTACATGTACATGATTATGTTATTGATAAGTGCTTTTGCAAGTCAAAAGTGGGTACATGTATCTGAATAAACAGGCACAATCTTAATAGCACCATATGGTGTTTTGTTCAAACAAGTAAAGTTTGTATCATCCACGTATTAATATGTACTGCTTGTGTAACTTTACCAATAAAGACATGTGTTGCATATTGCATCATGTAATTAGGACAGCAAGCAAAATCATTATAACATTACCTAAAGGTGAAAAAAAAACAAAATATTCTCTGTATCTGTCTTGCCGTATGGTGTGTTCATTTTCCCGTGAGTTTTATTTATCCTGATAGAACTTCAGTCAATATAAGGTTCTGCGCACTTGGAACTTATGTTGCAAATGTGAATCATAGTGTATAACACGAGGCCACGTGCAGGCAGAGCATATGTTTGTCCAGTTTGTGGTTGAAAGTGACCAGACATTAGTTAGATTTCACGGAATGGATAACTTGGGTGTTTTTTCTATTGTTTGTTGGCTTTTTTGGTTTATTTTGTAAGGGACTACAAAAATGACTTAAGGTTTGAGGCTGTGCATGGTGCTGTTAATTCCAAAGCAAGGCAATAATAGGTAGAGCAGTTTTCCGAATGTTCTGGTTTATAACCGGTAAGGCGCCTGGCTGGTCGCAGAAAAGGGCCTTGAGGATGCATTATGTTAAAAATACAATACAAAGACGAAATTTGAAATTGATTGTCCCGATTCATGGGCAACCTTCTCAGCGGTGTTTAGCGGTTTGAGACCACCCATGTGACGGGCTCTAGATAGGTAACTGTCACAGGTGTTTATGAAAATTCATTGAATAATCTTTATCTTCAATAATCTTGAGTTTTGTAAATGTTCAGATTTCGATCAGTGACGCTGGTATAAGAAACATCAAACACACGCCTAAACCAAGATACTGCTGTTAGAGTCAAACAAACTTCCTGCATGCGGTAGTCCCAGCCAGTATACTGTTGCGCTCCCGATGTTTTTGCGCGCAGCGTGATTGGTCAAGAAGTAAGTCGATGACCTTCACGTGACCACACGTCATACGTAGTCCAGCGTTTATTGGAGCATCCACTTAATTAGCCTTACGAGCTTGCCCGCACTCAGATCCTTGTAGCTCGTGCTGGGGTAACCCACCGGACTTGCCGTGCTGTTCCGTGTACTCCATCAGCGTGGTAGATCCACTCCGCTACAATCTGGTGACCAGCCGCTTCAAGACTTTGCTCCGTTCTTGATCCTCTCTCTGGATGCTGTGGTCGGCAGCCTATTTACGGATTGATAACACCAGGATTGTTTTGCTATTCTCGTGGAATGTTACGTTGTGAGGAATGTCTAGTGTCTTGAGAAACTGTAGACGAACTTCGGAATTTTCCTTGCCGTAAACTGAAACGGTGAGTATAATAATTTAATGAAGTTTAATGGTACTTAGTAGAGTTGCCTGTGAACTTTTTGGATAACTACACCTGTGAAATTTTTCCCGGGTAGTCATATACACAGTATTGGCTATTCACTTACCTATAACTGAATGTAAATAGACAAAAATTAAAACCAATAAATAAATAGGAAAATCGCACCGGCCTCTGCCAGCCAAGCAAGCTATATGCAACAATAATGGTAGCGTTATCCAGATTGTCATGTGTTTTTTTTTTCTGGCCACGCTAAAAACTGCTCTCAAATTACTGTTGTAAAAATTAATCCAAACCATTTGTTCACTTTGAATTTTTACAAATGCGGAGACCGTGTTGGTGTTTCCTATCACAGTTTCGTCTACATTAAGTTTGATGCCGCATAATGTAACTTGGCCTTCAGTGGCGTAATATGGATGCCTCCCCCCCCCCCCATGCGCCCCAGCACCCCCCCCCCCCCCCCCACAACCTCCCACCCTAACCCCCGTTTTGATATCTTGAATTAAACAAATTATATTGCACTTCTATTGAAATGATACGTTCCATTTAATTTGCCTTATAGTGTCCCCTTGACAAATTTAAACACACCGGTTGCCCCAGACGGTTGACCGAAGTTACACAGCTGGGTGCCCTAGGCCAGATAGGCTATATATATTTGTGGGTTTTCACAAGGCAATATTCTTTATAATTCGGTTATGCGAGTGGCATGTTGGTACAGTCCTTTTCAAAGTCGGGGTTCAAATGTACATTATCCAATTCGTACAATTAAACAAGTGAAGTTTTTGTAAGCTTAATGTTAGCGTCGCCGTGTTTTCAGATGACCGACTTGCTCCAGTTGTCGAAAACTGCCGAGAAAGCTCCGCATGCACTTGACTGCGCTGTTGGAATTATTATTCTTGCTTTAAGCTCAACAAAAGCGGCCCGCTATCAACTTAACCATGCTAACAGAGACCTTTTAGCGCCATGGGTAGCTGGCCCTTTGAACTTAGGCGAAACATCAGTTTGTTGGGTTGTTTGTTTGTTTGTTTTTCAGTTTCCGAGCTATAAATCGTCTAGCCTTCACACTTCTCAGCGGTGTTGAGATTGTGTAGGCCTAGTTGGTGTCAGCATTGTTGAATCAGTGAGATTTATAGGATTTTGTGCGTGTGTTCTTTTTTCTTCTTCGTTTCTTTTCGAACCTGTTGTTTTTACTTTTCTTTTCGAATTCTCTGTCTGTTTTTTTTTATAGAATATTTTGCGTGTTTATTATTTCAATATTTTCCAGGGGCGCTAAAGTTTATTTCAGTCCCTCTTTCGCATAAAACCCTGCGTAAACCCTGCGTAAATAGGTAAACCCGTGCCTTTGTTGATGACTATTTATGGAGCAAGGAGAACGGACTACTTTGCAACATGCTTGCAAGTTGCAACCATAACCCATTTCAAAGTCCTGAACGAATTAGGCCTAAACTACAGCAAGTGGGGGTGAAGGGCTATAAATGTGTCATTCTCGAGCGGCTGCGTAACCCGACAATGCAAATGTTGCAGCACTAAGAACATGACGAAAAGGTTACCGCAGGTGAACTAAAGTGACGTGTAGACCTACATGGCCGTGAAAATAGGCCTAAGTCTTGTCTGTTTTTCCACGCTGGTTATTTGCATTCCCCGCCAAGTACCTTGAATGTGTAAAACCGATAAAAAAAATTAACATTGAACATGATTCCTCCATGTGTAAACAAAGCATGATAACAAACGATACATCTGATCAGAGGTTCGACTGTTGGATTATGGGTCTTATTTTTTTAGCCTCTTAAAGTTGAATGAGGACTGTTTATTATCCGCGTCGTGCTATAATTGAACAATAAACATGAAGTAAACGTCACTTTTTTTTCCTGCTTAAGCTGCAGGTCCCAGTAAACAGTGATTTCTTGGAAAATATGTCATTACGACTAATATACAAACGATAAGGCATAGTTGTTACATTGTATTGGCAAAAAAAAGGATCAGAAGAAAGGAAGATGAAGTTCGAGGGTTGCAAGTATCCTTCGGCGATTTTACCCCAAAAAGAATGACAGAAATAAAGGGGGGAAAATGATGTGGCCCTTTTACATGCTAATTGAACAACACTAAAAATCGAGTTGTGTACACGGTAGTGACAAATTTAGCGTAAACGGTCATAATAAAAAAAAGTTTGACCCTCTTCAACCCAGAACCAAGTATGTACTGTTTTGTTACTGTATCTGGCGGAGGGGGGGGGGTGGCATTTTGTAAAGTCGCGCCAGTTTTTATAACATGGAATTGAACATGCATACATACCGTCACTGAACTTTTGTTAATATATTTTGGCAAACGACATTCCCCTTAAACTTTTGCCCCACTTCCATTTTTCACGAGCTCATCTATGCTATTGCATGCACCTTGTGCTATTCCTGCAGTATCCTTGACCGACAAGGTATATCGGATATATGCTCACACCTAGAGTTATGCAGTTTGCGGAAACCAGGTTGCATAATATTGCACATTCCAGACAGAGATGCTAGCGATATCAGAGCGTACAGTACCACTACCTATACCTGTCCTATCGCTTTCTGATTTCTAAAACTAGAAGAACAGTTTTATTGCTCCAGAATAAACGGCAAACTATGCATGTGGCGGTGACAGGGAAGTAGAAAAAAAATCATATTTGAGCTGTTTTCCCCAGCTGGCGGCTAGCCTGAATGTTTCACAAAATTTCGTTAAAAACAGAGAAAGTGTCGTAAAAACAAAGATGTTCATGACCAAGTCGATTTTCAGTGGTGTCATTTGGTTACATTTTCATGCAGCGAATATGTGAAATGTAAATCAACACCACTATCCTTGCCCAATCAAAACCCAAATAATTGCGCAAAATCGCGCAGATTCTTCTTTGAAAATGTCAGCAAATTGAGAAGACATGTACAGTGTGAAATCGTCCTGCGAGGATACTTTAGATCTGTTGGCACTGACAACAACTAATCTATACGCGCCGTACGCGTATCACTTCGTACCTCGCTTCAGCCGCTATGAACCACGTGAATGAGGAAGTCCCATCTCCTTCGCTTTATAAGGACATCCGCTATTGACAGATGCGTCTGTCTTCGTACCTTTTATGGTGTGAAATGACAATACCAGTGGCGTGTCAAGATGTTCTCACGGGAGGATGGAAACACAAAGTAATTGTATGGATACAATGTAGTAATCTTCTGACCATGCAAAAGTCGAAAATGTGTGGTGAGCATATTGTGATACTATAGTTGGCGCTGTTCAATACGAAAAAAGGCAATTTGTGAAAGAAAACAGGAGTAGAGGGAATTAAAGGGATATTACGGCCTGAAATCCCCGAAAATGTTATGTTTTGGATTGTTAACTTATACTATTTAAAGGTCTAGTTGAAGGAAACTAAACTAATGTCTTACTGTTCCCGAGAAAAGAGGGGGGGGGGGACGGTTGTTTACATCGACGGAGTACGCATACGTTTTTCCTGTCGTTTGCATTTAATGTACGATACACTTTGTGGTTGTCACATAAATTACACACAGCACCAATACACAAATATTGTTTTTTACACGTCTGCATAAGGCAACCACTGTGCGGCTGGAATCACAACTAGCCCTGAACAGCTCGATGGAACAAAACTGTGACCCCCCAAATTCGTTCTCGCACGGTTCTCGCAAGAATAACTGTTAACACCAAGTTTTTAAAGGATGTTTATGTGACATTCTACTTTTAAATGCTCTTTCCATTGTATTGTAGCCCAATTGGGCGCATTCCAGGACGTAATGTTCTTCTAAGGCTCTCGTGTTTGGCCCGAAAGTGCAAATATTTAATTTCACCTAAATATTAAATTCACGTTAAATTTAATACTGCCTACACTACACGGATACCTATTCACATCACACATCCCAAGTTGTGCTTCCCTTTTTTTATTTAGGGAGGGGGATCAGTCGAGTTTCCTTTCTTTGTTTAAAGACTGGAATGAAACCGTATTATGTTTAAATATTCCGAAATTCTCACTACTCTTCAACTACCCAACTGGACAACATTTCTGGCTATAGTCGAACGAATATTTTAGCCCTGAGCCAATAAGCTCGGAAATCGAGCGTGTCAGTGCCCTGCAGTGTCACTGGTGCATTCTGGTCAAGCGTGTCCATTTTGTGTCGACGCCTGGGAGATGAGGGAAAATCATGGAGGGGGGGGGGGCATTACATGATATTGAAAAATGAAGATTCCTCCTTCAAATGGTGTTGTATACCATGTGGGAATTGCAATCGCCGATGACTATTTTTTTTTTCTGTCAGAGACCATGCATGAAGATTGTTTCACATTGTCTTGCAGCCGATCTGCCGATGGTTTTATTAACATGTAGATCTGAACATGCAATCTACATGTAGGCCTAATTGCTTCTCTGTTCTAGTTTTAGTTTGATGAAATTACACTGATTTTAAACTTGATTCCAATGTATAATTACACATGTTCAAGCGGTTGTTTTTTTTTTACTTGCACTTAATAATGATAAAAATTTAACTTTGACAAGACATGCACGGGACTAATAGCAAAATTGCAACAATTTACAAATTAGATTGTATTACACACATTCCCTTTTCCAAAGTAAAATGGAGAACAAAATATGCAGATGAAAATAGATGGTTCACAACTTTGAGTACAGAAGAAACTTTTAATATAGGTTTTCCCGGCCAATTTCGCAAAAAGAGCATTCGAATTCATCTTGATAGTAGCCAATTTGAAGCGAAGTAGCGCCCTGCTGTCATTCCCGTGGTTCGTATTAGATTTCAGGCTTTCAAATTAGTTTTAAGACCTGACATTTTCATGTTTAACACATCTTAAATTGAAGTTATGTCATTCGGTTTAAGTGATCATTCAATTTAGCAGTCGGTTTGGTTTAGGGTTATTTGCATGAGATTCTTGTATTCGTTTTCATTTCCGTGCATTCTATTTAGCACTTTTTTCATTAAAAATAAAAGTCAACGAAGGTATACTGCTTCATTTCGTGGTCCAGTTTTGTGTTTCTGGCCCCTCCTCTTGACAGATTGTCCCGTCAGCCAGTTCTCAGATACGTTGCTACAATTGACCTGGCAGTAGATATCTGTTTATGCCAAGATTTTCTGCAAGTTCAAGATAGTCTTGGGCATCAAACGAGCATGGTCTACAATTGAAATTCTCAACGCCCATGAGCTGGCATATTGATATTTCTAGTGCTTCAATCTAACAGTTTGCATGGTGATCAGAGTAGTGTCAGAGTCTTGTGGGAGACAGGTTTTTATATCTATATTTCCAAATTGGAACAAAAGCGCTCCATCTTATTCTAACAAATAACAAACGACTTAACGACATGGACCTATTTCGAATAACTTTGCTTACTTTCCACATATGATTGCTTAATGGTGAATTCGAATGACCAAACTTACACAGCTTGATGCTCCGGCGAATTTGGATGCTCGTTTGTGCAATTTTAATTTGAATGCCCTATCGTTGAAATTGCATGATTAACATGTGAAATCGCATGCTTTTAATGTGAATTTGATGGGTGTTTTGAGGTAATTGAATGTTGATCTCAACGTGCATTCAATTCGTGCGAAAATGGGTGATTGGTCGCCAATTTGGCCGCCAAATCTGCTAACTTGGCCGGGAAAACCTATACAAGTGCCGGCGTATATTTTACAAAATCTTAAAATCTTAAAAACATCTGTTCAAAAATTCTGGAGATGGTGGCCAAGATCCGGAATCGCCTGACATTGCACAACAGAGCATCACAACATTTTCTGGGGCCCTTATAAGTGGGACCCGCGCCCCACGCCGTAAGGTCTAAGGCTCCTCGCTCGCATGAATCCTCGGAGCAAAGACCCCTACGCTATAATTTCACCCTGGTCAGAAGTGCTTGGCAAATCTGGGTAGACATAAAGTTTGGTAGTCGAGTATTTCTGGAAATAACAGGATCAAATGACCGCTTACGATTATGGGGAAGGCTTATTACATTAAAACTGCAGTTGCCGAAGAAAAAAAATGAAAAGGGCGCCCCCTTTTGATGAATAGTACTCGTACTCGTGCTCGTCACTCTCGATGGGCCGAGTTCCGGAGTGGTCCGTTCTTGACATGGGTATATTCTTCGTGCAAAACCCTGCATATGACGGATGGAGAGTGTGTGGTCTTGTTCCGCAGTGCAGTGTTCGTGGGTCGTGCTCTTGGCGCAAGACTAGATTCCCCCATAGTTCCCCAAACGAACATCCGTTCGGGTCTTGTGCCAAGACTAATACCGTTTGCCGTAAATGGCGGTCACCCCAAAATACTACATCTTGCACGTGTTGATGAAACATAAAATGCAAACCCTTTTGACGCCAGAGGGCGCTCTTTTTCTTATAAATAAAGCCGTAGGTTCAAGGGAAAAGTAATCGAAAAACAGTCCACTACATTCCAATTCTGTATAATTACTCAAAACGATACTTAAAAACGACCTCCTTAGCGAGCGGCAAATTTCGGCGTTTTTTTTTTTTCTTGTGGGGGCACCAAGGGGGAGGGGGGGGGGGCAATGGTAATTTGTAGGTGGCACTGAGTCCCCCCCCCCCCCCCCAGGCTGGCCGATGTCAACCTGCCACAGTATAATGCAGGTCTAGACTAAATGAACGACGCAAAATGTAACCTCTCTCTTCCCATATAATAGGCTGCTAAAAACAGGTTGCAATAATGATTTTCCAACACTCCACGTTTAGGTTTACGTTTACCATGAAGCTATGAAAAGCTCCATGGGTTTATTATAAAAGTTACAGGGATTTTAACTTTTATTTTAATAAGGTCCATTGCATAACTGGAGATGATTTAAACGTGCTTGCCGTGAAAAAAGGATATGTTTATAAGGACGAATATATAAATTATCTTTTTCGATGATATCCGAAAAAAACGTTGAACCTATTATTTTACCAGAGTCCCTATTTTGTCTTCTCTTCCCCATTTGTTGGGGTTTGTTTTAGGCCTACCCAATCAAACAAACACGCTATAAATTGCAGACAATAAAAGAAAACAATCCAGTCGACCTCCCTTGGAGACTGCTAATTTGAGACATCCTTGCTTAGAGTAAAGCCTTAGGCTTAAGACTCAGACAAAGCAAAGTTCATGAACTTCTTAAGACGTTTTGTTAGCAGGTTGACTTGTCCTGTTGACTTTGACTGGGTATGACATCATTATTTAATAAGGGCGCCACCTGACGAGAAAATGGCTGCTGGCAATTATTTGCCGCTGTGCCACCCGCGTGCGGTGTGCGTTTTCAAAACACATGCGACTTGGCCTCTCTCACTACTAGGCAGTCTTCCCTTTCAGAATTAAGGGAAGGCAAGAGGATTTTGTTATTGTGAACAACCAGTGAGTCCCCTTCAGAAAATGAGTCCTCCCCATCCCTTTTCCCTACGAACTGGACCCAAGTCACGCCATGCGCACTGGCCGTTTCCTTTACGGTGTTTGTATAATGTAAATAATTATATTTAAACCCCAAAAAGGACGATATTTCTGAAACCTTAGTGCTTCAAGAAATTTTCAGGACATTTTAAGACGCAATTAATCTGGGACGTGACTCATCGTTGCAAAAGTCTCAATCGTGAAGGGGTAGGGGTATGACTGAGGGGGTGGACCTTATGGCACGCTAGCGCCCCTCTCCCCGCTGATTCTTTTCTTACCTTCAATTAGATTTTTCACAAATCCGCGTGCATGGAGGGAAAGGGGGATGATGATTACTTATTTATTTATTTATGTATTTCGTGTTATTTTACCAGGGTAGCCCCATCAGTTGTCAATGAACAGTTCTCTCTTGGGACCCTGGATTACATAAAAACGACGCAATGAATTCATTCATTATGTCTTTTATTGTGTTTTTTGTTGTAATTTTTGCCGTTATGATATCATTATCATAACGGCAAAAATTACAAAAAAACACACAATAAAAGACATAATGAATGCAGTACCATAAAAAAAACCAAGGAATTAAAACCACACAAAGTGAAAACCATAGATTAAAATAGACGATGTTTAGATAAAAAGATTTAAAATGGAATATTACTTCTTACTATAGATTACTTCTTATAGCGTACACCAACAAATTGAGAACAACGATTCATCTTCATTCCGTCTCTGATATAGTTAAACGAAAAACGTATCGACTTTTGGGGTAGGGGTGTCGGGGTAGGGGTACGTACGGGATGACCACTGTACCCCCCCCCCCCCCCGATCCGTCACTGCTAACATTCCTTACTCGTGCATGCGATGAGGAAGGCTCAAGATAAACAGGCCAGCATCCTGTAGGGGGAAGTGCGTGGTCCTCAGATTAGCCGTTCTATAGAGACGCGCTGTATTCCTGTATGGGCAATCTGGAAATAATAAACGTATAATATATGCAAGTAATCTGTAATGGTCCTGTTATGCACGCGCACCATTCTTTCCTTTTTGTCCAGGACATTTTTAAGAGGGAGGTCGATATACCATTATGATTATCTTTTATATCTCTAACAATGTACATGTAGGCCCTATACTGTTTTTCTCTTACTACATTACTTAATATTTTTATGTCTGATAGTTCTTATGAATTTTATTCAAATGTAAATGTTTATGCTAAATTTTTTTCTGATTTTGTTGTAAACTGACTGTTATTCGGCCTATGGCTGCGAAAATCTTCAAATAAACCATTAATTATAATAAGAAAAAGAACAAAATGCAAACAGCCCTCAAGAAAAAGGGGGGGGGGGGTAAACGATTTAACAAATAATACCAAATAGCCAATTAAAAAAAATATCGACACTCTAAATAGCTTACTATTTCAATTTTTTTTTTTTATTTGGAATCGAATAATTTACAGGTAGGTAAACCGAATGGAATCTCCGATAAATTACCAATTAAATGATCAAAACTGTTATCAATTATTCTCGACAGTTAATCAAAACTTTGTCGATGCATTTTTTTGGTTGAATGGACAGTTCGTTTGATTTTTGACTTGATCGAATGGATCGATTGTTCTTGTTTTCCCCACTGCAGGTAATATGAGACCAACGTGGGGACTAGCTGCCCTAGCATGGCTGCACGTTTTATTTACCCAGTGCGCCAATGCTTTTGATCCATTTATGCGTGATCGTAAGTATAAATTAATATATATTTTTGAAAAAGTACTGTTTATGCTAGGTTAGCACATTCCCGATTTGTAAGCCGAATCTCTGCGAATAGCAATTCTTGAGTAAATCGGGGAATGGTTCTAGGCTGCCTCGGGATGATTATTTTTGTTCGGTGAATCGTCAAAGATCGGGAAGCACCCCGAAATTTCTTGACATGTTCAAAATCGTCGGGGTGATTTTGGGGGAAAAAATATCAATTCTTGGTTTATTCTTGTCATATTCTTATTAAGTTAACTAATTCTGGATATTCTTACATCATTCGTACAAGTTTCGTAGAGTTGTTCTTCATGGTGTCATGCCGAATCATTACGAATGTATTAAGCACGAATATTACAAGAATAACACTAAGATTTTGTTAAAAATGAAATAGAATAATCTAAGAACTCAGCAAGAATGAATCACGAATAATGCCGAATTATCCAGATTTTCCCAAGAATTTATATATTAAGAATAACTAAGAATCAAGCAGAATTTAATACGAATTGATACAGAATCATCCTGAATGAATCAAGAATACATGTATGTCGAATGCAAGCCGATTTAAATAACCTAGCTCTACGCTCCTTGGCAAACGAGAACCATGGGCGTCGCCAGGAATTTTTCTAGAGGGGGGCAAAGCAACTTTTCCCCACAAAATCCATATATTTTCCAGCATTTTCCGGATTGATAATTTGTTCAAGGGTGGGCAGGGACAATTCCCCCCCCCCCTATTAAATTAACAACAATATGATTTCGCGCCTCTTTTGTTTCCCTTTGTTGTTGTTGTTGTTGTTGCTTGTTCGGGGGAGGGGGAGCGCCCCTTGCCCCCCCCCCCCCCCCCCCCGCGACGCCCACTGACTGACGATACCGGGATCGCCTGGGTTCAGCCTCGTTCTGGATTATCCTGGCTTGTTCTTCGGGGTTGTTCGGGAATGTTACATTCGGCATTTTGGCTTATTCGGCATTTGTTCTTATTAAATTCGTAATGAAATCGGCATAATTCTGGGTTCTCTGGATAATTTTTCAATTCTGGAGTTATTCGTATATTGCTCTTGACAAAGTCTCTACAATTCAGTTTTATTCTGCACTTAAATCGCAATCATTCGACTTGATTCGGTCCAATTCGGTTTCCAATTCGTACCTATTTCTGTTTCATTCTTAATTTATTTTAACCACAGACAGCGAATCGATAGGGGCTAATTTCTCCCGATGCCATCAAGAATTTTTAGTCGGGATAGATCGGGGTACTCTTGGCAATAGGCAAATTCGGCAATGTGTGACCCTAGAATGGGTTTGAAGCTCTTGTATTGGAGCAGCTTTGTGCATTATGCTTTATCCGCCCTTCGCTCGTACCCGCCGCCCTGCAAACAGCAGGGCGGGGGTACGAGCAAATATCCGCCCGGCAAATAGACGGATTCCCGGCACTGGTTGTCCCCACGTCGAATCTAAAAGGGGCGGGAACCAGTCTATCCTGCTACTGGAACGATTGTAATTGTTTAATTCAGTGGTAAAATACAATTACTAAACTCGGGCCTGTAGTTTTTCGATTCATATCCCATTCAAAGTGAATACTATGGAGGCGTTAAAGGGAATATACATCATTTGCTTTTGCTGTAATTTTCAGAAATGGATGGAATTAAGGGGTTGGAAATATATAGCAAATATAGTTACACTGACTTTTTTGAGGTTTTGGGTTTGAAAATGCTATAAAAACCAAGAAAAACGATCATTTTCCTGTAGTCTGGTTCCCTGACTCCACATCAGAAGAAACAGAGCAGTTTACATACATTGGGGAATTGTAAGGTCAGGGAACCAGTCTAGCTGGCTCGTACCCGTTCATAGGTTTGTAATCGATTGCAAACAAGTGCGATGGTCAATTGGGGCCAGTATTTGAAAAAAAAGCCAGTTGTTTCCAACGCTGATCGGCCGATCAGCGTTGGAAATTGATACAAAAATACCACTTTTCTTGAAAATGACAGTATACCAGGTGTCATGATTTTACAGGATGCTTTACACTGTCATTCCCTAACAGTCCAGCAAGGTATTTCAAAATGATATGGTAGTTTTATTTTTGATGTTTGCAAATGTTGTATTTTCCCTTTAAATATGGTGGCCCTGAAGGGACATCGCATATCGCGAACGTGTGCGCATACGTATGCGATGTCGCGAAATTTATCGCGAACGTGTGCGCATACATATGCGATGTCGCGAAATTTATCGCGAACGTGTGCGCATACGTATGCAATGTCGCGAAATTTATCGCGAATGTGTGCGCATACGTATGCGATGTCGCGAAATTTATCGCGAACGTGTGCGCATACGTATGCAATGTCGTGAAACAATTCGCGAATATGTGCGCACACGTATGCGAATTTGTTTTGCAATGTCGTGAATTTTATTGCATACCTTGTCGCATACCTTTCAGTAAAATTCCTAATGAACTGGGGAGTTGTAGCAGCTAGTCTGGAATCTAGACGTACTGTTAGATATAAATAGGGTCTGACTAATAAACCTTCGCGCGCACGCTGTTCCTCGTGCAATCGTTACTACTAGTACTGTCGAGCGCGAACTTGCTACTTGCGCAACTTTCAAATTTGCGCGCGCAAGTTTAAAACTTGCGCAAGTACCAAGTTTGCGCTCGACAGTACTAGTAGTAACGATTGCGCGAGGAACAGCGTGCGTGCGAAGGTTTATTAGTCAGACCCTATTTATATCTAACAGTACGTCTAGATTCCAGACTAGCTGCTACAACTCCCCAGTTCATTAGGAATTTTACTGAAAGGTATGCGACAAGGTATGCAATAAAATTCACGACATTGCAAACAAATTCGCATACGTGTGCGCACATATTCGCGAATTGTTTCACGACATTGCATACGTGTGCGCACACATTCGCGATAAATTTCGCGACATTGCATACGTATGCGCACACGTTCGCGATAAATTTCGCGACATCGCATACGTATGCGCACACGTTCGCGATAAATTTCGCGACATCGCATACGTATGCGCACACGTTCGCGATAAATTTCGCGACATCGCATACGTATGCGCACACGTTCGCGATAAATTTCGCGACATCGCATACGTATGCGCACACGTTCGCGATAAATTTCGCGACATCGCATACGTATGCGCACACGTTTGCGATATGCGATGTCCCTTCAGGGCCACCATAGTTAAAGTATGGAAGCGTTAAAAAAGAACTAAAAACTAAAAAAGAAAGAAAGAAGTCATAAATATGACATATCTTATAATAATTACTTAGTATCAAGTCATAATATCGTAAGTCGTAATTATGACTTAATACTAAGTCGTAATTATAAGATATGTCATAATTATGACTTAATAATAAGTCATTATTATAAGATATAAATCATAACTATGATTTAATTAGTCATAAATATGAGATATAAGTCATAATTACAATTAAACAATTTATAAGTCGTTATGACTTAATACTAAGTCATAATTATAAGATATAAGTCATAACTATGACTGAATAATAAGTCATAATAATGACTTATTATTTTAGTTTGTATTATGCCCCTTTAATGCTTCCGTACTTCCATAACGAATATCAATTGAAAAAAGTCTACAATTGAATTCAGAAACAGCTTGTCAGGACATTTTGCATGTGTTGGTATGTGGCTGATAATACAGAGTATGTGAAGTATTTGAGCCGTATAAATGGGGCTAGGCAAACATTTGACATGTGAAACCAGCCATCTTAGGAAAAGTGAATTGGTGTGCACTAAGCTTGAACCTCCAAATTACATCCTTCATTTCAGTAAAAAAGTAGGACTCTGACTACATCTAGAACTAGAAGGTGCCCAGGTGCCAGGAGTAGACTCTAATCTACTGTAACATTAAAAAAAATCCCCCCTATTTTTAGTCAACCCAAAGTTAAAGGGAATGTGCAATAATTGCTTTTGCTGTAATTTTCAGAAATAAATGGATATGGAGGATTAGTATGTTATAGAAAATATTGTTACACTGACTTGTTTCATGTTTTGGGTTCCAAGAAACCAATCATGTTCTTGTAGTCTGGTTCCCTGACCCGACTTAAGATGAAACAGAGCAATTTATAGACATTGAGAAATTGAATTAGCCTAGCTGGCTTGTATCCCTTCGCAGGTGTGTAATCCATTGCCAAAAAAAAATGTGGAATAATGAAATATGAAAAATAAAGAGCAGTTTTTTTTTTAAAAGCCAGTTTTCTCCAACGCTGGTCGGCCGACCAACGTTGGAAATCGTTACAAAATGACCACTTTACTTAAAAATGTCAGCACACCAGGAGCCATGATTTTACAGGATGCTTTGGACTGTCATTCACTAACAGTCCAGTAAGGTAATTCATTATAATTTGATCATTTTCTTTTTTGATGTTTGCAAATGTTGTATCTTCCCTTTAAAAGAAAATATATATAAAAATGGACACAAAAGTGTTCAAAAGTTAAGCCTGTCAGAAGAAATTAGCACCTTTGACACAGGCCCTTATTGATCTGACACTGGAAGTAAATGACCTAGAAAAAAAAATGGAGAAAAGTAGGGCCAAATGCATTTTTTTAGATATTGGTGATCAGAGAGAAAAGCTTTGTTGTATTAAAAGAAAAAAATCCTTTTCTGTTTTCTTTTCATTTTTTTTCAGCTAAAGATCCGTGCAGTCTCAACTGTCCTAGATTCTATGCCCCTGTCTGTGGGAGTGATGGGCAGACATACTACAGTGCCTGTGTTCTACTGTCTTTCCGATGCAAAAAGAATGATAAATCACTACGTGTGCAGTATCTAGGGAAATGCAGAATAATCATAAAAGGTACTATTTTCATGCATGAAATTAACTGTGCACATTACTTGGTACAATTGAGCCAAGAGATGTTATTTGTAAAATGTATACATTTTTATGATCGTGTATTAAATGTAGAGATGAAGTTCATTACCTTTGTTAATTTTCAGACAAAATCAATCTATCAAAAGTGTTGTTGGCTACTTGTATACTGTCAAACTCAATTTATGAAAGATCAGCAATAATCTTCATTAAAAGAAATAGAAATGCCATCACAATACATGTGGAAACAACACATCCCTAAACCAAATAAATTTATGTCCTAGTGTACAATGTCTCTTTAAACATTAATACAACTATGGTGCTACAAAGCTTGACAATTTTGTCTTTCTTTGTACAATAATTATTCGGTGTGCATGAGGACATAATCACCATGAAATTTGTCATTTGGTAGATCCTCTCTAAATTCAAAACACTAAAGAAAAGTACAGTCAAAATATAAGGATTAGTCTTTCTGTATTGTGATTTTTTTAATATACATGGTGATTAAAAAAAAAACCTAACTAAAATGCTAGAAGAATGACTAAGGAAAAACTCCCCACGATTCAAATAATTCAAACATTGTGTTATTTTTTTTAATTTATATTAATATAAATGGCCAACTTTACTCTTTTCTCACATCAGTTGAGCAAGTCTGTCCAAGGCATTGCCCCAACTTAATGATTCCAGTGTGTGGAACAGATGGCAACACCTATGGGAACAAGTGTTTCTTAGAGGCAGCTGCTTGTGAACGACGCCAACCCTTGCAGGTTGCTAGTCAAGGCTACTGTATACGAACAGGTAAGTAAAGGCCTTCCCACCCAAAGAGCAACATTGAAATTGAGCCAACAACAGATCCTTTTGTTTTGTTTTGACCGGGATGTGCATTTATTACTGAACCAATAGCAAGAAACATCTGAAAGATGGCCGGTGAATGCAAAGGGTCTGTTGGCTGGATTACTGATGAAATATGTTGAAATCTTGGAGCCCTTGGGGACTTGGATGATATTAAATGGTTGCTATAGGCTTTATTCTGGCAGATATGATTATTCTTTTGTGTGTGTGGGTGTGTCAAACTGTACTCCCCCCCCCTTCTGCCTCCGCCCAGAAAGTGAAACAATTAAAATGTGGAAGGGATAGTTATTATCTGGGCAGGTGCTAAGCAACCCCCATCCCAAAAGCTCTTGCGAAGGTGCGTAACGTAATGCATGTCAATCATAATCTGTTATAAAATCTTGGGGGAAAAGGGACTCAATTTCAATAAGGGCCTTGGAGATCTTTCTTTGATAATTTCGGAACTCTGTTCCCAGTGAAGACACAAAATTGTACCCCTGGTTATCGAACTAGATGTTTAAAATCCAAAACTCAAACCTCAAAAAATGTCAATGTCTGTATATAGTGGAGTGTCATGGCCTAGCGGTTCAGAGCACTGGACTCATGATCTGGTGTTTCAGAGGCAACAGTGGCGTGGGTTCGAGCCGGCCGGTGAACACTTGTGCCCTTAAGCAAGGCACTCGACGTTAAGCCGGAGGTCCCGTGTGTTGTATAAGGCCTAACGCACGTAAAATAACCCAGTAACACTTATCGCTAAGAGAAGGGGTTTGCCCCGGTGTTTCTGGCCTCCGAGTTATACTCCCTTGTGGAAGTCCTTAGGAGAAGAACCAACCAAGTACCAAGTACCAAGTATATATATGGACAACTTTGAATTGATTCGGGTTTGCTGTTGTGAAAGCAACTTTCTCAGACTCTTTCCTCTGTGTCATTCTTACTCAATTCGAAGCTGGGACCTAATGATAAGCAGAACACTGCTGGAGCACTGATGAATATCACATCTAGACTCCCCATTTAAACTCTGCCTGACGGTGTAAACAAATACTTTTATTAATAGTGGATTATTTTTATAAGGCTAAACATTCTGATTCAGTTAATATATTTCCTGAAAACATCATTTTATCCCCTCTCCTTCAACTGAAGTGTCTGCAGATTAGGACTGATTAATACTGACCTTGAGTCATCTGGCTCAGGAAAACTGATTACTTATTCTGTGGCCCACAACATGCAATCAGGCCAGTTCATCATCCTTTGCATGGTAACCATCTTTGATGCGCATGTTAGTGTTCCACAGGATACACACAACTTTGTGCATTCAGTGACACTGAATGAGGAACCCCCCCCCCAAAAAAAAAACAAGAAAAAGAGAAAGCAACATGCTCAACATGGGCTGCTGACAAAAGTGTCTAAATCAAACTGATAGACTAATAAGTTTTACTCTTATTTAAAGAGTGATTTTACCTCTTGAATCATGGACAGGCTAAAGAGCAGTTTTCAATAACTGACAACTTACCTTTCAAGAACGTTGTCTTCTCTATGGTGGTATACTTATTGAAGAGTTTTGAATATTTTGGAGTTCGAATTACACATTCTAAAAATGTGATAGCATTTTTTTTTGTATATTTATAAGCACTACTTTTTTCCACACATAGTGTTTCTCCATTTCATTAGAAAAAAAACATAGCAGATTTCCATAAGGCACCCCATTGAATTCAAAAATTTGTAATTAAAGAAACATGCCTATTCATTGTCCAATCAGGTAAAGACCAATATATCTCTAATTTCACAGCACTGGTAAAATCCACTTTAAAAATCTCTAAAATGTGTCTCTATAATTTTATATAAAATTTTTTTAAAAATAACATTAAGAGAACTTTACCCGCACAAAACATTTCATGTGCTTTTTTTGTTTTTAAAGTTCAGACCATAATTTGCACTTTAAATCGATTTTGTTTTTTTTACAGAGGCAGCAGGACGGTGCAACACTAGATACAATTTGAAGTTCAAAGCCGTGTGTGGTCGCGATAAAAAGACATACTTCAACCGCCAGATTTTGCAAGTGGCTGCCTGTGTCAACAATAGCCCAACTCTTGCTCTACAACTTCACAGAGGAATCTGTGAATTTGGAAGTTAGTTCAATCCTCATTATTACTTTACTGGATTCCTTTAGTACAGGAATTGCTCAACCCAGTTCAATAGTTCAGCAGTGCAGCTAGCCCAGCCCAACCCACCAGCCCAATCCAAGCAAACCCTGACCAAAAACACAAGCCAACCCCAACCTGGTCAGCCCAAAGCCAACCCATTGGTCAACCCTATCCAGGCCAACCGAAATCCAACCCATTAGCCAACTTCATCCTGGCCAGCCCAAATCCAACCCACTAATCAAGCCCATTCTGGCCAGCCCAACCCAACCCACAAGTCAACCCCATCTTGGCCAGCCCAAACCCAACTCACCAGTCAACCCCATCCTGGCCTACCTAAACCCAACCCACCAGTCAACCCCATCCCGGCCAACCCAAACCCAACTCACCAGTCAACCCCATCCCAGCAAACCCGAACCCAACCCACCAGTCAACCCCATCCTGGCCTACCTATACCCAAACCCACCAGTCAACCCCATCCCGGCCAGCCCAAACCCAACTCACCAGTCAACCCCATCCTGGCCAACCCAAACCCAACTCACCAGTCAACCCCATCCCAGCAAACCCGAACCCAACCCACCAGTCAACCCCATCCTGGCCTACCTAAACCCAACCCACCAGTCAACCCCATCCCGGCCAACCCAAACCCAACTCACCAGTCAACCCCATCCCAGCAAACCCGAACCCAACCCACCAGTCAACCCCATCCTGGCCTACCTATACCCAAACCCACCAGTCAACCCCATCCCAGCCAGCCCAAACCCAACCCACTAGTCAACCCCATCCCGGCCAACCCAAACCCAACCCACCAGTCAACCCTATCCTAGCCAACCCAAACCCAACCCACCAGTCAACCCCATCCCGGCCAACCCAAACCCAACCCACCAGTCAACCCCATCCCAGCCAGCCCAAACCCAACCCACTAGTCAACCCCATCGTGGCCAACCCAAACCCAACTCACCAGTCAACCCCATCCCAGCCAGCCCAAACCCAACCCACTAGTCAACCCCATCGTGGCCAACCCAAACCCAACTCACCAGTCAACCCCACAGGCGCGGTTCTAGAGCCAATATTTTGGGGGGGCTAGCACGGTGAATCCAGATTTTTTTTCAGGGAAGCGTGCTGAAATGTTGACCGGTTATTTTTTCCAGACACTTAGGCCTCCGAAAATCAATAGGTGGTGGTGGTGGTGGTGGTGGTGGTGGTGGGGGGGGGGGGGGGGGGCTCATGCCATATTTTCAATGGGGAACGCCAATAAAATCCTAAAATCATTCACACTATAGCAAGGGCGGATCCAGAACACAATTTTTTTGGGGGGGGGGCCAAAACAAATTTTGGTCCCCCCAAAAAGTGGGTCCAAAAAATTACGGCGTGGGGTTCGGGGCCCCGAACAATTTTTGGATTCTAGATGCTCTGTGGTGCGATCTGAGGCAATTTCTGACCACTTTAACCAATTGTTTTTGAGGAAAAGATGGTGGTGTACTCATTGCCTGCCTTAATTGCGATGTCACATAAAAAAAAAGATAATTGGTTTCGGTTTTTTTTGGGGGGGGCCATGGCCCCCTTTGCCCCCCCCCCTCCTGGATCCGCCCTTGCACTATATTAACTAATGCACCCTTGTCACGGCTATTTCTTCTTTAGGGGGAGACCGTTCACATGTACATCACATGCAATCCTTCTTTATGCTAATGCAATTTTTTTTTTACGGAATTTATTTTGGGGGGGCTAGACAAAATTTTGGGGGGGCTACAGCCCCCCCTAGCCCCCCCGTAGAACCGCGCCTGCAACCCCATCCCGGCCAACCCAAACCCAACTCACCAGTCAACCCCATCCTGGCCTACCTAAACCCAACCCACCAGTCAACCCTATCCTAGCCAACCCAAACCCAACCCACCAGTCAACCCCATCCCGGCCAACCCAAACCCAACTCGCCAGTCAACCCCATCCTGGCCTACCTAAACCCAACCCACCAGTCAACCCCATCCCGGCCAGCCCAAACCCAACCCACCAGTCAACCCCATCCCGGCCAGCCCAAACCCAACCCACCAGTCAACCCCATCCTGGCCTACCTAAACCCAACCCACCAGTCAACCCCATCCCGGCCAGCCCAAACCCAACCCACCAGTCAACCCCATCCTGGCCTACCTATACCCAAACCCACCAGTCAACCCCATCCCGGCCAACCCAAACCAAACTCACCAGTTGACGCCATTCTGGCCTACCTAAACACAACCCACCAGTCAACCCCACCCTGGCCTACCTAAACCCAACCCACCAGTTAACCCCATCCCAGCCAGCCCAAACCCAACCCACCAGTCTGGGCCGCACTGCAGTTACACATGTACATGCATGTACAATACACTTCATGCCCAATTTCCGAACACCAACTCCTGCTTTAGTTTCGATTCAAACAAAATTTTACGATGAAAAAAAATGGTCAGTGTTTTCATTGCATAAAATGCCTGAATTACGGTTAGAGTAATGGAGTCATCAATAAAGAAGTTCACTTCTTACTTGAAAAAGTCGTGGGAAAAGTCCGAAAGACAAGGGCACAGTTCATGGTGCTTCAACCAAGCCCATTCTGGCCAGCCCACATCCAACCCACTAGTCAACAAACCTGCCAACCCCATACTGGCTATAGCCCAAACCCAACCCACCAGCAAAGCCCACTCTAGCCAGCCCAACCTGCGCTACTCAGCTCATCCACCGCATCCAAGCCCAGCCCAGTCAAACCCAATCCAACCCTACCCCAACTCACCTGCCTATCTCAGGCTAGCCCCACCCACTCAAAAATTTAACACAATCAAGTGTATCACATATTGTCTATCTCAGCTAAGAATATTCAGTTGCTTTCTGCCCAAACATAATTCCTAATTTATCCAAATCTCCATGAACCGTTTTCTATTTCTCTCTTTCAAACACACTACCTGAGATATTTTGGCATAAAAATAATCTTGGCCTGAAACAAAGAATGTATTGAATATTGATTTTTTTTCTCGTAGAAAACATGTAAAGGGTACTGTCCTCCACTTACGTTAAACCCTTATTCATCGCTTTTGCTTTTATTAATAATTTACTATCATTTATATTTCATTTTTTCATCCAGGAAAAAGAGTACCGAGGGAGTGTAGAAAGCATCGTTGTGATGCAACCTACGATGCTGTATGTGGTACTGATGGGAACACCTACATCAACCGCTGCATGATGAACTACATGGGTTGCTTACGGGGCGATACATCATTGAAATTAGTGTACAAGGGGGAGTGTAGAGATGAGGGTAGGTAGACAACTTTACCAAAAAGTGAAAAGAAATTCCCGTAGTGGAGCTTTTCAATTTGTATGTTTGGTTAAATTATTGAAAATTCTATACCAGCTCATTTTTGTGTGTTCACTTTCTAGATTATAATAGGATAAACTATTGAGTATTTTATAACAGTTTAAATGTTTCATTTCTTTTCTTGGACAGTTATTGTTACTTCAACATCAGTAAGGCCAACAAGACCTTCAACATTAACCACAGTCTTAACAACCTTGGCACCAACCGTTGGAGTTGGCGTGGACCCAAGAACTCTCAAGCCAATTAACCCACTACTTGAAGAGCCATCCACAGTGATAGCAACTGCAACACCTGGAACAACTGCAGCTGTAGTCCCAACAAATCCTATCACAACAATGAAACCTACAGCAGTTAGTGTAACAAGTGCGGAATCAACCACTGAAGAGGCAACCAATACTTTAGAGCCTATAACAACTGAAAAGTTAGCTTCAACTCCACAGACGTCCACAAAGTTATCAGCTGAGTCCAGAACAGAACTGACGACAACAATAACACCATCAACATTTGAAGGAATAACCACAAGTTTAGTGCCTAAAACAACTGTAAAGTTAATCATGGCTCTGGATGCTTCCACAATTTTTTCAACTGAGTCAATAGCAGAAATTACGACAACAATGAAACCGACATCAGTGGAAGAAACAACCATTGCTGCAATAACTGATGCATCTACCGCCAGATCAGCAATAACAACTCTAGAGTCCACAACAACTAAGAAGTTAACCTCAACCTCTCAGACCTCCAAAACACAATCAACTGAGTCAGAAACAGATTTCTTGACAACAATGAAACCAACAATAGTTGAAACAACTGGAAGTGCAGCAGCTGTTGATTCAACCATAAAATCAGCGTCCACAACTTTAGAGCCCACAACAACTCAAAAGCTACTCTCAACTCCACAGGCCTCCACAACACTGTCAACTGAGTCAAGAGAACAAGTTGCGTCAACAATGAAACCAACAACAGTGGAAGGAACAACCACACATATAGCAACTGTTGGATCAACCACACAGACAGCGAGCACAACGTTAGAGCAAATATCAACAACTCAAAAGCTAACCTCAACTCCACAGGCCTCAACACCATTGTCAGCTGATGAGTCAAGAGAAGTTGTGACAATAGTAAAACCAATAACAGTTGAAGGAACAATCTCAAGTATTGAATCAACCACAGAGTCAGCAACCACTACTTTAGATCCCACCACAACTCAAAAGCTAACCTCAACTCCACAGGCCTCCACAGCATTACCAACTGAGTCAAGAGCAGAAGTTGCTACAACAATGAAACCAACAACAGGGGAAGGAGCAATCACAAAAACAGCAACTGTTGAATCAACTACTGAGACAGCGACCACAACTTTAGATCCCACAACAACTCAAAGGCTAACCTCAACTCCGCAGGCTTCCACAGCATTGCCAACTGATGAGTCAAGAGAGGAAGTTGGGACAACATTGAAACCAACAAAAGTGGAAGGAACAACCACAGAATCAACAACCATAACTTTAGAGCCCACAACACCTCAAAAGCTAACCTCAACTCCACAGGCCTCCACAACAGTGGAAGGAACAACCACAAGTACGGCAACTGTTGAATCAACCACAGAGTCAGCAACCACAACTTCAGAGCCCACAACAACTCAAAAGCTAACCTCAACTCCACATACCTCCACAGTATTACCAACTGAGCCAAGAGCAGAAGTTGTTACAACAATGAAACCAACAATGAAACCAAGTATTGAATCAACCACAGAGTCAGCAACCACTACTTTAGATCCCACCACAACTCAAAAGCTAACCTCAACTCCACAGGCCTCCACAGCATCACCAACTGAGTCAAGAGCAGAAGTTGCTACAACAATGAAACCAACAACAGGGGAAGGAGCAATCACAAAAACAGCAACTGTTGAATCAACTACTGAGACAGCGACCACAACTTTAGATCCCACAACAACTCAAAGGCTAACCTCAACTCCGCAGGCCTCCACAGCATTGTCAACTGATGAGTCAAGAGAGGAAGTTGGGACAACATTGAAACCAACAAAAGTGGAAGGAACAACCACAGAATCAACAACCATAACTTTAGAGCCCACAACACCTCAAAAGCTAACCTCAACTCCACAGGCCTCCACAACAGTGGAAGGAACAACCACAAGTACGGCAACTGTTGAATCAACCACAGAGTCAGCAACCACAACTTCAGAGCCCACAACAACTCAAAAGCTAACCTCAACTCCACATACCTCCACAGTATTACCAACTGAGCCAAGAGCAGAAGTTGTTACTACAATGAAACCAACAACAGGGGAAGGAGCAATCACAAAAACAGCAACTGTTGAATCAACTACTGAGACAGCGACCTCAACTCTAGATCCCATAACAGCTCAAAAGTTAACCTCAACTCCACAGGCCTCTACAGCATTGTCAACTGATGAGTCAAGAGAGGAAATTTGGACAACATTTAAACCAACAAAAGTGAAAGGAACAACTACAGAATCAACAACCATAACTTTAGAGCCCACAACAACTCAAAATCTAACCTCAATTCCACAGGCCTCCACAACATTGTCAACTGAGTCAAAAAAACAAGTTGTGTCAACAATGAAACCAAAAACAGTGGAAAGAACAACCACAAGTGCGACAACTGTTGAATCAACCACAGAGTCAGCAACCACAACTTTAGATCCCACAACAACTCAAAAGCTAACCTCGAATCCACAGGCCTCCACAGTATTACCAACTGAGTCAAGAACAGACGTTGTTACAACAATAAAACCAACAACAGGGGAGGGAGCAATCACAAAAACAGCAACTGTTGAATCAACCACTGAGACAGCGACCACAACTCTAGATCCCACAACAACTCAAAAGCTAACCTCAACTCCACAGGCCTCCACAGCATTGTCAAATGATGGGTCAAGAGAGGAAGTTGGGACAACATTGAAACCAACAAAAGTGGAAGGAACAACCACAGAATCAACAACCATAACTTTAGAGCCCACAACAACTCACAAGCTTACCTCAACTCCACAGGCCTCCACAATATTGGCAACTGAGTCAAGAGAACAAGTTGTGTCAACAATAAAACCAACAATAGTGGAAGGAACAACCACAAGTACGGCAACTGTTGAATCAACCACAGAGTCAACAACCACAACTTCAGAGCCCACAACAACTCAAAAGCTAGCCTCAACTCAACAAGTTTCAACAGTATTATCAACTGATTCAAGAGAAGACATTTTGACAACAATGAAACCAACAGCAGTGGAAGGAACAACCTCAAGTACGGCAGCTGTTGAATCAACCACGGAGACAGTGACCACAACTTTAGATCCCACAACAACTCAAAAGCTACCCTCAACTCTACAGTCCTCCCCAGCATTATCGACTGAGTCAAGAACAGAAGCAGTGACAACAGTGAAACCAACAACAGTGGAAGGAACAACCACAAGTGCGGCAACTGTTGAATCAACCACAGAGTCAGCAACCACGACTTCAGAGCCAACAACGACTCAAAAGCTAGCCTCAACTCAACAAGTTTCAACAGCATTATCAACTGATTCAAGAGAAGACATTTTGACAACAATGAAACGTACAACATCGGAAGGACCAACCTCAAGTACGGCAACTGTGATGAACCCCATGATTGTTGAGACAGCTGCAGAATCTGTTGACTCAACCACAAGCCAACACGTTGAATCCATGGAGACAATGACTACTCATTCAACACCAACTAGACAACCCACAACAGAACGTTTACACTCAACAACCCTTACAACCCAAGATCCTTTGTCAACTTCACAGCCTACACTAGTATCTAATGAAAAAATCAGTGGAACAACTGATTCAGCTTCTGAAAGAACAGAGCTTGTAGAGATATTAAAGGAAACTACTACTGCCTCTGGAAAGACTGACTCTTCAACAACTAATCAGGCTCTTCTTATTGACGAAACAACAGAATTTATAACAGATATACTTGTGACTAAAGAGGAAACTACAGAAGAAATTTCAGGCATGTCACCTTCACCTGAGTTTACTTTTAAATATACGAAACCGCCATTCCAAAGAGTCACTGATATTGTTCCACCAACGACATCGGAGCTGAGCTTAACAACTTTATTTATTGAACCTATAGTCGTTGATGGATTATCCACTACAGCATCAGTGGAAGACTCTTCGAAGACCTCTGCTATGAGAGACACATCAAGACATGTTTCGGCAACTCCAGAACCCACCCCGACGAATTTAACTACACTGAGTACTGCCACGCCCGATACAACCGTTGAGGCTACAAAAACAACGGTTGTTGGTGACAATATTGCCAGAAATACCGTTGGTCCAACAGGATTAGTATCATCTGAAGCACCTAAAGCTGCTACTCCTGAACACTACTCTGAATTAATTTCAACAAGTACGCAAACACCTCCATATCCTTCTGTCACACAATCATTCAGTGAGGTTGAGGAATCGTCTACTGCACAGATTCCAATGGAGTCATCTTCCATTGTTCCCACCACGACTCATGCTGTATCAACCCAAAGCAGCAAACCAGAAGTGGTCTCCTCTTCAACACCCAAATCTTTATCAGAGGGTCCTCCTGTTACGACAGTTTCTCCAATTTCGATCTCATCAACCACTGTCATTCCAGGTTCAGTAACCCCTTCTGAACCGATTAGTGACACTACACACAAGCCAATGGAAGGTTTTACAGAGGATGTTGCCAAAACAATAGGAAAGGATGTGACAGAAGGTGCAACAACCAAATCATTTTCAAAAACAGATATTGTGGAGATTTTGACAGAAAGCTCTACACCTTCTGTTCCCATGCAAACTGATGCCAGCCTTACCTCATTAGTAAATCAAGACCTGATGGACAAAACTATCGCAGTTACACAATCAAGCCCCAAAACAGATTCATTTTTGACTGAAGAAGACACAACTACAGAGGAAATTTCAGGTTTGGGTCTTTCACCTCAATCAGTTGTTTCACCTAAGACAACACCATATCAGAGAGTAACTGATATTGGGTCAGAAACCACTGAGGATCTGAGTTTTACAAGTGTACCTCTTGGACCTACAACAGCTGCTGAGAAAACTACTCAAACACCAGTTGACATCTCTGTTGGTCCTCCCGGTTCTTTTTCTGCTGGACCTCCTGGTGTCACTACAACAAGTGGTAAACCTACTGATGACCTTTCGTCTTCTGTAACCTCTGTAACCACACCTTTTCCAACAGGAAGCACATTACCTGTTTTCAGCAGTTCAACCAAGGCTTCTGATAGACCTGATGTTTTGAATGAAGTAGACAATTCCGTCACAGACATGGCTGAGATGCAAACAAAACCAACAACGCCAATTTCTGGTGTAGCCCAAACAACAACATCTGGAGATTTTGAAGCAACTTCTCTGTTTGTTGACAAAATCAAAGACACCAAAGCTACAGACTCTTCTGGTTTGATGCCTTCTACAAAGGTTACAGAGCCCCCATCATATGTAACGGACCAAGCAACAGATATGGCTTCAGCCGAGGTTGATAAAATAACCTTTACTGATGAAAGTCCTGCAACAAAACATGTGACAACTCGGCCATCATCAGTGACAACAAAGGAGGTTGTTTATGCATCAGATTCAGTTACAGGACCAGCTGAAACTACAAAGACATCCAATGCAATCATTTCCAGTACGACTATTGGTCAAACTGCATTTGTATCGTCAAGTGCGTCTGATGCTGCTACTCCAGGAGAGAAACATGCATCACTTACAACAAGTGAGCACATGAAAACTGTCGACTCCTCAACAGAACCTCCTCCACTTGCTTCTGCCACACCCTCATTCAGTAGGACTGAGGAATCATCTACAACAAAGACTGTAATGGAGTCATTTTCCATTGTTCCCACCACGACTCATGCTGTATCAACCCATGACAGCAAACCAGAAGTGGTCTCCTCTTCAACACCCAAATCTTTATCAGAGGGTCCTCCTGTTACGACAGTTTCTCCAATTTCGATTTCATCAACCACTGTCATTCCAGGTTCAGTAACCCCTTCTGAACCGATTAGTGACACTACACACAAGCCAATGGAAGGTTTTACAGAGGATGTTGCCAAAACAACAGGAAAGGATGTGACAGAAGGTGCAACAACCAAATCATTTTCAAAAACAGATATTGTGGAGATTTTGACAGAAAGCTCTACACCTTCTGTTCCCATGCAAACTGATGCCAGCCTTACCTCATTAGTAAATCTAGACCTGATGGACAAAACTATCGCAGTTACACAATCAAGCCCCAAAACAGATTCATTTTTGACTGAAGAAGACACAACTACAGAGGAAATTTCAGGTTTGGGTCTTTCACCTCAATCAGTTGATTCACCTAAGACAACACCATATCAGAGAGTAACTGATATTGGGTCAGAAACCACTGAGGATCTGAGTTTTACAAGTGTACCTCTTGGACCTACAACAGCTGCTGAGAAAACTACTCAAACACCAGTTGACATCTCTGTTGGTCCTCCCGGTTCTTTTTCTGCTGGACCTCCTGGTGTCACTACAACAAGTGGTAAACCTACTGATGACCTTTCGTCTTCTGTAACCTCTGTAACCACACCTTTTCCAACAGGAAGCACATTACCTGTTTTCAGCAGTTCAACCAAGGCTTCTGATAGACCTGATGTTTTGAATGAAGTAGACAATACCGTCACAGACATGGCTGAGATGCAAACAAAACCAACAACGCCAATTTCTAGTGTAGCCCAAACAACAACATCTGGAGATTTTGAAGCAACTTCTATGTTTGTTGACAAAATCAAAGACACCAAAGCTACAGACTCTTCTGGTTTGATGCCTTCTACAAAGGTTACAGAGCCCCCATCATATGTAAAGGACCAAGCAACAGATATGGCTTCAGCCGAGGTTGATAAAATAACCTTTACTGATGAAAGTCCTGCAACAAAACATGTGACAACTCGGCCATCATCAGTGACAACAAAGGAGGTTGTTTATGCATCAGATTCAGTTACAGGACCAGCTGAAACTACAAAGACATCCAATGCAATCATTTCCAGTACGACTATTGGTCAAACTGCATTTGTATCGTCAAGTGCGTCTGATGCTGCTACTCCAGGAGAGAAACATGCATCACTTACAACAAGTGAGCACATGAAAACTGTCGACTCCTCAACAGAACCTCCTCCACTTGCTTCTGCCACACCCTCATTCAGTAGGACTGAGGAATCATCTACAACAAAGACTGTAATGGAGTCATCTTCCATTGTTCCCACCACGACTCATGCTGTATCAACCCATGACAGCAAACCAGAAGTGGTCTCCTCTTCAACACCCAAATCTTTATCAGAGGGTCCTCCTGTTACGACAGTTTCTCCAATTTCGATTTCATCAACCACTGTCATTCCAGGTTCAGTAACCCCTTCTGAACCGATTAGTGACACTACACACAAGCCAATGGAAGGTTTTACAGAGGATGTTGCCAAAACAACAGGAAAGGATGTGACAGAAGGTGCAACAACCAAATCATTTTCAAAAACAGATATTGTGGAGATTTTGACAGAAAGCTCTACACCTTCTGTTCCCATGCAAACTGATGCCAGCCTTACCTCATTAGTAAATCAAGACCTGATGGACAAAAATATGGCAGTTACACAATCAAGCCCCAAAACAGATTCATTTTTGACTGAAGAAGACACAACTACAGAGGAAATTTCAGGTTTGGGTCTTTCACCTCAATCAGTTGTTTCACCTAAGACAACACCATATCAGAGAGTAACTGATATTGGGTCAGAAACCACTGAGGATCTGAGTTTTACAAGTGTACCTCTTGGACCTACAACAGCTGCTGAGAAAACTACTCAAACACCAGTTGACATCTCTGTTGGTCCTCCCGGTTCTTTTTCTGCTGGACCTCCTGGTGTCACTACAACAAGTGGTAAACCTACTGATGACCTTTTGTCTTCTGTAACCTCTGTAACCACACCTTTTCCAACAGGAAGCACACTACCTGTTTTCAGCAGTTCAACCAAGGCTTCTGATAGACCTGATGTTTTGAATGAAGTAGACAATTCTGTCACAGACATGGCTGAGATGCAAACAAAACCAACAACGCCAATTTCTAGTGTAGCCCAAACAACAACATCTGGAGATTTTGAAGCAACTTCTATGTTTGTTGACAAAATCAAAGACACCAAAGCTACAGACTCTTCTGGTTTGATGCCTTCTACAAAGGTTACAGAGCCCCCATCATATGTAAAGGACCAAGCAACAGATATGGCTTCAGCCGAGGTTGATAAAATAACCTTTACTGATGAAAGTCCTGCAACAAAACATGTGACAACTCGGCCATCATCAGTGACAACAAAGGAGGTTGTTTATGCATCAGATTCAGTTACAGGACCAGCTGAAACTACAAAGACATCCATTGCAATCATTTCCAGTACGACTATTGGTCAAACTGCATTTGTATCGTCAAGTGCGTCTGATGCTGCTACTCCAGGAGAGAAACATGCATCACTTACAACAAGTGAGCACATGAAAACTGTCGACTCCTCAACAGAACCTCCTCCACTTGCTTCTGCCACACCCTCATTCAGTAGGACTGAGGAATCATCTACAACAAAGACTGTAATGGAGTCATCTTCCATTGTTCCCACCACGACTCATGCTGTATCAACCCATGACAGCAAACCAGAAGTGGTCTCCTCTTCAACACCCAAATCTTTATCAGAGGGTCCTCCTGTTACGACAGTTTCTCCAATTTCGATTTCATCAACCACTGTCATTCCAGGTTCAGTAACCCCTTCTGAACCGATTAGTGACACTACACACAAGCCAATGGAAGGTTTTACAGAGGATGTTGCCAAAACAACAGGAAAGGATGTGACAGAAGGTGCAACAACCAAATCATTTTCAAAAACAGATATTGTGGAGATTTTGACAGAAAGCTCTACACCTTCTGTTCCCATGCAAACTGATGCCAGCCTTACCTCATTAGTAAATCAAGACCTGATGGACAAAAATATGGCAGTTACACAATCAAGCCCCAAAACAGATTCATTTTTGACTGAAGAAGACACAACTACAGAGGAAATTTCAGGTTTGGGTCTTTCACCTCAATCAGTTGTTTCACCTAAGACAACACCATATCAGAGAGTAACTGATATTGGGTCAGAAACAACTGAGGATCTGAGTTTTACAAGTGTACCTGTTGGACCTACAACAGCTGCTGAGAAAACTACTCAAACACCAGTTGACATCTCTGTTGGTCCTCCCGGTTCTTTTTCTGCTGGACCTCCTGGTGTCACTACAACAAGTGGTAAACCTACTGATGACCTTTTGTCTTCTGTAACCTCTGTAACCACACCTTTTCCAACAGGAAGCACACTACCTGTTTTCAGCAGTTCAACCAAGGCTTCTGATAGACCTGATGTTTTGAATGAAGTAGACAATTCTGTCACAGACATGGCTGAGATGCAAACAAAACCAACAACGCTAATTTCTAGTGTAGCCCAAACAACAACATCTGGAGATTTTGAAGCAACTTCTATGTTTGTTGACAAAATCAAAGACACCAAAGCTACAGACTCTTCTGGTTTGATGACTTCTACAAAGGTTACAGAGCCCCCATCAGATGTAACAGACCAAGCAACCGATATGACTTCAGCCGAGGTTGATAAAATAACCTTTAGTGATGAAAGTCCTGCAACAAAACATGTGACAACTCAGCCATCATCAGTGACAACAAAGGAGGTTGTTTATGCATCAGATTCAGTTACAGGACCAGCTGAAACTACAAAGACATCCAATGCAATCATTTCCAGTACGACTATTGGTCAAACTGCATTTGTATCATCAAGTGCGTCTGATGCTGCTACTCCAGGAGAGAAACTTGCATCACTTACAACAAGTGAGCACATGAAAACTGTCGACTCCTCAACAGAACCTCCTCCACTTGCTTCTGCCACACCCTCATTCAGTAGGACTGAGAAATCATCTACAACAAAGACTGTAATGGAGTCATTTTCCATTGTTCCCACCACGACTCATGCTGTATCAACCCATGACAGCAAACCAGAAGAGGTCTCCTCTTCAACACCCAAATCTTTATCAGAGGGTCCTCCTGTTACGACAGTTTCTCCAATTTCGATCTCATCAACCACTGTCATTCCAGGTTCAGTAACCCCTTTTGAACCAATTAGTGACACTACACACAAGTCAATGGAAGGTTTTACCGAGGACGTTGCCAAAACAAAAGGAAGGGATGTGACAGAAGGTGCAACAACCAAATCATTTTCAAAAACAGATATTGTGGAGATTTTGACAGAAAGCTCTACACCTTCTGTTCCCATGCAAACTGATGCCAGCCTTACCTCATTAGTAAATCAAGACCTGATGGACAAAACTATGGCAGTTACACAATCAAGCCCCAAAACAGATTCATTTTTGACTGAAGAAGACACAACTACAGAGGCCATTTCGGGCTTGGGTCTTTCACCTCAATCAGTTGTTTCACTAAAGACAACATCATATCAGAGAGTAACTGATATTGGGTCAGTAACTACTGAGGATCTGAGTTTTACAAGTGTACCTGCTGGACCTACAACAGCTGCTGAGAAAACTACTAAAACACCAGTTGACATCTCTGTTGGTCCTCCCGGTTCTTTTTCTGCTGGACCTCCTGGTGTCACTACAACAAGTGGTAAACCTACTGATGAGCTTTCGTCTTCTGCAACCTCTGTAACCACACCTTTTCCAACAGGAAGCACATTACCTGTTTTCAGCAGTTTAATCAAGGCTACTGATAGACCTGATGTTGTGGATGAAGTAGACAATTCCATCACAGACATGGCTGAGATGCAAACAAAACCAACAATGCCAATTTCTGGTGTAGCCCAAACAACAACATCTGGAGATTTTGAAGCAACTTCTATGTTTGTTGACAAAATCAAAGACACCAAAACTACAGACTCTTCTGGTTTAATGCCTTCTACAAAGGTTACAGAGCCCCCATCATATGTAACAGACCAAGCAACAGATATGGCTTCAGCCGAGGTTGATAAAATAACCTTTACTGATGAAAGTCCTGCAACAAAACATGTGACAACTCAGCCATCATCAGTGACAACAAAGGAGGTTGTTTATGCATCAGATTCAGTTACGGGACCAGCTGAAACTACAAAGACATCCAATGCAATCATTTCCAGTACGACTATTGGTCAAACTGCATTTGTATCGTCAAGTACGTCTGATGCTGCTACTCCAGGAGAGAAACATGCATCACTTACAACAAGTGAGCACATGAAAACTGTCGACTCTTCAACAGAACCTCCTCCACTAGCTTCTGCCACACCCTCGTTCAGTAGGACTGAAATATCATCTACAACAAGGATTGAAATGGAGTCATCTTCCATTGTTCCCACCAGGACTCATACTGTGTCAACCCAAAGCAGCAAACCAGAAGAGGTCTCCTCTTCAACACCCAAATCTTTATCAGAGGGTTCTCCTGTTAGGACAGTTTCTCCAATTTCGATCTCATCAACCACTGTCATTCCAGGTTCAGTAACCCCTTCTGAACCGATTAGTGACACTACACACAAGCCAATGGAAGGTTTTACCGAGGACGTTGCCAAAACAACAGGAAGGGATGTGACAGAAGGTGCAACAACCAAATCATTTTCAAAAACAGAAATTGTGGAGATTTTGACAGAAAGCTCTTCACCTTCTGTTCCCATGCAAACTGATGCCAGCCTTACCTCATTAGTAAATCAAGACCTGATGGACAAAACTATGGCAGTTACACAATCAAGCCCCAAAACAGATTCATTTTTGACTGCAGAAGACACAACTACAGAGGAAATTTCAGGTTTGGGTCTTTCACCTCAATCAGTTGTTTCACCTAAGACAACACCATATCAGAGAGTAACTGATATTGGGTCAGTAACCGCTGAGGATCTGAGTTTTACAAGTGTACCTGTTGGACCTACAACAGCTGCTGAGAAAACTACTCAAACACCAGTTGACATCTCTGTTGGTCCTTCCGGTTCTGTTGCTGCTGGACCTCCTGGTGTCACTACAACAAGTGGTAAACCTACTGATGAGCTTTCATCTGCTGCAACCTCTGTAACCACACCTTTTCCAACAGGAAGCACATTACCTGTTTTCAGCAGTTCAACCAAGGCTACTGATAGACCCAATGTTGTGGATGAAGTAGACAATTCCATCACAGACATGGCTGAGATGCAAACAAAACCAACAACGCCAATTCTTGGTGTAGCCCAAACAACAACATTTGGAGATTTTGAAGCAACTTCTATGTTTGTTGACAAAATCAAAGACACCAAAACTACAGACTCTTCTGGTTTAATGCCTTCTACAAAGGTTACAGAGCCCCCATCATATGTAACAGACCAAGCAACAGATATGGCTTCAGCCGAGGTTGATAAAATAACCTTTACTGATGAAAGTTCTGCAACAAAACATGTGACAACTCAGCCATCATCAGTGGCAACAAAGGAGGTTGTCCATGCATCAGATCCAGTCAAAGGACCAGCTGAAACTACAAAGACATCCAATGCAATTATTTCCAGTACGACTATTGGTCAAACTGCATTTGTATCATCAGGTGCGTCTGATACTGTGGCAGTTACACAATCAAGCCCCAAAACAGATTCATTTTTGACTGAAGAAGACACAACTACAGAGGCCATTTCAGGCTTGGGTCTTTCACCTCAATCAGTTGTTTCACCTAAGACAACACCATATCAGAGAGTAACTGATATTGGGTCAGTAACCGCTGAGGATCTGAGTTTTACAAGTGTACCTGTTGGACCTACAACAGCTGCTGAGAAAACTACTCAAACACCAGTTGACATCTCTGTTGGTCCTTCCGGTTCTGTTTCTGCTGGACCTCCTGGTGTCACTACAACAAGTGGTAAACCTACTGATGAGCTTCCATCTTCTGCAACCTCTGTAACCACACCTTTTCCAACAGGAAGCACATTACCTGTTTTCAGCAGTTTAATCAAGGCTACTGATAGACCTGATGTTGTGGATGAAGTAGACAATTCCATCACAGACATGGCTGAGATGCAAACAAAACCAACAACCCTAATTTCTGGTGTAGCCCAAACAACAACATCTGGAGATTTTGAAGCAACTTCTATGTTTGTTGACAAAATCGAAGACAATAAAACTACAGACTCTTCTGGTTTGATGCCTTCTACAAAGGTTACAGAGCCCCCATCAGATGTAACAGACCAAGCAACAGATATGACTTTAGCCGAGGTTAATAAAATAACCTTTACTGATGAAAGTCCTGCAACAAAACATGTGACAACTCAGCCATCATCAGTGGCAACAAAGGAGGTTGTCCATGCATCAGATCCAGTCAAAGGACCAGCTGAAACTACAAAGACATCCAATGCAATTATTTCCAGTACGACTATTGGTCAAACTGCATTTGTATCATCAGGTGCGTCTGATGCTGTGGCAGTTACACAATCAAGCCCCAAAACAGATTCATTTTTGACTGAAGAAGACACAACTACAGAGGCCATTTCAGGCTTGGGTCTTTCACCTCAATCAGTTGTTTCACCTAAGACAACACCATATCAGAGAGTAACTGATATTGGGTCAGAAACCACTGAGGATCTGAGTTTTACAAGTGTACCTCTTGGACCTACAACAGCTGCTGAGAAAACTACTCAAACACCAGTTGACATCTCTGTTGGTCCTCCCGGTTCTTTTTCTGCTGGACCTCCTGGTGTCACTACAACAAGTGGTAAACCTACTGATGACCTTTCGTCTTCTGTAACCTCTGTAACCACACCTTTTCCAACAGGAAGCACATTACCTGTTTTCAGCAGTTTAATCAAGGCTTCTGATAGACCTGATGTTTTGAATGAAGTAGACAATTCCGTCACAGACATGGCTGAGATGCAAACAAAACCAACAACGCCAATTTCTAGTGTAGCCCAAACAACAACATCTGGAGATTTTGAAGCAACTTCTATGTTTGTTGACAAAATCAAAGACACCAAAGCTACAGACTCTTCTGGTTTGATGACTTCTACAAAGGTTACAGAGCCCCCATCAGATGTAACAGACCAAGCAACCGATATGACTTCAGCCGAGGTTGATAAAATAACCTTTAGTGATGAAAGTCCTGCAACAAAACATGTGACAACTCAGCCATCATCAGTGACAACAAAGGAGGTTGTTTATGCATCAGATTCAGTTACAGGACCAGCTGAAACTACAAAGACATCCAATGCAATCATTTCCAGTACGACTATTGGTCAAACTGCATTTGTATCATCAAGTGCGTCTGATGCTGCTACTCCAGGAGAGAAACTTGCATCACTTACAACAAGTGAGCACATGAAAACTGTCGACTCCTCAACAGAACCTCCTCCACTTGCTTCTGCCACACCCTCATTCAGTAGGACTGAGAAATCATCTACAACAAAGACTGTAATGGAGTCATTTTCCATTGTTCCCACCACGACTCATGCTGTATCAACCCATGACAGCAAACCAGAAGAGGTCTCCTCTTCAACACCCAAATCTTTATCAGAGGGTCCTCCTGTTACGACAGTTTCTCCAATTTCGATCTCATCAACCACTGTCATTCCAGGTTCAGTAACCCCTTTTGAACCAATTAGTGACACTACACACAAGTCAATGGAAGGTTTTACCGAGGACGTTGCCAAAACAAAAGGAAGGGATGTGACAGAAGGTGCAACAACCAAATCATTTTCAAAAACAGATATTGTGGAGATTTTGACAGAAAGCTCTACACCTTCTGTTCCCATGCAAACTGATGCCAGCCTTACCTCATTAGTAAATCAAGACCTGATGGACAAAACTATGGCAGTTACACAATCAAGCCCCAAAACAGATTCATTTTTGACTGAAGAAGACACAACTACAGAGGCCATTTCGGGCTTGGGTCTTTCACCTCAATCAGTTGTTTCACTAAAGACAACATCATATCAGAGAGTAACTGATATTGGGTCAGTAACTACTGAGGATCTGAGTTTTACAAGTGTACCTGCTGGACCTACAACAGCTGCTGAGAAAACTACTAAAACACCAGTTGACATCTCTGTTGGTCCTCCCGGTTCTTTTTCTGCTGGACCTCCTGGTGTCACTACAACAAGTGGTAAACCTACTGATGAGCTTTCGTCTTCTGCAACCTCTGTAACCACACCTTTTCCAACAGGAAGCACATTACCTGTTTTCAGCAGTTTAATCAAGGCTACTGATAGACCTGATGTTGTGGATGAAGTAGACAATTCCATCACAGACATGGCTGAGATGCAAACAAAACCAACAATGCCAATTTCTGGTGTAGCCCAAACAACAACATCTGGAGATTTTGAAGCAACTTCTATGTTTGTTGACAAAATCAAAGACACCAAAACTACAGACTCTTCTGGTTTAATGCCTTCTACAAAGGTTACAGAGCCCCCATCATATGTAACAGACCAAGCAACAGATATGGCTTCAGCCGAGGTTGATAAAATAACCTTTACTGATGAAAGTCCTGCAACAAAACATGTGACAACTCAGCCATCATCAGTGACAACAAAGGAGGTTGTTTATGCATCAGATTCAGTTACGGGACCAGCTGAAACTACAAAGACATCCAATGCAATCATTTCCAGTACGACTATTGGTCAAACTGCATTTGTATCGTCAAGTACGTCTGATGCTGCTACTCCAGGAGAGAAACATGCATCACTTACAACAAGTGAGCACATGAAAACTGTCGACTCTTCAACAGAACCTCCTCCACTAGCTTCTGCCACACCCTCGTTCAGTAGGACTGAAATATCATCTACAACAAGGATTGAAATGGAGTCATCTTCCATTGTTCCCACCAGGACTCATACTGTGTCAACCCAAAGCAGCAAACCAGAAGAGGTCTCCTCTTCAACACCCAAATCTTTATCAGAGGGTTCTCCTGTTAGGACAGTTTCTCCAATTTCGATCTCATCAACCACTGTCATTCCAGGTTCAGTAACCCCTTCTGAACCGATTAGTGACACTACACACAAGCCAATGGAAGGTTTTACCGAGGACGTTGCCAAAACAACAGGAAGGGATGTGACAGAAGGTGCAACAACCAAATCATTTTCAAAAACAGAAATTGTGGAGATTTTGACAGAAAGCTCTTCACCTTCTGTTCCCATGCAAACTGATGCCAGCCTTACCTCATTAGTAAATCAAGACCTGATGGACAAAACTATGGCAGTTACACAATCAAGCCCCAAAACAGATTCATTTTTGACTGCAGAAGACACAACTACAGAGGAAATTTCAGGTTTGGGTCTTTCACCTCAATCAGTTGTTTCACCTAAGACAACACCATATCAGAGAGTAACTGATATTGGGTCAGTAACCGCTGAGGATCTGAGTTTTACAAGTGTACCTGTTGGACCTACAACAGCTGCTGAGAAAACTACTCAAACACCAGTTGACATCTCTGTTGGTCCTTCCGGTTCTGTTGCTGCTGGACCTCCTGGTGTCACTACAACAAGTGGTAAACCTACTGATGAGCTTTCATCTGCTGCAACCTCTGTAACCACACCTTTTCCAACAGGAAGCACATTACCTGTTTTCAGCAGTTCAACCAAGGCTACTGATAGACCCAATGTTGTGGATGAAGTAGACAATTCCATCACAGACATGGCTGAGATGCAAACAAAACCAACAACGCCAATTCTTGGTGTAGCCCAAACAACAACATTTGGAGATTTTGAAGCAACTTCTATGTTTGTTGACAAAATCAAAGACACCAAAACTACAGACTCTTCTGGTTTAATGCCTTCTACAAAGGTTACAGAGCCCCCATCATATGTAACAGACCAAGCAACAGATATGGCTTCAGCCGAGGTTGATAAAATAACCTTTACTGATGAAAGTTCTGCAACAAAACATGTGACAACTCAGCCATCATCAGTGGCAACAAAGGAGGTTGTCCATGCATCAGATCCAGTCAAAGGACCAGCTGAAACTACAAAGACATCCAATGCAATTATTTCCAGTACGACTATTGGTCAAACTGCATTTGTATCATCAGGTGCGTCTGATACTGTGGCAGTTACACAATCAAGCCCCAAAACAGATTCATTTTTGACTGAAGAAGACACAACTACAGAGGCCATTTCAGGCTTGGGTCTTTCACCTCAATCAGTTGTTTCACCTAAGACAACACCATATCAGAGAGTAACTGATATTGGGTCAGTAACCGCTGAGGATCTGAGTTTTACAAGTGTACCTGTTGGACCTACAACAGCTGCTGAGAAAACTACTCAAACACCAGTTGACATCTCTGTTGGTCCTTCCGGTTCTGTTTCTGCTGGACCTCCTGGTGTCACTACAACAAGTGGTAAACCTACTGATGAGCTTCCATCTTCTGCAACCTCTGTAACCACACCTTTTCCAACAGGAAGCACATTACCTGTTTTCAGCAGTTTAATCAAGGCTACTGATAGACCTGATGTTGTGGATGAAGTAGACAATTCCATCACAGACATGGCTGAGATGCAAACAAAACCAACAACCCTAATTTCTGGTGTAGCCCAAACAACAACATCTGGAGATTTTGAAGCAACTTCTATGTTTGTTGACAAAATCGAAGACAATAAAACTACAGACTCTTCTGGTTTGATGCCTTCTACAAAGGTTACAGAGCCCCCATCAGATGTAACAGACCAAGCAACAGATATGACTTTAGCCGAGGTTAATAAAATAACCTTTACTGATGAAAGTCCTGCAACAAAACATGTGACAACTCAGCCATCATCAGTGGCAACAAAGGAGGTTGTCCATGCATCAGATCCAGTCAAAGGACCAGCTGAAACTACAAAGACATCCAATGCAATTATTTCCAGTACGACTATTGGTCAAACTGCATTTGTATCATCAGGTGCGTCTGATGCTGTGGCAGTTACACAATCAAGCCCCAAAACAGATTCATTTTTGACTGAAGAAGACACAACTACAGAGGCCATTTCAGGCTTGGGTCTTTCACCTCAATCAGTTGTTTCACCTAAGACAACACCATATCAGAGAGTAACTGATATTGGGTCAGAAACCACTGAGGATCTGAGTTTTACAAGTGTACCTCTTGGACCTACAACAGCTGCTGAGAAAACTACTCAAACACCAGTTGACATCTCTGTTGGTCCTCCCGGTTCTTTTTCTGCTGGACCTCCTGGTGTCACTACAACAAGTGGTAAACCTACTGATGACCTTTCGTCTTCTGTAACCTCTGTAACCACACCTTTTCCAACAGGAAGCACATTACCTGTTTTCAGCAGTTTAATCAAGGCTTCTGATAGACCTGATGTTTTGAATGAAGTAGACAATTCCGTCACAGACATGGCTGAGATGCAAACAAAACCAACAACGCCAATTTCTAGTGTAGCCCAAACAACAACATCTGGAGATTTTGAAGCAACTTCTATGTTTGTTGACAAAATCAAAGACACCAAAGCTACAGACTCTTCTGGTTTGATGACTTCTACAAAGGTTACAGAGCCCCCATCAGATGTAACAGACCAAGCAACCGATATGACTTCAGCCGAGGTTGATAAAATAACCTTTAGTGATGAAAGTCCTGCAACAAAACATGTGACAACTCAGCCATCATCACTGACAACAAAGGAGGTTGTTTATGCATCAGATTCAGTTACAGGACCAGCTGAAACTACAAAGACATCCAATGCAATCATTTCCAGTACGACTATTGGTCAAACTGCATTTGTATCATCAAGTGCGTCTGATGCTGCTACTCCAGGAGAGAAACTTGCATCACTTACAACAAGTGAGCACATGAAAACTGTCGACTCCTCAACAGAACCTCCTCCACTTGCTTCTGCCACACCCTCATTCAGTAGGACTGAGGAATCATCTACAACAAAGACTGTAATGGAGTCATCTTCCATTGTTCCCACCACGACTCATGCTGTATCAACCCATGACAGCAAACCAGAAGAGGTCTCCTCTTCAACACCCAAATCTTTATCAGAGGGTCCTCCTGTTACGACAGTTTCTCCAATTTCGATCTCATCAACCACTGTCATTCCAGGTTCAGTAACCCCTTCTGAACCAATTAGTGACACTACACACAAGTCAATGGAAGGTTTTACCGAGGACGTTGCCAAAACAAAAGGAAGGGATGTGACAGAAGGTGCAACAACGAAATCATTTTCAAAAACAGATATTGTGGAGATTTTGACAGAAAGCTCTACACCTTCTGTTCCCATGCAAACTGATGCCAGCCTTACCTCATTAGTAAATCAAGACCTGATGGACAAAACTATGGCAGTTACACAATCAAGCCCCAAAACAGATTCATTTTTGACTGAAGAAGACACAACTACAGAGGCCATTTCGGGCTTGGGTCTTTCATCTCAATCAGTTGTTTCACTAAAGACAGCATCATATCAGAGAGTAACTGATATTGGGTCAGTAACTACTGAGGATCTGAGTTTTACAAGTGTACCTGCTGGACCTACAACAGCTGCTGAGAAAACTACTAAAACACCAGTTGACATCTCTGTTGGTCCTCCCGGTTCTTTTTCTGCTGGACCTCCTGGTGTCACTACAACAAGTGGTAAACCTACTGATGAGCTTTCATCTTCTGCAACCTCTGTAACCACACCTTTTCCAACAGGAAGCACATTACCTGTTTTCAGCAGTTTAATCAAGGCTACTGATAGACCTGATGTTGTGGATGAAGTAGACAATTCCATCACAGACATGGCTGAGATGCAAACAAAACCAACAACGCCAATTTCTGGTGTAGCCCAAACAACAACATCTGGAGATTTTGAAGCAACTTCTATGTTTGTTGACAAAATCAAAGACACCAAAACTACAGACTCTTCTGGTTTAATGCCTTCTACAAAGGTTACAGAGTCCCCATCATATGTAACAGACCAAGCAACAGATATGGCTTCAGCCGAGGTTGATAAAATAACCTTTACTGATGAAAGTCCTGCAACAAAACATGTGACAACTCAGCCATCATCAGTGACAACAAAGGAGGTTGTTTATGCATCAGATTCAGTTACGGGACCAGCTGAAACTACAAAGACATCCAATGCAATCATTTCCAGTACGACTATTGGTCAAACTGCATTTGTATCGTCAAGTACGTCTGATGCTGCTACTCCAGGAGAGAAACATGCATCACTTACAACAAGTGAGCACATGAAAACTGTCGACTCTTCAACAGAACCTCCTCCACTTGCTTCTGCCACACCCTCGTTCAGTAGGACTGAAATATCATCTACAACAAGGATTGAAATGGAGTCATCTTCCATTGTTCCCACCAGGACTCATACTGTGTCAATCCAAAGCAGCAAACCAGAAGAGGTCTCCTCTTCAACACCCAAATCTTTATCAGAGGGTTCTCCTGTTAGGACAGTTTCTCCAATTTCGATCTCATCAACCACTGTCATTCCAGGTTCAGTAACCCCTTCTGAACCGATTAGTGACACTACACACAAGCCAATGGAAGGTTTTACCGAGGACGTTGCCAAAACAACAGGAAGGGATGTGACAGAAGGTGCAACAACCAAATCATTTTCAAAAACAGAAATTGTGGAGATTTTGACAGAAAGCTCTTCACCTTCTGTTCCCATGCAATCTGATGCCAGCCTTACCTCATTAGTAAATCAAGACCTGATGGACAAAACTATGGCAGTTACACAATCAAGCCCCAAAACAGATTCATTTTTGACTGCAGAAGACACAACTACAGAGGAAATTTCAGGTTTGGGTCTTTCACCTCAATCAGTTGTTTCACCTAAGACAACACCATATCAGAGAGTAACTGATATTGGGTCAGTAACCGCTGAGGATCTGAGTTTTACAAGTGTACCTGTTGGACCTACAACAGCTGCTGAGAAAACTACTCAAACACCAGTTGACATCTCTGTTGGTCCTCCCGGTTCTGTTGCTGCTGGACCTCCTGGTGTCACTACAATAAGTGGTAAACCTACTGATGAGCTTTCGTCTTCTGCAACCTCTGTAACCACACCTTTTCCAACAGGAAGCACATTACCTGTTTTCAGCAGTTTAATCAAGGCTACTGATAGACCTGATGTTGTGGATGAAGTAGACAATTCCATCACAGACATGGCTGAGATGCAAACAAAACCAACAACGCCAATTTCTGATGTAGCCCAAACAACAACATTTGGAGATTTTGAAGCAACTTCTATGTTTGTTGACAAAATCAAAGACACCAGAACTACAGACTCTTCTGGTTTAATGCCTTCTACAAAGGTTACAGAGCCCCCATCATATGTTACAGACCAAGCAACAGATATGGCTTCAGCCGAGGTTGATAATATAACCTTTACTGATGAAAGTCCTGCAACAAAACATGTGACAACTCAGCCATCATCAGTGGCAACAAAGGAGGTTGCCCATGCATCAGATCCAGTCAAAGGACCAGCTGAAACTACAAAGACATCCAATGCAATTATTTCCAGTACGACTATTGGTCAAACTGCATTTGTATCATCAGGTGTGTCTGATGCTGTGGCAGTTAGACAATCAAGCCCCAAAACAGATTCATTTTTGACTGAAGAAGACACAACTACAGAGGCCATTTCAGGATTGGGTCTTTCACCTCAATCAGTTGTTTCACCTAAGACAACACCATATCAGAGAGTAACTGAAATTGGGTCAGAAACCACTGAGGATCTGAGTTTTACAAGTGTACCTCTTGGACCTACAACAGCTGCTGAGAAAACTACTCAAACACCAGTTGACATCTCTGTTGGTCCTCCCGGTTCTTTTTCTGCTGGACCTCCTGGTGTCACTACAACAAGTGGTAAACCTACTGATGACCTTTCGTCTTCTGTAACCTCTGTAACCACACCTTTTCCAACAGGAAGCACACTACCTGTTTTCAGCAGTTCAACCAAGGCTTCTGATAGACCTGATGTTTTGAATGAAGTAGACAATTCCGTCACAGACGTGGCTGAGATGCAAACAAAACCAACAACGCCAATTTCTAGTGTAGCCCAAACAACAACATCTGGAGATTTTGAAGCAACTTCTATGTTTGTTGACAAAATCAAAGACACCAAAGCTACAGACTCTTCTGGTTTGATGACTTCTACAAAGGTTACAGAGCCCCCATCAGATGTAACAGACCAAGCAACCGATATGACTTCAGCCGAGGTTGATAAAATAACCTTTAGTGATGAAAGTCCTGCAACAAAACATGTGACAACTCAGCCATCATCAGTGACAACAAAGGAGGTTGTTTATGCATCAGATTCAGTTACAGGACCAGCTGAAACTACAAAGACATCCAATGCAATCATTTCCAGTACGACTATTGGTCAAACTGCATTTGTATCATCAAGTGCGTCTGATGCTGCTACTCCAGGAGAGAAACTTGCATCACTTACAACAAGTGAGCACATGAAAACTGTCGACTCCTCAACAGAACCTCCTCCACTTGCTTCTGCCACACCCTCATTCAGTAGGACTGAGGAATCATCTACAACAAAGACTGTAATGGAGTCATCTTCCATTGTTCCCACCACGACTCATGCTGTATCAACCCATGACAGCAAACCAGAAGAGGTCTCCTCTTCAACACCCAAATCTTTATCAGAGGGTCCTCCTGTTACGACAGTTTCTCCAATTTCGATCTCATCAACCACTGTCATTCCAGGTTCAGTAACCCCTTCTGAACCAATTAGTGACACTACACACAAGTCAATGGAAGGTTTTACCGAGGACGTTGCCAAAACAAAAGGAAGGGATGTGACAGAAGGTGCAACAACCAAATCATTTTCAAAAACAGATATTGTGGAGATTTTGACAGAAAGCTCTACACCTTCTGTTCCCATGCAAACTGATGCCAGCCTTACCTCATTAGTAAATCAAGACCTGATGGACAAAACTATGGCAGTTACACAATCAAGCCCCAAAACAGATTCATTTTTGACTGAAGAAGACACAACTACAGAGGCCATTTCGGGCTTGGGTCTTTCATCTCAATCAGTTGTTTCACTAAAGACAGCATCATATCAGAGAGTAACTGATATTGGGTCAGTAACTACTGAGGATCTGAGTTTTACAAGTGTACCTGCTGGACCTACAACAGCTGCTGAGAAAACTACTAAAACACCAGTTGACATCTCTGTTGGTCCTCCCGGTTCTTTTTCTGCTGGACCTCCTGGTGTCACTACAACAAGTGGTAAACCTACTGATGAGCTTTCATCTTCTGCAACCTCTGTAACCACACCTTTTCCAACAGGAAGCACATTACCTGTTTTCAGCAGTTCAACCAAGGCTTCTGATAGACCTGATGTTTTGAATGAAGTAGACAATTCTGTCACAGACATGGCTGAGATGCAAACAAAACCAACAACGCCAATTTCTAGTGTAGCCCAAACAACAACATCTGGAGATTTTGAAGCAACTTCTATGTTTGTTGACAAAATCAAAGACACCAAAGCTACAGACTCTTCTGGTTTGATGCCTTCTACAAAGGTTACAGAGCCCCCATCATATGTAAAGGACCAAGCAACAGATATGGCTTCAGCCGAGGTTGATAAAATAACCTTTACTGATGAAAGTCCTGCAACAAAACATGTGACAACTCGGCCATCATCAGTGACAACAAAGGAGGTTGTTTATGCATCAGATTCAGTTACAGGACCAGCTGAAACTACAAAGACATCCATTGCAATCATTTCCAGTACGACTATTGGTCAAACTGCATTTGTATCGTCAAGTGCGTCTGATGCTGCTACTCCAGGAGAGAAACATGCATCACTTACAACAAGTGAGCACATGAAAACTGTCGACTCCTCAACAGAACCTCCTCCACTTGCTTCTGCCACACCCTCATTCAGTAGGACTGAGGAATCATCTACAACAAAGACTGTAATGGAGTCATCTTCCATTGTTCCCACCACGACTCATGCTGTATCAACCCATGACAGCAAACCAGAAGAGGTCTCCTCTTCAACACCCAAATCTTTATCAGAGGGTCCTCCTGTTACGACAGTTTCTCCAATTTCGATCTCATCAACCACTGTCATTCCAGGTTCAGTAATCCCTTCTGAACAAATTAGTGACACTACACACAAGTCAATGGAAGGTTTTACCGAGGACGTTGCCAAAACAAAAGGAAGGGATGTGACAGAAGGTGCAACAACCAAATCATTTTCAAAAACAGATATTGTGGAGATTTTGACAGAAAGCTCTACACCTTTTGTTCCCATGCAAACTGATGACAGCCTTACCTCATTAGTAAATCAAGACCTGATGGACAAAACTATGGCAGTTACACAATCAAGCCCCAAAACAGATTCATTTTTGACTGAAGAAGACACAACTACAGAGGCCATTTCGGGCTTGGGTCTTTCATCTCAATCAGTTGTTTCACTAAAGACAACATCATATCAGAGAGTAACTGATATTGGGTCAGTAACTACTGAGGATCTGAGTTTTACAAGTGTACCTGCTGGACCTACAACAGCTGCTGAGAAAACTACTAAAACACCAGTTGACATCTCTGTTGGTCATCCCGGTTCTTTTTCTGCTGGACCTCCTGGTGTCAATGCAACAAGTGGTAAACCTACTGATGAGCTTTCGTCTTCTGCAACCTCTGTAACCACACCTTTTCCAACAGGAAGCACATTACCTGTTTTCAGCAGTTTAATCAAGGCTACTGATAGACCTGATGTTGTGGATGAAGTAGACAATTCCATCACAGACATGGCTGAGATGCAAACAAAACCAACAACGCCAATTTCTGGTGTAGCCCAAACAACAACATTTGGAGATTTTGAAGCAACTTCTATGTTTGTTGACAAAATCAAAGACACCAAAACTACAGACTCTTCTGGTTTAATGCCTTCTACAAAGGTTACAGAGCCCCCATCATATGTAACAGACCAAGCAACAGATATGGCTTCAGCCGAGGTTGATAATATAACCTTTACTGATGAAAGTCCTGCAACAAAACATGTGACAACTCAGCCATCATCAGTGGCAACAAAGGAGGTTGTCCATGCATCAGATCCAGTCAAAGGACCAGCTGAAACTACAAAGACATCCAATGCAATTATTTCCAGTACGACTATTGGTCAAACTGCATTTGTATCATCAGGTGCGTCTGATGCTGTGGCAGTTACACAATCAAGCCCCAAAACAGATTCATTTTTGACTGAAGAAGACCCAACTACAGAGGCCATTTCAGGCTTGGGTCTTTCACCTCAATCAGTTGTTTCACCTAAGACAACACCATATCAGAGAGTAACTGATATTGGGTCAGTAACCGCTGAGGATCTGAGTTTTACAAGTGTACCTGTTGGACCTACAACAGCTGCTGAGAAAACTACTCAAACACCAGTTGACATCTCTGTTGGTCCTCCCGGTTCTGTTGCTGCTGGACCTCCTGGTGTCACTACAATAAGTGGTAAACCTACTGATGAGCTTTCGTCTTCTGCAACCTCTGTAACCACACCTTTTCCAACAGGAAGCACATTACCTGTTTTCAGCAGTTTAATCAAGGCTACTGATAGACCTAATGTTGTGGATGAAGTAGACAATTCCATCACAGACATGGCTGAGATGCAAACAAAACCAACAACCCTAATTTCTGGTGTAGCCCAAACAACAACATCTGGAGATTTTGAAGCAACTTCTATGTTTGTTGACAAAATCGAAGACAACAAAACTACAGACTCTTCTGGTTTGATGCCTTCTACAAAGGTTACAGAGTCCCCATCAGATGTAACAGACCAAGCAACAGATATGAATTTAGCCGAGGTTAATAAAATAACCTTTACTGATGAAAGTCCTGCAACAAAACATGTGACAACTCAGCCATCATCAGTGGCAACAAAGGAGGTTGTCCATGCATCAGATTCAGTCAAAGGACCAGCTGAAACTACAAAGACATCCAATGCAAATATTTCCAGTACAACTTTTGGTCAAACTGCATTTGTATCATCAGGTGCGTCTGATGCTGTGGCAGTTACACAATCAAGCCCCAAAACAGATTCATTTTTGACTGAAGAAGATACAACTACAGAGGCCATTTCAGGCTTGGGTCTTTCACCTCAATCAGTTGTTTCACCTAAGACAACACCATATCAGAGAGTAACTGATATTGGGTCAGTAACCGCTGAGGATCTGAGTTTTACAAGTGTACCTGTTGGACCTACAACAGCTGCTGAGAAAACTACTAAAACACCAGTTGACATCTCTGTTGGTCCTCCCGGTTCTGTTGCTGCTGGACCTCTTGGTGTCACTACAATAAGTGGTAAACCTACTGATGACCTTTCACCTTCTGTAACCTCTGTAACCACACGTTTTCCAACAGGAAGCACATTACCTTTTTTCAGCAGTTCAACCAAGGCTTCTGATAGACCTGATGTTTTGAATGAAGTAGACAATTCCATCACAGACATGGCTGAGATGCAAACAAAACCAACAACGCCAATTTCTAGTGTAGCCCAAACAACAACATCTGGAGATTTTGAAGCAACTTCCATGTTTGTTGACAAAATCGAAGACAGCAAAGCTACAGACTCTTCTGGTTTGATGATTTCTACAAAGGTTACAGAGCCCCCATCAGATGTAACAGACCAAGCATCGGATATGACTTCAGTCGAGGTTGATAAAATAACCTTTAGTGATGAAAGTCCTGCAACAAAACATGTGACACCTCAACCATCATCACTGACAACAAAGGAGGTTGTCCATGCATCAGATCAAGTTACAGAACCAGCTGAAACTACAAAAACATCCAATGCAATAATTTCCAGTACGACTAGTGGTCAAACTGCATTTGTATCGTCAGTTGCGTCTGATGCTGCTTCTCCAGGAGAGAAACTTGCATCACTTACAACTAGTGAGCACATGAAAACTGTCTACTCCTCAACAGAACCTCCTCCACTTGCTTCTGCCACCCCCTTGTTCAGTAGGACTGAAATATCATCTACAACAAGGATTGAAATGGAGTCATCTTCCATTGTTCCTAGCAGGACTCATACTGTATCAACCCAAAGCAGCAAACCAGAAGAGGTCTCCTCTTCAACACCCAAATCTTCATCAGAGGGTCCTCCTGTTAGGACATTTTCTACAATTTCGATCTCATCAACCATTGTCATTCCAGGTTCAGTAACCCCATCTGAACCGATTAGTGACACTACACACAAGCCAATGGAAGGTTTTACCGAGGACGTTGCCAAAACAACAGGAAGGGATGTGACAGAAGGTGCAACTACCAAATCATTTTCAAAAACAGAAATTGTGGAGATTTTGACAGAAAGCTCTTCACCTTCTGTTCCCATGCAAACTGATGCCAGCCTTACCTCATTAGTAAATCAAGACCTGATGAACAAAACTATGGCAGTTACACAATCAAGCCCCAAAACAGATTCCTTTTTGACTGAAGAAGACACAACTACAGAGGAAATTTCAGGTTTGGGTCTTTCACCTCAATCAGTTGTTTCACCTAAGACAACACCATATCAGAGAGTAACTGATATTGGGTCAGTAACTGCTGAGGATCTGAGTTTTACAAGTGTACCTGTTGGACCTACAACAGCTGCTGAGAAAACTACTAAAACACCAGTTGACATCTCTGTTGGTCCTTCCGGTTCTGTTTCTGCTGGACCTCCTGGTGTCACTACAACAAGTGGTAAACCTACTGATGAGCTTTCATCTTCTGCAACCTCTGTAACCACACCTTTTCCAACAGGAAGCACATTACCTGTTTTCAGCAGTTTAATCAAGGCTACTGATAGACCTGATGTTGTGGATGAAGTAGACAATTACATCACAGACATGGCTGAGATGCAAACAAAACCAACAACGCCAATTTCTGATGTAGCCCAAACAACAACATCTGGAGATTTTGAAGCAACTTCTATGTTTGTTGACAAAATCGAAGACAATAAAACTACAGACTCTTCTGGTTTGATGACTTCTACAAAGGTTACAGAGCCCCCATCAGATGTAACAGACCAAGCAACAGATATGACTTTAGCCGAGATTAATAAAATAACCTTTACTGATGAAAGTCCTGCAACAAAACATGTGACAACTCAACCATCATCAGTGGCAAGAAAGGAGGTTGTCCATGCATCAGATCCAGTCAAAGGACCAGCTGAAACTACAAAGACATCCAATGCAATAATTTCCAGTACGACTATTGGTCAAACTGCATTTGTATCATCAGGTACGTCTGATGCTGTGGCAGTTACACAATCAAGCCCCAAAACAGATTCATTTTTTACTGAAGAAGACACAACTACAGAGGCCATTTCAGGCTTGGGTCTTTCACCTCAATCAGTTGTTTCACCTAAGACAACACCATATCAGAGAGTAACTGATATTGGGTCAGTAACCGCTGAGGATCTGAGTTTTACAAGTGTACCTGTTGGACCTACAACAGCTGCTGAGAAAACTACTAAAACACCAGTTGACATCTCTGTTGGTCCTTCCGGTTCTGTTTCTGCTGGACCTCCTGGTGTCACTACAACAAGTGGTAAACCTACTGATGAGCTTTCATCTTCTGCAACCTCTGTAACCACACCTTTTCCAACAGGAAGCACATTACCTGTTTTCAGCAGTTTAATCAAGGCTACTGATAGACCTGATGTTGTGGATGAAGTAGACAATTCCATCACAGACATGGCTGAGATGCAAACAAAACCAACAACCCTAATTTCTGGTGTAGCCCAAACAACAACATCTGGAGATTTTGAATCAACTTCTATGTTTGTTGACAAAATCGAAGACAATAAAACTACAGACTCTTCTGGTTTGATGCCTTCTACAAAGGTTACAGAGCCCCCATCAGATGTAACAGACCAAGCAACAGATATGACTTTAGCCGAGGTTAATAAAATAACCTTTACTGATGAAAGTCCTGCAACAAAACATGTGACAACTCAGCCATCATCAGTGGCAACAAAGGAGGTTGTCCATGCATCAGATCCAGTCAAAGGACCAGCTGAAACTACAAAGACATCCAATGCAATTATTTCCAGTACGACTATTGGTCAAACTGCATTTGTATCATCAGGTGCGTCTGATGCTGTGGCAGTTACACAATCAAGCCCCAAAACAGATTCATTTTTGACTGAAGAAGACACAACTACAGAGGCCATTTCAGGCTTGGGTCTTTCACCTCAATCAGTTGTTTCACCTAAGACAACACCATATCAGAGAGTAACTGATATTGGGTCAGTAACTGCTGAGGATCTGAGTTTTACAAGTGTACCTGTTGGACCTACAACAGCTGCTGAGAAAACTACTAAAACACCAGTTGACATCTCTGTTGGTCCTCCCGGTTCTGTTGCTGCTGGACCTCTTGGTGTCACTACGATAAGTGGTAAACCTACTGATGACCTTTCACCTGCTGTAACCTCTGTAACCACACGTTTTCCAACAGGAAGCACATTACCTGTTTTCAGCAGTTCAACCAAGGCTACTGATAGACCCAATGTTGTGGATGAAGTAGACAATTCCATCACAGACATGGCTGAGATGCAAACAAAACCAACAACGCCAATTTCTGGTGTAGCCCAAACAACAACATCTGAAGATTTTAAAGCAACTTCTATGTTTGTTGCCAAAATCAAAGACAACAAAACTACAGACTCTTCTGGTTTGATGCCTCCTACAAAGGTTACAGAGCCCTCATCAGATGTAACAGATGAAGCATCGGATATGACTTCAGCCGAGGTTGATAAAATAACCTTTACTGATGAAAGTCCTGCAACAAAACATGTGACAACTCAACCATCATCAGTGACAACAAAGGAGGTTGTCCATGCATCAGATCCAGTTACTGGACCAGCTGAAACTACAAAAACATCTACTTCCATCACGACTATTGGTCAAAATGCATTTGTATTGTCTTGTGGACCTGACGCTGCTAGTTTCAAATTCTCAACAGAACCTCCTCCACTTGCTTCTGACACACCCGCATTAAGTAGTACAGAGGAATCATTTACAACAGAGCCTGTAATGGAGTCATCTTCCATTGTTCCCACCAATACTGATGCTGTATCAACCCAAAGCAGCAAACCAGAAGAGGTCTCCTCTTCAACACCCAAATCTTTATCAGAGGGTCCTCCCGTTAAGACAGTTTCTCCATCTTCAATCTCATCAACCACTGTCATTCCCGGCTTAGTAACCCCTTCTGAACCAATTAGTGACACTACAAACAAGCCAATGGAAGGTTTTATTGAGGACGTTGCCAAAACAACAGTAAGGGATATAACAGAAGGTGCAACAACCAAACTGTTTTCCACAACACAAATTGTGGAGATTTTGACAGAAAGCTCTACAGCTTTTCTTACCATGCAAACTGATGCGAGTCTTACCTCATTATACCTGATGGACAAAACTATGGCAGTTACACAATCAAGCCCCAAAACAGATTCATTTTTGACTGAAGAAAACACAACTACAGAGGAAATTTCAGGTTTGAGTCTTTCACCTCAATCAGCTGTTTCACCTAAGACAACACCATATCAGAGAGTAACTGATATTGGGTCAGTAACCACTGAGGATCTGAGTTTTACAAGTGTACCTGTTGGACCTACAACAGCTGCTGAGAAAACTACTAAAACACCAGTTGACATCTCTGTTGGTCCTTCCGGTTCTGTTTCTGCTGGACCTCCTGGTGTCACTGCAACAAGTGGTAAACCTACTGATGAGCTGTTATCGTCTGTAACCTCTGGGGTAACACCAGTTGCTGTCACAACTAAATTTGATGACACCAAAACAACAGTGTCTGTGACTAGCAAGAGGAGGTCGACCATAATCCCACCTCCACCACCTACAAGTCCACCCGCCATGCCTTCCAAGGGAAAAAAAGAGCAAACATTCCCATCAGCCTCAGAAACTACAAGAACAAAAGTGAAACTTCTCAATACAGTAATGCCTACAATCAGTTCTGGATATAAGACAGCTTCCTGGAGCCCAGAAACAGATTTTACTGAGACCATTTCAAAAGCACAAAGTACACAAATTAGTATGGATCTTACAACTAAAATTCCTGAACAAAAAATGACCACTCAGGGTCCCTTCTATGGTTCTTCTACTGATGGTGACAATCATTCTCAACCTACTGACCACTCAAAGATTCCTTCTACAATGAAGAGCACTGAGATACATAATAATTTGGTCAACAGAAATTCTTCATCCACCACTGTTGGTTATGATAGAACTACAGTCTTGCCTACATCTCTACACTCGTTACTGATGACATCAACTAGGCACAAAGCCCTGGCTACCACCAAGCCACCAACTGTTTTCACCACGCTGATGACACTTATGTCCCGCTCAACTGAATTTAGGCAGATGTCAAAAGTACCTAGGACACCAGAGGACACAATTTCTGAAGAATCAACAACTGAAAAATCAACGGTGAGTAAGGATACGCCCATCACCACAGAGAGTACCGAAGGTGAAGACATTACTGTAACCACAGGAAGCTCCTGGATGACTGACTTGGTAACATCTACCATCAAGGCTGTTACAGCTACTGTAACTAACCTGGGAAGCACTATTTTACCTATAAATCATGGAGAGATGTCAACTAAATCTTTGATGGCAGAACAAATAGGTAGGTGAACATAAACATTAATGTTACATGTTGCACGTCTTGAAAATTGAAAGTACAGTAATTTATCAGATAGTGGATTCTTCTTGTTTTTTTTGTTTTTTTAGAGTTGCGTTTCAGCGATAACCAAGATGATTATTTAGAAAACAATCAATTGCCTTTCTACAGTTAAGGAATGATAATACTGACACAATTCCCCCAGTAAACATTTAAACATTTCAGTGGTTGATATGCCAGACTATAATAAACTTTGTCAGATGCTAAATCTAGGAATTGTCAATACATATAGTATAAATGTATTTTAAATTACATCTAAAGTAGCAAGTACAAATCCATGAAATATATCTGAGGTACCCTAAGTCAACATTAGAATGACTGTATTAAAACAATCTTGTTTGACCGTTTTTTTTCCTCAAAAATTCAAGATGGTGCATCACAAGGTTCCCCCTCATCTCTCCAGCTACCAACCTCCCCAGATGTGGAGAGCATGTCTCCGAGTAGTGTCTCCACTGAAGCGATAAGATATCCTACAACCTCATCAAGAGACTTGTCATCTTCTGAACTGTCCACATCGCCTGAACCAGAAGGCTCAGGATTGGAAGGGACATTGTCCAACATCAATGGTGCCACTGAAATAACTCGCATGGAAGAGAATACATCACCTAGAGTTACTCCTATGGATTTAAAGGATTCCACCTCTTCCATCACATCAAAAGATTCATCAGCTGGTGAGCCAGAGGGCTCAGGACAGGACAGGAAAGCTCAACAGGACATGGTGTTCTCCTTTTCTAATCTTGCGACAACTAAACAGGACTACAGGGTGTTCCAGTTAGTGAATCCCGACCAAAAGCCATCAGAAAGGGTGACTGAGAAGGCAACCCCTACAGTGACTCCGAGCAAGGCTGCAACAACAGCGACAACAAAGCCGGGTGAAATGACAAGCATGTTACAACCATCCACAAATCCAGGTACTAATCTTTGCAATAACTTGCATGTTTCTAAGATTTTACACCGTTATTTATAGGTTTTCTCCATGTGGGAAGTAAGCAGTTATCCTTTTGCATTTTTACCTCTGAGGGTGAAGTTAATGCATGAGGCTGCAGTTGCTGAACATTGTTGGCAGGGACGACACAATTCTCACTTGACATGATCAATTTCTAACTGTGCCTAAATCCATTGAGCTTCATTGCAAGAACTCAACCATAACTATATCCAAATTGAACTGTTAAGTAAAAGATCAGGTGAAAATCAGTCCCAACAAATAAACCATAATGTTTGGGTTTGTTAACTTTTTTTCTATGGACAAATTTTTTTCCTAAGCTCTTCAGATTAAAAACTCATCATCTTTGACTCTCAGCTATATACTTCACCTGACATTTGCATCTCACAAAATCATAAAAATATCATGCTAATTTAACATGCATAACACCTACCATTTAAAAAAAAGGCATTTTCTTGCAGAAAATTTTGATGCATGCTGCAAAACAAAGCCGTGTTATGTTGATGAAAAGAAATGCATTAATAGGAGAAATGCATTAATAGCCAAATTAAAAAACAACAACAGGCATGCATGTAGATATCAGCATATTTTATTATTCATCCCAGTGAGTGTGGCTGTCTTAATTGTCTGTAATATATATATTTGGAGGTCTACACATAACATAACATTCACTACAATCTCGGACTATAACCGTTCGTTAAAAAATGTTTATTACCGGTATTGTTCACTTAAGTAGGAATTGCATGCCAAAAAAAACACATATTTGTTGACTATCTTTATTACAAAGAATATTTTTTACTGTGTTTGTACTCCACAGCTGCTCTTAATGTCTCCATCATCATCATCATCATAATTGCAGTTATTGTCTCCATCATAGTTGTTTTACTTATCTATGAGTTTTGGGCATAACCTTAACAATGCATCACTTTCATTTTAATTTGAAACAGATTCTGTTGCTCATTGCATTTATTTTCATTAGGTTTTTTTTTGCATTTGCATTTCACAACTTGTTTACTGTCAATTTGTTACAAATTTAAGTGATATGAATAATTGTGAGCATTTGTTGTTGTCGTCTTTTATCATTGTAAATATTTCAAAGTATGATTATACTTGGACGTTACATGCAAGTGTTGGGGGGGGGCATGGCGTAGTGGTTAGCGTTTGTGACTCATTATCTAAGGCCTGTTGAGCCATATGGGCTTGGGACAGACTTTACTTTACTAATTACATTACATCCATGGCATTACAAAGGATTTTAAAAAAATTAGATGACACCAAGGAGAAGTAAAAATTTGAAGGAATGATTCATATAGCTATAGTCTTAAGTAACTTGGCAAGAGATATGCACTTTAAGATACATGTGTGGGGAAAACCCAGACATACACTCTGGTGAATCCTCCTTCAATTCACATCTGCAGAAATCCAATGTGGGTCATAAAGGTGGAGGCAAACACACTGCTCCATTATCCTGATTCTAATAGTAACATATTATTGAATGACAGTTCATGCTCTTTGACTACTCTTAACCCGTCCTAAACACAAAGTCTGAACATTTCTCCTAGTTTCTTCCTTACTTTCAGCTGCTCAATTGTTTAGTTTTTTAGTTCCCCTTTTGAAATTATTTTTAAAGTTATTTTTCTTTGTTTAGCAATATTTTTTCTTTGTTTAGCAATATTTTTTACTTTTGATTTGCCTTATACCGACAATTTGATTTTGGAACCAACACTGTCCTCAAGTGATGGATAATTTTGAAGTTTTCTACTGACATCTGGTACTGCAGATACATTGATAGGTGTGAGTATTAATACGCATGTATTAATACCTTGCATGATGATGGATATGGAAATGATAGGCATGCACGGTAAAACTATTTCATTTGTTTGTACTTTAAAAAATGAATGTATAATAATGTAAATATGTCAATATTTCACAAGCTTCTACCCCTGATTCAATTTTCTAAAACTGAGAGTTGGACATTCTAATTCACAAATTAAACGAATGGTTGAAAACATAATCCATATCTGGATTCAAACTAACTTCAAACCTGGACTGCAGATGTAAGTGAAAATACACTGAATCAACCTACCTCATTGATTTCAGGAAATCAAACCGGCCTGCATCATCTCTCAAAAAGAATTCACATTTGGATTCATCATTTCCCCAACGCATCTTTGGGGTCCATTTTGTTTCAGACATTTTAATCTGAATATTGCATTAATTTTGATCAGTTATAAGCCTCATTCGTAAAAAGAACTCTTCAAAGAAATATGTAAGTTTTTATTTCAAGGCTCCAGTTTTTCAATACAGCCTTGAATAAGTATAATAGTAGCTGACCGGTGGTCTTGTATTTTTTTGGGACTGTATTCCCTGTCATTGTGCAGAAAATAATATTTTATCAGATATTTCAAAAGTAACAAAAGATGTTAATTCTCCTGCAATTTTATGTTTTTCTGCCTTTTTAAAATATCAGATAATATATTAGCAAGTTGGCACCACACATGTGTGTTTCCTTTTTCATGTATGCCTTGTTTCCTGCAAACAAATATCACAGTCTGCTTACATCCCTGAGGCATTCAATTTGCAAGCTGTATGGAGTCCATGTTTAAGAGCGTAGAGACATAATGCCAACAGCATGCATTTCAGCCTTCAGTGGGAATTTTTAAGATTTGGTTATGGAGTATGATATGCATTAGGGGAACTTATCGAAAAGTACTGTTTTGAAAAGACATGTACGTTGATGGAGGACAAGCATTTGTTTGGAGATATTTACTCTGTATCTCTCCAAAAAATATGATAATTAATTTGATTCCTTACAATACATCCTTTTTTTCCCAGATCCCCGCAAATGTCCACATTGTGAAATGGATCTGTGCCCTGTGTGTGGGTCTGATGGTAAGACCTATCAATCTGCTTGTGAGTTGAAGCGTGTGGCCTGCCTACGAGGATCCACTACGCTGGTAGCTGATTATTCTGGAGACTGCATACCTGGGCTGCTTGATCTTGGTAAGTTAAGTCTGGCATGATGGGGGCTGAAAACTCTCTCAATCCTTCTTGCAAAATATCCCTTTTAGTGTTAACTCCCTCCATCAGCTGTGGGTGTACATACAAAGCCTTCACAGGGTCATGTACATTCAAGGTGGTCCCTAGTTCTGACAGAAGTACATGTATGGTGCTAGCTGTTGTACAAACCAACCTGGTTACTATCTGAACCATAATAGGGCTGTGCTGAATATACCCAATATTCCCTCATTCACCGAATATCCGATGAGCATGGTATCGATTTTAAACATTGGGGGGAAAAATGTGAGGCGTCTCAAGAAGACGATGAAAAACGTTTTTTAATTGTATAAGTTGCTAGCTAGTTGTTAACTGCCACACCTTTGTTGAAAGTCACCCCCCCCCCCCCCCCCCGGAAAACAAAACAAAAAAGAAAAAGGAAAAAGAGATGCGAAGCCATGTTGCTGTTAATTTTATGGGGGGGGGGGGGTGGGTTAGGGCAAATGCTCCCCTGCTCACGCTCAAAAAAAGGATAAATTGAGAATATAATGACAAAGTTAAGGAATTTGGGGGAAAATTTGCTTTGCCCCCCCCCCCCCCTCCTGGAAACAAATCCTGGCGATGCCCATGCAAATGTCTTCTGCAAATCTATCAAATATCAACCATTCCAGTACCTCAAGAAATTATGTTGATACATATATGATGTTCTGGATATTACTGTAACAAGCTTTTGTCAATTTCCAACAAGCCCAGTGCACACTGATGGACAGCCAGTGTAGGCTGCTGCATGTAAAACTTGATCAGCGCATTTTGAATTTTCCAATATTTGATCAAGTTAGAAGCAGATATTAAATTTGTATTTGATTACAAATGACAGCATGCTATGTCCCATCCAGATTCATTGGCTATTCCTGAAAAAGTGCACAACCACCATTGATCTGCACTACAACCATTGATGCAACCCCAACTAGGTGTTTTCGTACCCTAGACTTGACCAGGTCTAAGTTTTACTTGGTCTGTGCAGTGTGCAGCAGATTCACACATACACCTGTTTTTAATTATCTCATGTAGGTTTACAGCCTTATATGTGCCAGGCATTTGTATACAGTCAAAGAGCTAATCTACTGATTTGAGAAGTGGCCAATCACAGTGCAGTATTGCAGGAATCTGACACACGCAGATAGTGATTTATTGAGCCACATGCATATTTATTTTTAACACCTATAATCAGTGTTGTTTTCGTAATCGCACAGCCACAGGTTAGTGAAGTGACGCACATGCACACAAATTGTGAGGGGTACAAGAGATACACATACATGTAGGCCTAATGTTTGAAAACAGCTGCGCCTACACACAACACACAGTGCGAGTAATGGACCTCGATCCATTGCAGGTTTACCGCAATATCTAAAACCTGTTTGCATATTAATTAAGTTACATTTTCAATTAGACAAATTTCCATTTGAAATTCGTACTCCCCCTCCCCCCCCCCAAAAAAATTGTTTGTTTCAAATGGCTCATGCTGTATTTTCAATGGGGAGCGCCAATAAAATCCTAAAATCATTCACACTATATTAACTAATGCACCCTTGTCACGGCTATTTCTTTCTTTAGGGGGAGACCATTCGCATGTACATCACAATCCCTCTTTTTGCTAATGCATTTTTTTTTTTGATTTTGGGGGGCTAGTGTAGTGTAACCATTACCGCTGTTTCATTAGCCCCCCCCCCCCCCCCCCCCCCCCCCCCCCAACTGCGCCTGCACCCAGGACGTTTTTTTTGGGGGGGGGGCTCAAAAAAAATTCCTAAAAAAAATGATTTTTTTTTTGGTGTGGGCAGACTATTTTGACGTTGGTGGCGCCACTTACCCCCTATTATACAACTCGAAAATTGGCAACATACATATCACCAAGGTCATATCATGGGACACACACACACACACACACACACACACAAAATGGACAACCTCTTGCCCCCCCCCCCCCCCCCCCCCCCCCCCCCCCCCCCCCCCCCCCCCGTCCGCCACTGGATTGAGTGGAGCTGCATTTTGTATCTTTGGGATTAATGATATTGTGATTTTCTTTTCTCTCTCAGTCACTGGAAAGATATCATGCCAGGAGTTTATGTGTCCATCCATCTATAATCCCGTTTGTGGCAGTGGTCATGTGACCTATGACAATGACTGTAGCCTCATAAAGACCCAGCTGTGTATGGATGGGATGCAGGACCTGGTCAAGGTGCATCATGGGATATGTGAAGACTTCCTGTATCTACAGGCTGAGGAGAAAATGAAAAAAGTGATTTAATTGATGGTCCATTGTAAAAGTTAAGGTAGTGATGCAAATAATCAATGATGAAGAGTAACACTGAAATTGATTATGTGACAGCAAGACTCAAGGTTTAAGGCTCAAGATCACTGCCTTGAAATGTATACAATTTATACATGAAAAAAAAAAACCCAGAGGTGCTATTGCAAAAAGTGTGGATTAACTTGCAGTCTTGCACTTATTTTATTATAGCCAATTATGAGATCATAAACCTTGAAGGTAAATATTTTTATAAGACTGTTATATGCTGCATACTGTGTGTATATTCGAGACATGTTTTAGTATTTCCTGAATAATCCTGTCATTTATGTGAAGATTGTTTAAGACTCTTTGCATTCAACAGTCATCTTGGCAGTTGTTATTGTACAAAGGTCTGCTGGTATGAATCCCTATAAACAAGCGAACACACCTCCAAGATGGCTGCAATGCAAAGGATCTATTCTTATATGTGTGTTAATGGTTAATTGGTGAATTCCACCTTGAAACATATTGTTGCTATGACTTCATGTTGTGCTTGAGCATTTGTCAAAAGAATGAACTAGCACTGGTTATGGCAAGCTAGGCATGCCAGTATGTACTAAAAAGTGTTTAACCCGAAGCTAGGCATGCCAATATGTACTAAAAAGTGTTTAACCCGAACCTAAATTTTGGTGGGCAAGCCATGAGTACCGAGTCCATCAAAATGCACCTATAGCAGTGGTGGTCCTGTGATGGATTTCAGTGGATTTGGTTGTGAAGCATTATGTGAAGCAAAGTCAGTGATAGATTTTGATGGACTGGTTACAGTTCTTAGTAAAAGACACCAGGGAGTTAGGTTAAACACAGTGTGACTTGATATGTACATGTATTGTGAAGACGGACCGTCAGAGTAATTTTGGGAAATTGATCAGTATCCTATCTGTAATAGAATGTGGATACACAGACTAGTGTGGGATGATCAACGTTCCACTTCTCAGATTTGTGTTCCTCAGAGAGTGCTCTTGTTTGCATTTGTAGTTTGACAAGTTTTTTCTTGATGTTACAGTTGAAATACTTGGATGGGTTAAGAGGAATATCGTTGTCTTGTTGAAGAAAGACATTTCATAGTTATTCATTAGTTATTATAAAGAAAATATTGTTGATACAGAAATTGGTTTTTTTTGGCTGTTCCAAATGCCATCTTGCGGTGCTGGGTAAAGTATGTGCCTTCATTGTGGAAAGGGGGTATGTTATTTGTTACATAACTTACATGACATGCACACATTTATTATTAAAATGACACTTAAAAAAAAATGTTTTGCTTTTTATAACCATTTACTATTTTGCCACAGATATTATGAATGAAATAAATCGGAATGATGCAACTTCTGGGGTTAAGTGTCTTATGAACATTGGGCTGTAAAAAAAACCCCAAAACAAAAACAAACATTTGTTATGAGGAATCAACTTAATGTGATGTGAAATGAAAGACAAGAGAAGTTTGAACTTCTTGAAGTGAAGCAAAGGAAGGCAATAATCCTATTCGTTAAGTGTAGTACAACTGGGTCCAGATCACTTTGGGAAAGAGTTCCATACCTGGACATCACCTGACACTCTGTGCACAAACCCTTGAGACAGGTTTGAAAATTTGATGTGTTTCTCAGTAAATGCTTCAATATTTTTCCTGCTAAATTGACTTCTTAGGACATATAATTGCATTCTGATGGTTGATAGGTAATTGCAGGGGAAAATAAGTGATGTTGATATATGGAATTCCTCCCTAAGAGGTCAAGGTAGTCATTGGAGCCCAAGTTTTAGGCCATGGTGAGGCCCAGGCAAGTCTAATTCACAAATGACAGTAACTCAGCCAGTTACTGACTGCATAGAGGAGTGTAGGCTGGCCTCTGGACCAGCCAATTGGGTTTTGTTTAAAGGTAGATGTTAAAAAAATAACATGCGTTAGGTTGACTTTGTGCAAATTGACATTTAACAATTGTTGACTGCTGCGATGAGGGATATGACATTTTGAACACCCGAGGGGATATGCACCCAAGGGCATTCAAAACGTCATATCCCACATCAAAGCAATCAATAATTGTTTTCTTGTACCTCTGTCTTGGATTATTTTGATTTTGATGTAAAAATCTCGAAAACAAACAGTAGTAAACACAGCAATCATGACCATCGAACGTCGGTTCACATGCATGTCGCGTGCTCGAAACAGCTGATCTTCTGCAAGTTGGCTGCTCCCACTCGTGTGAAAACATGGTGAAAATGGCGTGGGTACCAACAATACTAGCATTTCGTACATACCATATGAACGTGATATCCCATTGAGAGTGTGCCATGACTTTTTATAAACTTAACACGTGATCGTTCTGGGTCAATGAAAATACAGTATTTAAGACAGAGGTATAACAATATGCAATGTACCCTTTGGACTATACTTCCATAGTTAAATAGTGCAAGATTGTCAAACACTGGTGCTTTAGACTTAGTGTTTTTGCGTAACTAAATTTTGTAGAAAACTTAAATTTTTAGATTATGTGTAGTTTGTAGAAGATAATATTCTTTTTTACTAAAGCCAATAATTTATGCCATTACTGCAATAAAAAATAATATCTTTCAAGTGTAAATTATGTAGACATCGAGTATCGATTGTTGAAAGATAGAATATGGCATTTCCTAGTAATAAAGGTTATTCTGGAACTTTTCATGTTCATTTGATTGCCTGTCATTGCACAGCCAAGTCTCACAGATAAAGTGAAAGGACAATGTTAAATTTCAATCGGACGATGATTGAAATTTGTCAAGATGATTGAAACGGAAAAAAAATATGCTTGCATTAGACTGTTCGGGTTAAATTAACAGACATTGTTATCAACTTCACAGAGACTGTTGTCAACTTCACAGAGACTGTTGTCAACTTCACAGAGACTGTTGTCAACTTCGCAGAGACTGTTGTCAACTTCGCAGAGACTGTTGTCAACTTCGCAGAGACTGTTGTCAACTTCGCAGAGACTGTTGTCAACTTCACAGAGACTGTTGTCAACTTCGCAGAGACTGTTGTCAACTTCGCAGAGACTGTTGTCAACTTCACAGAGACTGTTGTCAACTTCACAGAGACTGTTGACAACTTCGCAGAGACTGTTGTCAACTTCACAGAGACTGATCAACTAATTTAATTTGATTCACAATTACATGTAGCTTTAAAATGAACTACATGTATTTGTTTCATTGGTTCGGGACCACATCCCTCTAAAACTTGTTAATGAAAGCCTAATTAAAAACGAGATTTGGGTAAACAGTGTTCTGGGTAAATACTGCATCTCTGACGACAAAAACTGCACAATGCCATCTGTTATATCCCGAAGTATTTATTTTTAAACAATTTTGGACAAGTATATCTTGCTTAAGGAGTGGTTTTGCTTACAGTTTTTATGAACATTTACGTTTTAGATGTCATGCCAAAAAAAACCTGACAAAATGGCACACCTGGAACATTCGCGATTAACATGCCAATGGGTATTAATGCCCGTTAATCGTGCGTCCAACTAATTAAGGCAAGTCTGTTCAGTGCATTTTGCACTAGAGCTCAGAACAGTCGTTCATCCTTGTGTGTAGTATCCGTAAGCCAAGGTTGCAAATGATGTGATACTCCTTACATTTTTGTATTCATAAATTGTTCAAGATAATTACCCACATTGTAGATTTTCTAAAACAACACCAATACAGAGTACAATGTAAACAGAAAAGTAGGATGCAAACATACCTTCCATCAGGGTCCCTGTATGATTACAATGTCAAATTGGTTATTTTTATAAAAACAGCAATGAAACAAACATTTACATAAAAAGGACAGATTTTATTTGTACTTGTCCAGTTACTCTACCAAGAAATTGATAGCAGATCATGAATGCATCAACATATTTTATACAAAACCTACCAAAAATGTCATAAAAATTAAACAGGTTTTTTTGCTCATTGGTGCAAAACTTTCTATGCAAAAATACATTCTGTGCCAAGTATTCCTTAAAGTCGAAATCAAACAAGTGACTGTTTTCAACAGAATTGCCTGGCTGAGACTGTTTAGGTAACTTGATACAGCTATGCTTTGACTCCCAGTGAGCAATAAAATAGCTGTGACCACAACTTGTCTGCTTTGTCTGTTGACCCAGTTTGACTAGTCAAAGTGCTTGCTTGACATATGATCTGACTGCTAGTGACTAGCCTTCATTAAAAGTATATTAGGGTATTGGAAGTGAATTTATTAGACTGTTTGTGACTGCTCAAATAGCAGGAGGGTTAATAAGCAATGTGAATTACACAATAAAACAAAACAGCAACAACACTTACTTGCAGATAGTTTCAATTTGATTTGCACGATTAGGATGACATGACATTTGACTGGAAAGATTGATCACCCCAAAACTTTTTTTGGCAATAGGACGATCATTTTCAATCAGATTTTGATGGAGAAAAAAAAACACTGAGTGAAACAATCTTTCAATACAACTACAGTGCAGTTCTTAACCATCAACAGATATTTTTAAGCCTACGCTTATTGCAAATAAAGGGCGAGTAAAAAAAATGTCCCTTTGGATAATTCCTTGTCTCCCCCCAAATTGGGAAAGTTCACCATTTTTTCTCTTCAGCCAACATTCGATCTGGGTATTGACCACATTCAGTACAAATGTCACTGATATTCATCCATGCATGCAAGGGATAAAGGCCTTTCTTTGTTACTACCCAAAAACACTCTCAACACAATGTTCAGAAAAGGCCTTTTGCTTTTGCTATGAACACAATGGCAACATTGAGAAGTACAGACATCAACCAAATGGAATTACATTCATTGAACTTGAAAGTGAATGACACATAAGGTTCATATTTTCACTGTCCTGCTGCTCGACCTTCCACCAGTCTTATTCAGATCAGTGCATAGTTGTGCCCATTATCCTCATGACTAGCTCTGCGGGTCATTCTTGTTCTTCTGAGGGCTTGGATTTCATCAGTAATTTGTTACGAAAATCCTGCAGGGTGTTTGGCACAATGCAGTACACCTGGTCCTTGGGGTACCCCACAGAAAAAATCTGGGCATTCTGGTGCCCCTTGTTCAGGTTCTCGTTTGCGCCTTTAAATAATGTTAAATACCCCCTTAAAAATATTGGGAAACATTGTGTTGGTAGTGTTTTGGGGTATATCACAAAGAAAGACATGTATCCTTTGCATGCATTGCTGAATATCAGTGACATTTGTACTGAATATGGTCAATACCCAGATCGAATGTTGGCTGAGGAGAACAAACTTGTAACCTTTTCCGCTTTTGTGGGAGACAATGAATTTTCCAAATAGCCATTTTTTTTACTCGCTCTGTATACCTGTAGAATCTGAGGCAGTAAGTCGTTACAGGTAGTATTTTAACTACAAGTAGAAAATCTATATCACTCTTGAATTATATTCACACACAAAATAATTGAATGAAAAATACTTAAAATAGATTACTCTTTAGAAAAATCAAGGCACTCTCATTCATTCTTGCAAAAATAGATTGACAATATTACACATTGAAAAACACTTATTTATTTGTGAAAATTACATATATCACAAAGATAACAGAATTCACACCTCAATCAGGAACTGTGAATATACAGTGTATGTGATTTAGAAAGGTCAAATTCACAATAAAATAATTCATAGAAATTAAAATTAATAAATATCTGTTGATACATTCTTTCATTTTAGATTGTTAGGACGGATTTACAATAGTTATAATTTTTCCACTTCAATATCTTCAATTATACATAATTCTCAATCTGATGATTATATGTACAAAGAAATAATTTACTTGTATGGAATGATTATTCACATATACAATAGATTACAATACCTAATTTAAGTCAACCTTAATATTCAAATTTCTTAGAGGAACATTATTGTTCAATTAGTGCATCAAGTTGAGTTGCAATAAGAATCACCTACAAAGTCAAATGATGATATTTGAGAGACAGAAAAGGCACTCTGTCGTATACTTTGGACTGAATATACTCTGGTGTAGATACATCAGCACAAAGTGATTATGCAAAGATTATTGTTTAAAGAAATGGTCACACAGGAATTGAAAACATTGTCTTTTAGTCACTGTATCATTACAGATTTTATAATATAATCCAAAATTATTAAGCAACACAGCAATCTCTTATCTCTAGCTGTGACTTCTATCTACCATATCTGGTCTATCATTGTCATTTCTCTCCACTTGTATTGTTACTACTCAATGCATACAAAAATATAACCTACTCTTTCACGTGGCACGCCCTTTTAATCTACATGTATATCTTAAGTTTATACCCTGGTTTTTTTTTCTTTTTCACACATAGGCCTACTATTTTTTGTTTTTTTCTTTTCTAAACTCTATGTTTTTTTAATAACCAAAATGGTTTTTAGTTGTATTGCAAGAAAGATGTTAAGCATTTAAACAACTGAAAACACCAAAAAAATATGCATATTTTGCAATGTTAATATGTTTGCATGTCAATGACTTTCATGGATTTACAACGAATTCCACCAAATGAACAAAATTATCCAAGGATTGCATGACCCCCAAAACCCCTGAAGTTTTTATGACAAACAAGGCAAACGTGAACAAGGCAAACGTGAACAAGTCAGCTTTAAATGTCTGCCAAATTTATGTGAAAATTGTGTTCATTGCAATTTTGTAGGTAGAACACTGTAACTGAGAGTGTACCACAGGCTCCGCCTCCACATTCTTGGTTCACACATTTGACTGAGGGATTTAACTTTGAAGTTTGCTATGTGTCATGATTTGTACAAACTTCCATGCATGTCTCTGTAGGACTGCAGTCAATTCGACCGTTTGTCAACTTGACTTGAAACATGATCCTTTACCAACACCTCCGTCGTATCAACTTGACCGTTGAACCAACTCATCCATTGACCAACTCATCCATTGACCAACTCGTCCGTTGACCAACTCGACTTCACTTTCAAGTCAACCTGACCATTTGCCAACTCGTCCGTTGTATGTACAACTCGACATATCCTTGGGTTGTGTGATTTGATTTTTAGTGTGCATAGTAATCATTCATATAGCATGAGTTCGTCCTGGCTTTTAGGGACGATTTTGTTACGCTCAATAAATCAGCACAGCCACTCCATGTTTACAGATGCAATCATTCATATCCAAAAGTAAAATTATTTTGCATCTATTAATAAAAGATGTATTGTCAATTAATTTTCCTTTTCTCTAACCCAAAAAATTAGTAAATAAATATGTCTGGCATGCGGAAACGGCAATTACGCATATGCATGTTCCGTGTTGCCAAGTGTATTTTACCTGTGTGGCACGGCGGGCCATCTGATATTGTCTGGTTGCGATCATGTGGGCCAGGACATGACTGTCACCTCATGCGGTGAACCGAAAATGAAAGACATTACTTTTTTTTGTAATGAGACTACGAGAGATAACAATCAAATCAAATTACATTCCAATGATATATTAAACATTTTCTTTGGTTTTGAAAAGTTTGAGTTATAAAAATAAACACAATACGACACCAAAAAAGACTGAATGTTTTACTGGTTTTTGCCATTTAAATTGTTATATTTCAAAGATCCAAGTTCGTATCAAAATGATTCAAAAAGTATTTATTTTGTTGTGTCATTCTTTTTCAAGAGGAAACAATGTCTTGCAATTTCATGGAAATCATACCACAAAATCTTTGGCAGTTCAGGGTTCACCACCGTGGACGTATTAGTGACGGTACACCCTAGCATTAAATACATGTATGGAAAACCAAAATAATATGAAGTAACAAATCAGCGAGACCAGTCTGCAGATACTGAGATAGGCTATGATAGATACATTTTAGCGGCCACAACAATGGGAGTAACAATAGAGCGCGCACAGGGCTAACTGAGAAGGGGGCCGGGCTGGGAGGCGCTAGGCTTAGAGCCTCGTGTTTCATCGGCCCACCATGACCGGGCGGCCAGCACGCATGGGCATGTTCGTTCATGCACACTAGTACATGCTCTACTGGGCCCCATGCCACAAACAGCCTCACGTGCAGACCATGCACCATATTCCGGTGAAAGTTTTCTAGGGGCTAGACGTCTGTATGGTTTAACGTGATAACCCGCCGAAGCAATAACCATACGCCACAAGAGGGCGCTATCACGACCAACCCATAATCACCCAAGAACCTGTCAGTAGCAATGACTAGGACATCTTTTAAAACTAGTGCGCATGCGTGACTTCTGCAGGCAATTACTGTCCATTTTCAGTCTCACACATACTACACACAACAGAAGAGCTGACCAGTGAAATTGCACAAACGTCTTGCTGCATCTTTTATATACTGGAAGAAATTTGAAAGTTTGCTTTGGAACACTACTTTGAATTTTTGTGAATTGTGTGCTGCATATACTAGGCCAAACAGGTGCGTGCGCATTACACAACGGGTTAATGGGTGAAATTTGTTGGTCGTGATAACGCCCTCTGCTGTGGCTTATCGCATATCAAACCATAACAACGTCTAGCTCCTAGACTATGGTGGAAGCCGTCGGGGTTTACCGTTATCCAGTTCGTTAGTAAAAACGTTATACACGCGCGCGCACCACTGATTACTAGCGCCCATTGGATAAACACTTTAAATTGTGTTAGCTTCAGGTTCCAATGGTTCTAATGCTACTTAATGGCCAGTGGGCATGGTTTAAACTGAACTAACATCATACTGATGAACCAGACACTGCATAGCTAGCTCGCCCGCCACTGGCGTCACGTGCCACTACATGTTTGTAGCGCCACGCCACACGGTACACTACGCTCATCACCGCTCGGCCCCTGTCCGGTCATGCCCAGTAACCCGCTATCGCAGCTGCATGCAGACCGACGTGTTTTATAACCTAATCATGTTATACTGTTTTTCATGACATTTTTACAAACATACTTATTATTTGGAGATGGTTAGCGAGTTGGCAAGGTGCCAAGTTGGCAGGGGCTGAATTGGTTAGGTGCCAGAGTGACCGACATTCAGTTCAGCATACGATTCAGCACTGCAATATTTTTATTTCACTCGTGCTCGTGTGCACTAGATGGATGAAAGCAATGTTTATTTTTTTATGAGACTGTGCCTATAGACATATCATAATAAAATCTATGTTTAGAACTACGTTCCCTTGTTGGCATATACATGTTCACACACAACGACACAGCGAACGATTTGGACAACGGTCAAGTTGACTTTTCCAGTTGAACGCACAACGGTCGAGTTGGCAAATGGTCGAGTTGACTTTTACAGTTGAACGCACAACGGTCGAGTTGGCAAATGGTCGAGTTGACTTTTACAGTTGAACGCACAACGGTCGAGTTGGCAAATGGTCGAGTTGACTTTTACAGTTGAACACACAACGGTTGAGTTGGCAAATGGTCGAGTTGACCCGACACTCTGTAGATACACAGAAGAAATTAGACTGCCCAAATTTCTGTCTAAAAGACACTCAAAAATATTGACATACGAAACCTGCAGCACTGAGTGTGCCTTGCCCTTGAGAGTGAAAATGAAATGGAACATCTACATGTACATGCAACAACAGTAAACAAGGGCTGTTAAACTAGAACATTTGACTTGTTACGTTTTCGTTTTCAATGGTAAAATATGAACAAAGGTAAATAAGATTACAGAAAAGTAAAAGGATGAATGACGACTGGAGATGGATTAAGGGTGGAGGTAATGCCGTGTCTAATTACCACAACAATATTTGTTGTTATGGGGTAGAGTAGGGTGAGTTGGGGAGGGGTTACATGTACCAGTTCAGTCATCCAGCTGACACAGCATAGCTACACCTCGATTGACCCAATGGTTGGCAGGACGGTCAGATGGCAACTCAACAAAGAAAACAAAGTTGGTGGAGTGACCGGTAGTGGACAGAACACCACGCCGAGCACTGGTCTTGTAAACTAGACAGAAGGATATCAAGATAAAGGTATAAAATAGGCAATTTCTTAAGATTATGTGCGCATCAAAGTGAACTCCAAAACATGGCTAACACTACTTGTGACAAATCTAAATGTACCTTTGTACACATGCAAAAGAGAAATGGCTAAAGAACTTTGGCCTGACCAAATGTGTTCACAATCAGTGGTTCAAATGAGAATATGGTTATAAACACAACTTGTAAGTGTGTCAACAGTTTTCACAAGCACAAATAATGCATCAAATTGTTTATAAATAACGTTTTTGACCAAGGCATATTTGTGACAACGTGCCTTGCTCACAGACAATAACCTCGGCTGATTTTAATGCAATATCATAAGAACATAGAATGAGACACAATATCATGGAGGTACTGAGGCCAAAATGTTGACCAGCAGATTATGTGCTAAGCAAACATCAGCGGATTGTGCTATACACATCACATGATCATTTCTGGAGCTGATGTTTTGCACGACACACAGCTTGCAATCATACAGACTTGCATATCAGCCCGAGGCATGACAAGACATTTACCTGGACATAAGTATGTGGTTTTCTGCTCAAATGCTGACTTTTCACCAGGTTTAATCCAGATCTGGCAGTCAAAGTCAAGGGACAAGGCTTGTATAAATGAAAAGGTCATCCTCTTTACAGTTGATTTGCCTGACTTTGGAAGACAGTATAACCTCTGTAGCTACTCACATTCACTAATGGAATGATTCTTTAGTATTTCCTGTATCACATAGTTGAAATCTGAAAACATCTGCCCCTCCCTCCCCCAATAAAAAATCAGTTTAAAAGGCCAATAATTTAATTTGCATTCCATGTAATGATTGGGCAATTAATTGGCACTCCAAATTTGAAAGGTCAAATTTAACAGTAAAATGTGCACACTAACCGCAATGGCTGATTTAAACATACATTTTTAACACCAGTTTTAGAATCAATGTTGTCACATCAATTACAAAGGTATCCAATCTTGTAATTGATCAGCCGTTCATTATAAATGGGTCACTTCATTGCCTGATGAGGACCGTTAAAAAACTGTTATCTAGGAGCTGCCCCTATGGAAAACCCAACACATCATTGATGAGGTCAGTATACAGGAAACTTCAATTAGCCCTCACCAACATGTAAAAAGGTGTGTCACTTGACACAAAATATGTAGCTGGATTAATTTGTTCAATAGTACAACTGATACTCTCTCTTCACCTTTAAAATGTTACAAAAAGGTTTTTATGTGTAGTCATTACATGTACATACAAACCAGACAAGTCTAAACCCCTTGCTATGAGTATTAAAGGATACAATGGGCAGCATATCATACAGGACTTTGGGTAAGGATTCAGCTAGAAGCTTCTTACTTCGGTCCCATCTGGCGCCCTCAATGTATAAACCTTTCACATAGATACCATCAGCCTAGAAGGCAAAGTAGGACAAGAACAGTCACATCAAGTCACATTCTTCATTTTGTTGTTATTGTTGATACTGAGAACAAAAAACAATTGTATTCAGACTTACTGGTCTACTGGGCACTGATGTTTCTTGGTCCATGAGTTCAAACTGGAAGCCCAGTTGGTCAATAGGAATCTTGTATTTCCTGGCATAATTCTGCATACTACCTGTCAAGAAGGACTGGGTGAAGTAGAATCCTGACATCCAGAAGACAGATGGCATCCCTGATTGTATCCAGTCCTGAAGGACAAAACATCCCAATCGGATGAAGGATCACATTGCAAGGCTTCACATTTAATTGTACAATGATGTAATCTTTTTCAATGGTCTCATCTTTGTTAACGATGTGTTTTATTGTAATACCTTGAAGAACTGCAGTCTTGCCATGAGATCTGTGATGTAGCTTCCCAGTGGTTTCAATGAGGGATAAGACTTGGCTGCCCACATGGCTGGTACCTAATAGCAGAAAACATTATTGAAACTACGATCCGTCTCGTCTGCTCTGGTCAAATTAGCAATAGCAGAATTATTCCAATTGACTTAAAGAAACAACCTTCACAGCCTCATATATATCTTGCAGATTTTGTGTTAAAATACTTACACTTTCACTTAAATAAACGAGGCCTTGCCACACCTGCTTGAATGGTTAATAGGGGGGGGGGGGTAATATTTAACAAGACAACTGAATAAGATGGAATTTTTGCGCCGGAGTGATACAAATCAAATTAGGTTTTTGCCCTTCACCAACGTTAAAACACTGTATACTCAGTGTGTTACCTCCCGAGTGAAAGTTGGAAAAAAAATCACTCGGGTGGGACTCGAACCACGGATCCTACACACAAGGATTAACGACTCGGCCCAACTCCTGGTTAGACGCGTGATAACGGCCTGTACTGGTGGCAAATACCATGAATACTTTTCAGCAAAGACCACTGCGCGCATTGGCTTTCTGATTTGCAAGGCTCTTTGCCCGATCTGGCCTCGAAGTCTGTCAAGCCAGCGAATTGTATTTTTGAATATTCATGAGTCTACGTTTTTGGTCTTTATTATTGAATTCTGATAAGTGATAACTACATAACCATGGTAACGCCGAGCACAATATCTTTAGCTTTAAGATGAACAATGAAATGTCGCTTTTGTTTCATCGGTTCGGCATCCTATCTCTCTAAAACTTTTTAATAAAAGCCTAATTAAAAACGAAATTTGGGTAAACCGTGTTCTCCTCGAAATTTGACGTTTATTTCCCGGGTAAATACTTCATATATGACGACAAACACTGCACAATACCATCTGTTATATCCTGAAGTATTTATTTTGTAAATAATTTGGAACAATTATATCTTAAACTAGACCTATGTGGTTGTGAGTGAACAACCACAGAGCTGTTCCCAACATGTTTTTGATTGTCTATTGCACAGTAAAAAATGATTCAATGATTTGTTCTAAACAAATTTTACTATTAAATTGAAATTATAATATGAATCGGTGATGGTCTTGAGAGAAGCTGGTTGGGTTCTGAAAACTTAAAACTGAAAATATATTTTTGGGAACAGGTCTGTTTGTACGATATATAGACATATAAGTAGAGATCTATGTCTGTTTGCAACAGAAGATAGGGCTTTTCCGCATTATGATTTGTTTTTATCAATAATACGTCCCTGACTATGCATGAACATAAAATCTGTCAAAGCTAGCCGAAAATCGGCTAAAACGGTCACTGTGGACAGGATTTGACCTAAGCAACACGTGCGCTGTGCGCGGGCTGACTGACATACGATATGTACAACGTACGTGCATGTACATGTACATTGTGGACGTCCTGTGCATGTTTTCAAGCAGAGGTATTGTCAACCTGAAGTTTTAAGCGTGCGCAGGGCATGTCCAAGTTTGCTTATTGCCTCGAAGCTTTGAACTGTTTTAGACCTACCCTTAAATAGACAATTAAAGTAAAAACTAATATAAAAACTGCCATGGTTGATTTTTCAGGAATTTTCTAAGGAAAAAGGGTCTTTTCATTATAACTTCCGGTCTGATGACGTCATCGGTAGATGATTGAAGAATACTATCAGCCAAGAGACTAACACCGTTAAAAGCAAGTTCATATCTATTACCACTTTCAAATAATAAGCCACTTCCGGTTTTGGCCTTTTTCGACCGGAAGCAAGGGTCACATGCTTTCACGCACACTGAATGAAATAAAGACCTCAACCTACTCTACCACTTGCCGGCAACAAAATGCTGCGGACGCGTACGGTTGATTTCTTATGCATTTTTAAATATTAAAAGTGTCACAATTTAATTGCCTATAAATAAACACCGGATGACGTCATCATGACGTCATCATTACACAATGTTGTTTGAACTAGGGTCTTTGATTGGACAAAGAGTGGTGTAAATGAATTACTGGCAATGAGTCGAAAATGCCCTTGGAAAATCGACAATTTATTTTTAATTTCCGTGTACAAAGTCTATGGGAAAAATTAAATATTCAAAATTCTATAATAAATGACGTGATGACATCAGCATGACGAAAAGTTTTGGCATAAATCTTCAGATGATTGTTAATGACTATGCCAAGTTTAAAGTTGATCGGATTTAAAATAATTGCCAAAGTGGCTTGCAGAATAAAAACGTGTAAAAAAACCTATGGGGAAAAGTGGAAAAAGAAAAGAAAAAAAAGGAAAAAAAAAAACTTTAACGAAAACAAGAGCTGTTCCCAATTGAAATTGGGAACAGCTAATGAGAAGTAGTTTTACTTACAGTTTTATGAATATTTCCGTACAAAAACACAATGGCACATCTGGAAAATTTGCGATTACGCGCCAACGGGTATGAATGCCCGTTATCACGCGTCTAACCAATTAAGGCAAGTCCACTGAGTGCATTTTGTACTAGAGCTCAGAACAGTCATTTATCCTGGTGTCTAGGATCTGTGCTCGAACCCACGACCTCCTGCTTTCTAGTGCAGATGTCTTACCACTCGACCACCGAGTTAACGGGATCAGTTGGCTGGTTCGAATCTGATGTACATAGCAGCGGGTACCGCATTAACTATTATAAGATGGAATTTTTGCGCCGGGGTGTTACAAATCAAATTAGGTTTTTGCCCTTCACCGACGTTAAAACACTGTATACTCAGTGTGTTACCTCCCGAGTGAAAGTTGGAATCCCCGAGTGATTTTTTCCAACTTTCACTCGGGAGGTAACACACTGAGTATACAGTGTTTTAACGTCGGTGAAGGGCAAAAACCTAATTTGAAAACAACTGAAGCAATTGTTCGCAAATGGATGGATGCTGCAGATTATTACTCATCCCATTTCTCTCAATGAAGTCATGAAATATTTAATGAAAGAAAATTATAACATGAACAAATGGGGACAGTGAGTAAATAAGTCAAGCAGTAAATACAGTCAAGCCCCTTTCATATCCCAAAAAACGTGGATATGTATTGAGTTCCTTCTAATTTCAATTTGAAATTTAAGCCATTATTTCAAAACATTATTTGTTGAAATAAAAATGTTTGTTTTCAGTGTCAAAAATAATTGCATTATATTTATATATCAACAAGGATGAAGTAAGGCAAGGTCAATCAAAACCGGCCGATCTATATTCAGTAAAAAAAATAAGCGAATACATTAAAGTAGAGAAAAAAACTCCATATTAAACAACAAATCAGGATAACATTCCCTATTAGGCCAGTGAAACTAACAGTATGAGCCATGACAGTAACCAATGGAGGGACAAGCCTGAAAGTCATTATGTCAAATGGTCAACTGATTTGGCCCTGGATGAACGAGAAAGAAAGTAATGCACTACGATGCACGCTAAGCATACCTTGCCCACCATCATGCTACTGAATACATCTTCTAGATCAGCAGACATGACCACGAGACCCTTGAGTGCCCTCCTGATGTCTAGCAAACTGCTGCGGATAACATCAATCAGCCGGTTAAACCTGATCAACTCCTGCACCAGTACTGTGTTCATGGATTCTTCATAGCGCACAGGAAACTTCATCTAAAAGACAAGAGATTATTTGCTTAATTTTTGTTTATTGCTAAACTAAATTCTGCAAACAGTTAATAAAAATATCAGTTTTAGATGGGTCTTCTATTTCTAAACACATGAAGTACACACCACTGTACTGTCAGTTTTTCCTATTTAGTTGTATTTTTTGTGAATATCCTGTCTGAATGCGTTTCAAATAAGAGGACTATATTAAAACAGAACTATAGGAAAAGATGGAAACCATTTGCATGTCTTACTTGTAAACTGTTCCAGATCATGAGAACAATTGAGGGGGGTGCATCACATCCTACCCTTCCTGTAAGGTTGCCTCTCCACATAGTCACACCTACAACCACTCTCCATAGTTCTTAAGATCACAGATCAGAGCAGAAGGAATCTTACCTTGACTTCTTCCAGATTGAAGTTAGGAGGGATCTTGGAGAGGATGTCAGATGCCAGGTCTTCAATGATCTGTTGAGCTGTTCTACCAGCTCCTGATGCCTGTAATCGGGTAATTATATTGCCATCAAAAAGACTGAATGGTTTTTGTTTCCTTTTGAGGAGAACTTCATTTTGTTTCTCATGTTATGGTTTACCATTGTTGAAAACTAAAGTTCTAAAATGCTGTCACATGAAAAAGTGTCAAACATGAACATTTATCACCAAATTATATATTACGAGTTAATCAAAACATTATAATTGGATAATGCTGGTCAACCAACTTGACAAAAAGTCATTGAAGGGTAAAATTTACACAACTTTAAATTTTCATGCATGGCTCTATTGTCTAATTAAAAATTCCTAAAGCCAAATAAAATACCAACAACAAAGAATCATTTAAAGGTTAAAAGAGAAAAAAGGTAACGAAAAAACACAACCGTTGAAGACAACAAAATAACATATCAAAACAAGTAGTCATTATTTACCGGACATCACTGCATATAAAACCCCACACTTGTTAAGCACAACAAACACAGAAATGAAAGTTGAAGCACAAATGAACAAGAACATCAAAAGCTCATGAAACGTTTGGCCAGCCAAAATATATTTTCAATTATCATCAGTGGTTAGTGTTAACCTTACGATGGGTGGAATTTTTGTTGGTCTCAGCACCATATATTTCTCTTTGGTGTAACCATAATACAAAAGCTGGAATGTTGTTCTCAATGATAAACGTGAATATTTGTTGGTTGGCGCTTGTGTACCTGATCCTTGCGTTGACTGCTTAGCACACGTTCAATGAGGCTTGAGCCATCACGTGGTGTCTGCAGGGCACCAGCACAAATGTGACACACGCACACAGAAACAAGGTGATACAGGGACAGGCATACACGGCATGTGAAGCAAAAAGAACACATTATTGTTAGGGAGTAAATTCCCATTAACAAAAGTGTGACCCAGCTTGGAAGATGGCCACGTCAAGTACTAGTCAATGATAGTCTCAATTTATTCCATGGTAATCAACATTGGACTAGCTCCACGATATTAAAAAAATATGGATACATTTATTTCTTTGCTGTATATTGCTTCCTAAGACTTCCTAAAAGAAAACTAAAATGGTTTATACAGTTAGTCTATAAACGTGTCAAATTCAAATTTGGTAACAAGCAAATGGGGAGTTATTTTGGTAACATGCAATTTTAGCTGACATGATTCTGCATGGTCCATCAGATGGAAGCACTGAAGGATGTTAATAATACTGGAAGAGTTTGAACCAAACTTTTCCAGTTTGGAAATTCCACTTATGTGACTCATCTCACAAAATCTGAAGAAACTATACAAGAGCTGTGAGATTTCAATATCTAGAGTATGGTATTCAACACTGCCAGTGTCAGTTACTTGTAGTTGTTTGAAATCTTGCAGAAAAAGTCCTCTTAAAGAGTTTAAGAGACCTGCAACTTTACAAGCTAAAAAGATTTCTGTCATTATGTCGGAGAACATCACAAATGCATGAGAAAAGACAACGCTTGGAATCTGTTCTAATAACCTGGTTTAAACAGACATATCTGACTGGCTAGATCATAAATAGAATCTACTGAATATTAACTTAACCATTTTACAACACACTTTGTAAGTGGTATGACTATATGCATTACAGTTTGGGGTTTCCAATACAGGGTGTATAAAAAGACATTACAACATATAATAAAAGACAACAAAAAAAGGTTAGTATGTGAAAGTGATGAATTGAACACGGTCACAGTGGCTCCATCTTATTGGGTAGTTCATCAGCTCTTCTTTGATACCTTATTTACATTTCTGTAGTCACAGTTGACTGAGCACAATTGATGTCAAACCAATGGCCAACAAACCCACTTTTTCCCCAGTTGTCCTGATTCAGTGGTCAGTTAAGATGCAATATCACTGTGGATTAAGTGATGAATGGGGAGGCAGACATGTTGAAGGTGTGAGAGCTAGATTAAATAAAAATGTCAAAGATTTTTTATTTGTTTATTAAAACAATGACTATCCCAAAATGTACTCAAAACATAGATGGGCATCGGCCCAACCTGGCAAAGCTTTGGCTATTGCCCACTGCAAGCTATGTTCCAAAACATTTTGATATGCGATAGCTAATAGATTATAAACAAAATCTTTGGAATGATTTATTATTCATGGAAAACAATATTATGTACCATTTCATGCAACAACATCACCAACATGTCCTCAGCCACAAAGCATTCTTTGGACAGCTTAATTCACCACTTATTCAGCGAACTTTAAAAAAGAGTGCATTTTCCAAATGGGGGGGGGGGGGGGGGGGCGCTCTTCAAAACTTATCATTATTATGTATAGGCCTACTATATTATTATATGGACAATTTCACGGCGCATTGTAATGGTTGTTGAGAGGGTTTTCTTTGGTGGGATTGATGTCAGAAGAACTCTATAAATACTTCAAATCATTGCTGACAAAAACATTTGCCCCCCCCCCCTGGATACGCCACTGTTGGTTATTCATTTTTGGTTATATGAACTGTAAATAGTTCTAGCAAAGAAAGGCTATAATATCTCTTTTTTTTTAATGAACATTATCAGTAAAAATGAAAATTATCTCTATATTCAGAATGAAAGCAGTGATACGAAATGCAAATCCAAATATGAAAAAAAAACATTTTTCCCATCTGTAAAATGACCAATTTTTGAAAACAATTAAAGACATGAAAAAAAGTTATAAAAAGAGGAAAACAAAACAAAGCAAAACAAACAAATAAACAAAAAATATGCACAGCAAACAGGAAACAATAACTAAATGCACTACCTCAGCGGTCTGTACAGCACAGGTTTCCATAGCAACAGGTTGCAACAATCACAATGTGACATGAGCAATGGTGTAAAAGGAAAGAAAATAATGGTTAACAGGAAAAAGCTCTATTGACAAATGGACTATTAGTGTCATTTTTAGTGGAACTACATGTACATGTAGCGTCTAATGAGGGAAACAAATGGTTTCACAATGACTGACAAAACAGCCATTACATTTTTCATTAATTTAAACTTCAATTCAGAAAATACTTAAAAAGAAATTTCTAATGAATCTGCCCACTTTGTTGCATTAATTCATGTTATTTATGAAGTCTCAATGCTGGAATCTCAGTCTTAGAAGTGTGACCAACTGTGTGAAGCCTTTAACCTGCTTCACAGAACAAAAATAAATACAACGGACAAATTATGCAACCCTTATTTGCCTTCATTTTAAGATAAACAGCTTTTAAGGGGCAAAATAGATTCTTTTTATCAATATGTTAACCTGGACACTTCGACACTTAAAAAAAATCCATTTGGTCCACAAAAGAGGAATAAAAGGTTAATTTTATTTGAAGAAAACCATTGCTAGAGAAACACTCTGTCATAAGTCACTGTGGAATGTTAAGGGTGATCTCAGTGAATAAGGTACTATGTCAAATGACACCTTCATTCAATGTGTGCTACACAAAAAGGTGCATGATCAATTACAATGCATGGTAAGAAACCAAGGTGCAGAGCTGTGTTTGTGCAGAGCCTAGGACTGTACAGGATAGCATGAGATACACAAATGTGAATCTCAAAAAGCTAACCTGATCCACTTACATAGATGGATCGTCTTGGCAGATTTACTATTCAACACTTAAATACAATTATTGCACAGACAGCCATGGAGCAAACGAGACTGGAAAACTACACCGAGACTATTAATATAAAAGCACACTTTGAATCAAATTAATGTGTATCAGAAAAAGCTTCATTGTGGTCCAGTAACATAACCATTCTTCTTTTACAGTTTGCTTATGGACTGCAGTGTATGAGGTATACCATCATTTGGAACTTAAAATCAACTATTTCAATGTTGGGAAATTCAGTCTGATTAGCACAGACAGATACAACAGACTAGTCAACAGGCACCAGCCTAACAAATTGTGAGAAATCAAACATAGACCCATTCTCTTCTGAGTCTTGTGCCAATCTTCATCACATCAATTTCAAGTTGATTACCTTGAAGGATGAAAGTGAAATCAATTAGTTTGTAACATGACATGCATACCTGTCTTGGAAGCGTCAGTAGAATCCCATCAAATAGCTGATGAGTCTCTGTCTGGTCCTTGGTGATATCTGCATTCTCATGCAAACCAAATACCTAGACACACAAACAGATACTGAGCTTGATTAATATCAAAACTAAAGTGGACTCATTCCGAAACAGTTCAACCCTAAACAATTCATTTTCCTCAAGTTAGTTTTAATTATGTTCAACTTGATTGCCATTTTGTTTTTACCATAGATTTATACTTTTAGTTCAAATGTTTTATTGTATCTGTATGAACTTATAGGGTTATCTGTAATCTCTTGCTTAATGACTAATAATAAAGTAATAATAACAATAAATAATTTTAAAATTGCCTATTAGCAAAACATGTTTCCCATTTTTAAGAATATTAATTGTTTTTAATATATGTCTCCCTAATCTCTATTTTCCTAGAGTACAACTCACTGATCTCTATATAAAGACTGGATAGCGGATATGCATACAACATTCACACAGTAGACTTTGCATATTGACCAATTCGCCCCGGTCTCACGAAGATGGCCGCGTATAATACGAACGTTCTACGCGTAAATACGCGCGCGTTGTATCAACAGTTGACGCACATTTTGGTCACGTACACATATTATGATGTTCTAAAAGGGACACATTTCCGTAGTGATTATTATTTCAAAACGCCGAAAAAGTTATATTTGCGGCATTTTAGTAACCACAACGTTAGAAAAATTGTAGTTAACCTTGGTCAGTGATGGTGGTCAAAATATAAGTCAAGTGAACCGCGACATTACAAAAGAAATCATGCTATCTATAAAAACGACAACTTGTCCTCTGTAGATCACCAGCCGGTCTCACCAATATGCCGTCAAATTCGTACATTGTGCGGCTCTGTATTAGCTATCCAGTCTTTATATAGAGATCAGTGGTACAACTCTTAGGAGAAAAGATAGATAAGGGAGACATATTTTTTTAAAAATCAGGAAAATGATATCTTTGGGAGACCTGTGCACATCAAAATCTGAATGTTGACACCTTTGACACCAATGAATTTCAGAACATTGTTTTTATTTCTCAAATTTCGTTGAATTATTCTTCACTTACTTCACAACAGTGCGCGTATACCCTGCTGGGCACTGTGTCTGTGTGCGACGGTACTGCATGCTACGTTCTTGATTAAGCGGGGACCAGCAAAAATGTCCGGATGAGGACAACATCAAAAATAACATTGCAGTCATCCGGGTACTTTTTTTGACATAGTATTGCAGTCATACAATACACTTATTTATTTTAACCACTGGAAGCCTTATTTATTTTAACCACTGGAAGCCTGTTATAAATAATAATCTAAATTATGAATGAACTGTAGTCTAATAATGTGGCCTAAATGCCAAATATTTGTGATGGAGCTGCTGCAATTACCACAGTCTTATAGCACCTTCTTAAAGAGTGCACATGTTTTATTTGTGTACATTAAAGGGAACATGAAATACAATTTTGGTTGCATTTTTTTGGCTTAAATCAATAAAGGATTATGTTCTTAACAATATTTTGTGTATGGTGGTGTTTATTTTCTGGGATAAATGGGGGAAAATAATTTGTGAACATGTTTGGTCAAACTACTCCGCCCAACAAAGGGAAGCTTCATTAACATAAAACCTTGCGAGGGGTATGACGCAAATCAAGGCAGAGACTTGCCGCGCTGCGGGGGGCACTGGCATTGCGTGCGTGCAGTACATGCATTGCGACAAAAGTTTCTCTGGTCTTTCGTTCGGAATCGAGGAGAAATAACACCAATTTTCGGCCATGCCGACAAGGTGTGTGGCTGCTGTGTGTAGCAAAACTACCAAGGATGGAGTAAGCCTTCATTTGTTTTAGGTTGATCCGAAATATCGGAGCATCTGGAGAGCGAAAGTGAAGGTTAATACCAGAGCAAAGTGGTCCGGGCCCAGTGAGTTCGCGGCCCTCTGCAGCGACCACGCTGAGCCGTCGTGCTTTGATGCTGGTCTGTACAGCAACTTTGGCATGCCCCTAAAAAACATCAGGTCAGTGTCTGAATCATTAGAACTCTGATTCGAATCGGACGAATCTGTACAATTTTTATCGGATTCACTAAGGAAAGAAGAGGAAGAGTCTTCGGAACTTTCACGGTCATGACGGTCGTCCATGTTTCATTCAACAATCGTGGCACGCCACATGCAGGTACATGGTACTACGTACGTGTGCATAATGCCACGTACGCGGCGGCTGCACAGAGCACCTTCGCTAATCCGTCTCGTACCCAGACGTCATTTACAGGCCCTGGATTTCTCTGCCTTTGTTTACGTCATGAACAGCTCCCTCATTTGGAGTTGCCGCGAAATTCAAAAAGGGGGGTTCAATTTTGGACGGCAAATTACCACACTAAACGTACACCAGAACCAGTTCTGCTTTTAATTCACATTTAATACACATAAATGAATGTTTATATAAAATAAAATACGTTATGAAATGTTGGACTGCATGTTTCCTTTAAATATTGCATACACATGCTGAACTTGAAAAGCATATATGTCTGTGTTCAGTTTGTCCATGCGAGAAAGCAAAGTCAATGGTGTTTGAGTAAATGGTTTTAAGGAACATGACATAAAGTGGCCTATTTAATGAATGAACTATTTTTCCTTACCTCAGGGTGAGGGGTCAAAGGTAAACTCCGGATGTATTTAATGTAGCTCTTGTATGGCCCAGACAGTGGACACTGGTAGTTGCCACTCTCAGAAAAGCTGTAATTCTCTGTCTGTAGTAGGTCTGGATTATAGAAGTTACTCAGTAGACTCATGAGAAGGCGGCGATCTCGTTCATCAGTAACACGACCACCATAGTTACACTGTCCTGTCAAATAGGAGATGGCTTCCATTGGTACATCATCATAGTCATTCAGGAACATCTATACAAGAAAAAAATACATCTTATTTTTCCGTTACAATTTTCAAACAGTATCCACAAAGGTCTATTTTAAAAGGCAGTTATAAGAAACACAACTGTCTGCATTGTCCATTCCCATGATTTGAAACAAGTGATGCAAGATTTGAAATCACAATGCATGCGAGTATAAATACAGCAACACATCTAGACTGTGGAAAATGCTTCAGATTAGCACAAGAAGTTGGTGCAACCTCTTTCAATTATCCCCGACTCTTTTTGGCTAATTTCACAAAATTAAAAGTTATGAAAAAAACAGGTCAGGTGTGTTTACAAACACAAATGCCCCGCAACCGTGACTGTTCCCATGACATAACACCACTCTTTTAACATCAACTTACATGTACCTTGGTCACATGGAACGTTCATTGACAGCATTAGTGTTTTCTGTAGGTTTTATATGAATTAATCCCTATGATCTCAGAATAAATACAAGATTTCTATTGTTTTAGCCACTGTGACCTTGACCCTTGACTTTTCGACCCCCAATGCAATAGGCTTCTTCGGATTACCAAGAACAATCCACAAACCAAATTTGAAGTTCACATGTTAAGTATTTCTCAAGTTATCGCGCTGACAAGATTTCTTTTGTTTTAGCCACTGTGACCTTGACCCTTGACCTTTCGGCCCCAAATGCAATAGGCTTCTTAGGATTGCCAAGGACAATCCACAAACCAATTTGAAGTTCACATGTAAAGTATTTCTCAAGTTATCGCGCTGACAAAATTTCTAGTTCTAGCCACTGTGACTTTGACCCTTGACCTTTTGGCCCCAAATGCAATAGGCTTCTTAGGATTACCAAGAACAATACACAAACCAAATTTGAAGTTCATATGTAAAGTATTTCTCAAGGTATCGCGCTGACAAAATTTCTTTTGTTTTAGCCACTGTGACCTTGACCCTTGACCTTTCGGCCCCAAATGCAATAAGCTTCTTAGGATTGCCAAGGACAATCCACAAACCAAATTTGAAGTTCATATGTTAAGTATTTCTCAAGTTATCACGCTGACAAGATTTATCCGGACACACACACCCACCCACACACGTGTGTAAATGCCGGCAATCGTGGTCGCCCCATTGTCCCTAATCCTCTTTCCTTTGTTTGTACTGTAACTTTTTAGCGACAGCTCTCATTGGTTTTGTACACGATTTGAGATCGTGGACGTATTGTTTGCGCCCACATTCTTTTGTCCTACGTCCACGATTGCCGGTGTTTACATACTCACCCACACACACCCCACACCCACCCACGGAAGGACAAGGCGGAAACAGTATGCCCCTTCGGCTTCGCCGTGGGGCATAAAAATATTTTGATCAAGATGACACAATAAAATCGTTGTTCCTTTTGTAAATTAAATCATGTTGGGTAAGTCTTCAATACAATGCTCAGCTTTAGTCCTGTTATCTACCTCAACTGCCCAATTTTAATGTGTGAAATGACATACTTATAGGGATATAAACGCTGACTCAGAGATAGAACCAAATCAGAGATAGAACCATTCTGCAAACAGAGACCAACAAACCTCCAATTACTGAATGAGATTCCTACCTGTTGCTGACGGACGCTAATCCTAAGGTCTGACTCATTGAACTCATAGGGAATGTTCCATCCTAGAGCACCAAACTGCCTTCTCTCTTGAACCAAGGCATGGAAGAAACACAGGCTGAACAAGAGTTTTCTCCACAACTGTAAAATATGAATAAATAGCTCCAATAGTATACATATCACATGGACAATGCAATCACAAGAGCCCTGTCAAGTAAAACGGAATGTCCATTTAGTGTGGAAGAAAATACCCATTGGCAAGCTTAAGTAAATGCTTAGAGACTAACTCAAATAAAACATAGTTTTGAAGTTATATTTGCATATAATGAAAAATCATCATTTATTGCACTCATCCCCTTTGATACTTGCCTCTGGTTTGTTACATCCATCAAAGAAGACTGGGTCCGAGATAGGATCATTGAGATAGGATCTGAGCAGATTTGCCCTTAATCCCTTGGGTGGTTCATTGGTCATTTTAATGCCATTCTGTAGCATAGATACTGGGAATGCCGGTGATGGGTAGCTGGTTAGCCACAGTCGGAATGATGGCTTGGTCTTCTCTACATCTGTAATGACCTCCTCACAGATCTTCTCCAGAGTAGGCAGCCAGGAGGTTGCTAGGTGGCAGTTCTGCAGGACTACCCAGGTTCCATTTTTCACAGCCTGAAAACAGCAAAAATAAGTGACTTTGGAGTCCCTCAATCTAAAACTTTATCTTCATATTGTCACTGCAGGGAACGTACTCAAGAACAGATCCATTATGTCCATCTAGATATAGCACGACCAGTAAAATGATATTAGCTTGATTTTAATTGAAGTGATCAATAAATCCTTTTATTACTATCCTAATCATTAGGGTTTTATTCTCAGAGAAGTGCCTGACCAGAAATCGTCAGAAATGAAAAAAAAATCATGGATTACAATATAAACATGATTTGTGAACTCTGACCTCATCAATCATCTTAGCAGCGATTGGTCCTTGGCCTTGTCCAAGTGAGATGGTCTGGAGCCCTGAACCACCCATTCCTGAAGAGTGCAACATGGAACAGAAACAATTAGGGATCCATACACAGCAGCAGACAAGTCTCTACCACACAGGACATTATAACCAAATTAAGTGGAACTGGAAGTTCTTTGCTCTAAAAGAAAAATGCTTAAGCTCAAAATTAAGAGCCAGATATTTCCTTTAAAGATCAGCAAAGTCTTTTACAATAATACAACTTTCCCAGGTATAATTGAACTATATTTTAATCAGCAACCCCCCTCCCCCCAAAAAAATAAACCAGTGCTGGAGTCCTGAAAATCTATCAAATATCCATCACAACTCTGGTAAATCAAGTTCTTTCACAAGTCTATTCACAAAGTAAGAGGGGATTAACCCTAGCAATAGTTACAGTTAATCTGACTTGAGTTGAAATTGAAGGACTAGCTAGTGATGGACTTGTGACCAACAACAGTAGTGGCTATGTATTCTGCAAAGAAGCCAGAGCACTGGGAAAAGATTGTATTTCTGAGATACTTAAAAAATGTACAACTTATTTGCCAGATTTTGAGCCTACATAACCATCATATTATTGCAGCACACTATATTATCAACTTCTTACCGCGACATATTTCCTGGACTGAATGTTTTGAATTTAACTGTAATTAAGACGATTGTAGACATCATTATATAAATATTTTTAATAACACAAATAAGTGGTCCAAAGCAAGCAAAGCACATAGAGCAGTGTGTTAGTGACTTGTGCTGAAACACACAACATGAAAAACGTGTGGTGTTATAGCACAGTGAACAAACAACAGCCACTGTTGGTTAAGAGGCAGAAAAGTGTAAGAACGACTATGTGGAAACAAGCAATTTTAACATAAAATGGAAGGATATGAAGCTACAATATCCCAAACGTATATTGAATAAAAAGATTCACAAATAGTTGTTAAAGCCTGCTAATTACCAAGCAACCAGTCACTTCAAAATGTATAAATTCAATCATTCATTAATCATGTTGGTTAAATAATGAATAGACATCAAGTTGATGATCCACATTCAATGATAAATTATCATCCATTTAACTGATGAAAGATCAGTTAAATAATATTAGCATTAACTTGTTTTCAGTTGACCAATCCGCTAATCAATGTCCAGTTAATGATGAATCAATATCTGGTTAATACATCTGGCCACCATTATATATCATTGCTTATGTTAGCAAACCAAAGTGCTTTGGATTATAGAGCTTCAAGTCTTTCTAATATACCCAATTGACACAAACATCAAGCAACTACTCAACTTCACCAACAATCTTACATAATTATTATTAAAAAGATACATGAAGATGACTCAAAATGGTAAATATACATGTGAATAAACTGTGTTGCAAAACATGTGAAGTATGTGTGATTAATGTAGCATACAGGGTAAGCTTGAATCCAGTGTTAAAAACAAAGCGCCCACAAATAACAAGCAGCTTGCAAGTAAAATGAGTCACATACGACTGATTCGACTGATGGTTCTTGCCAGGCGAGGGCGATATATTGATGATTTCATCTCCTTTGTATCGTCCTTAGATTGGCTACTTGGTTGGTGCAACTGATCTGCCTTGTCCAGAATTACAGCCCGAGATGAGACATCTTTGAGAATAGGATGTAAGGACTGCTGGGATTGCAGAGGCTCATGGGGAGGACCAGAGGGGTTATGAGTAGCTGGATTCAGGTTTGCAAAGCGGACACTACTTCGAGGCCTATTATCACCACCAGCATTTGATTGGACAACAGTGTGCGTGTCAACCAGTGATGCTTGGGTTGGTGTTGCTTCAGTTTCCTCTGACTTTGCCATGGTATTGACAGTTTCATCATTCTCATTTCTCTTCTCTTCCTGCTCAACCTCTATCATCTTGTCAACTTCATTAACTCTGACAGCCTGATGAGCAGTCTCAGTCGTCTCATCAACCTCTGGTGTTGCAGTTCTTATCAACTCTGGTGTTGATAGAGCTGATGTGTCATTTCTCAGCATGCTGTTTCGGCTGCCTTTGCGACTGAACCCAGGATTTATGGAGCCTAGAGAATCCTGCCTAGTTTGCTGGAGAAAACCTGGTGCAGAGTGAGGTAAATTATACAGCAAGAGGAAATCACACACGCAAGACTGATATGGGTGGAAACAGGAAGATAAATCATGCACTGCAGGAGAGGAAGAAATCATGCCAATTAGTACTTTGAAACTTATTTCTTTACTTTTTTGTTCAGCAAGATATTTCATGCAATGATTTTGTAAGTGATAGAGAAAAAATGAAACGTATGTCCAGATTTAACAATTCATAATTATACCGGTACTTGCTTCTGAATCATCATTTCACTTTGTGCCAAAATTCAGACACGCAACAATTTTAAGTGTGAAGGAAACAGCCGAAGAAACAGTTTACGAATACTCAACAAACCTTTTTCAACTGCAAATTTCATCAGGCCTGCCATAGGATCAGCACCGGGGGATAGGACAAAGATAAGTGGTGTGGAATGACTGGAGTCCTGGTATGACCTAGTCAGGTCAAAGGTCGGAGGGTCAATGTAGGCTTTACCCATCTGCTTCACAATGAAGTTGCTTACTGCTGGCACAACCTATGAGGAGAGATGTATAAATGCAACTCCTGCTTCATCTGCATTACTTAGTTATGGTACAAAGTTATTTATGTTTGCGTACTTCTCGTTACCGTCAAATTGTGGCCGCTTATCATGTACAAATCTAAGCTGTATCACTGACTCCCACCATATGGTTTTACAATGTAGCACACAAATTACTTTCCCAGAACCAGACTTTAAACGCATTTCCCAATTCTTGTTTTCAGCCATTTCTTAAGCCCTCGATAGAACTCAAGCTGAATTTATGTCCTGCTTTCAAAAAATGGTTAGACATATTTCTTTCTAATCAGAAATAGTTTTGTATGTTGCTTTTTGGTTCTGACATTGTCAGAGAAAAAAATATTCCAGACCCAAAGCCAAAGAGATAAAACAGACTTTTCACTTCTTGTTAAATGTTAAGTAGATCTTTAGTACAAAAGTCCAGCAGAAGCTGTCCATGGGTACCATGCAGCATATTTCTAGTATTTGGTTCTTCATAATAAACTGGTGCCTTGTGTTCCTTCTTCCATTCTGTAATTGATTAGATGGTGTTCAAATATCAGTGACTCGAATTGACTCGAGCATAAATTTCACACGACTCGACAACGCACTGTGACTCGACACGACCTTTTTGACCTAGTGACTCGAATCGACTCAAGTCACTTCCTTGCAAGACTCGTTACATCTCTGACTCCCATGAGTACAAATGATGAAGACTTCTAAGTATTTCATCAGCATCAATTTCAAATGGTACCAGGAATCTTTCAGCTGATGATTTATTTCATGTTGCACAACAAGATCATGTTAATCAGCCTTACATGAAGGCAAAATATATAATGACACACAAATTGTTTTAATAATAAACACGATCAATTTCTGGATGATATTTCTAGTATTCTTTAGGATTGTGTGCCCTGTAAAGTGAGATGTTACCTTATCTGGTCGAATGATTCTTAATATGATCAGCTTCTGTATGCTGCTGAGTGTCAGCTCCCACGGTTCAGGTATCTTATCCACGTGAGGAGTATGTGAATCATACAGCTTCTTCCAGTCATCCAACTGTGCAACAAAACATGTGAATCAGACATCTGCAATTGACATTTTAAAGCTTGATGTCTATTCCAATTCATAATGTCCATTTTGTGCAGGCTCTAAATTTTCATAAAGATAGCTTTGGTTCACCTCATCCTCTCTCCAAATCTTGCTGCTTTGTCTTTGGCTAAATCATGTTTGAAGCAAGTGTAAGTGCCTCAAATTAGAGTACCTGTTGATCATACAGTAGGAAACAAACACAATTTCGAGTTCTTTCCATAAACTCCTTTGAAAAAAAAAATGACACCAATAAGCTCATCCTGATTTTATACTTACATTATTTCTAAAGTTCAACATGAAATCATCAAATGCAGGAAGATTGGACACTCGGACAATCTCTGCCCAAGATTTGTCAGGCAGCCAATCAGGGGCTGGATTAGGGAAAGGATTCTCTAAGGCCACACCTCCTGTCAGGAGGAACCGCCACTCCCTGTCATCGATATCACCCCTGCACAGAAAAATGATCATATGAAAATGGACATGTATCCACTAGTACAGGTTTTCCCATCCATTGATCATTCAATCATACAGAATGTTCATACAAATTCATATAGAAATGAGCAAGCGTTTTCCAACCCGGTCCAAATTAACAAAACTTGCAAATATTTTTGGGGCATAATCATTCATGCGTAAGAGGTAGTCAGTAAATTACATAACTTGAAAGACAAAGGACTGTTTTGGATGTTTTCTAGGATGCATGTTGTAAAAAAAAAGGTCATATCATAAAGGGATGTTTAGGCTGGTGTACTGGGCCAGACATGACTGTGACCTACCTGCCCTTGGCAAGTCCAATACAGAGTAAGAAAGAGAAGAGGAGCTTGTCCTTTTCAAATAGTGATCGGCAGACATTTTGATAGATACTGTAGGTGAAGTGGTTATTCAGACTATTGATTCTCTCCTGGAGATCACTGGATGCCGGACTGGAATTAATTGACTGTGGAAATACCAAAAATGACAAACTTAATCATTCACATAAAAAAATACATAAAAAGTCAAAAATGGCCAAAAAAGAAAAACAAAGTTTAACAAGCACTAAGATCCAATGGTTACGGTGTTCAAGGAGTGTGGTATATGTGTTCCTTGGCAAGACACTTTACTGCTACTGCCTGTCTCCATCAAGAAGTAAAACGGGTACCTGTGAGGGTAAAGAGCAGATTGTGACGATCTTGAACTGTTACAGAAATTTGGTCCCATGGCTGGATGAACTTAGGTATAATTATCCCCGTTCACACTAGACGAATTCCCCGGGAATATTAATTTGTACAAATCTATCAAACCAGATATCAGGTAAAAAGGACCCCAAATAGACCGCTATATTAGTAATCACAGCAGCTGTGCAACTGATTCACAAACATACTAATTGTGCAATTAAACTCAAAGCGAAATGTAAAAATTTAATCCATTTTTTGTCAATTTCATTAACAATCCATGAATCTTGATCAGGCAGCTAGGGGGCAGAGCAGTTTTAGTGACACTGGTAAAAACAAAGTGAGAAACAAGTAAAAGAAGACATGTGCTCCAATGTGAAAGTCACATCAGACAGAAACTATGATATCATGACTTACTGGTATTTCTTCCAACACAACTGGAGACATTGTCTTAGTGACATGGACAGACTAGGGGAGTGTAAACAGGTTACAACAACATAAACAAATACAAAGCAAAATGTGGGGTAAAGCATCAAGTTTTGAGGGCACATTCCTGATTGCACACATATTAAGCAACCAACTTCTCAAAAATGTACCAGCATGACATTGCTGAAACTTGCTATACAGGTCCTGTATATGCCTGGTGACTTAACACCATGCAAGCTTTTTTGCCACAATTTGATTAGTTTACTCTCAAATCTGGAATAACCCAACAAAGGGACAATAGAGTTAAAATGACAAACTGAGTTCGGAATATAAGTAAACTTCCACTTTATCTTTAATATAGCTCCTATGCAAAACATCATAAAAAACACACATTACAGGGTGTTATACAATATATATTATACGATTAGTGCACAAAGGAGAAAGGATACCTGGCCTAGTGCCCTCCAAAACAGGGATTACTGTATTTGGAAAGTAGATTCCTACACCGACCTTCCATTCCATGGTGTAAAGTAAAAAATACTAGAAATCAATGTGCAAAAACAAGGAAGGTGTGACAACTAATAATTGAGGCCAAAAAAAAAACAGTTCTGCTTCTGATTACATGCCTTTCAAAAATAGGGTCAGTCGATCGGAACTTTTTTGGGGGGGGGGCCAATTTTTTTCATGCAGATTGAATGGGGCATTCAATTATATGCGAAGTTTTAGCCTGAACTATTTCCACTGCACTACGAAAGCTATACACAAAATGGCCACAAAAAGTGAATAAAACCTACCTTAATTATTGTCAATATACATATTTGCGTTCGATAATTTGTAAAAAATAATGGAAAATTCAGGTCGTTCGCACCACATGCACAACGCTAGTCAAGACGGGAAGCTTTCAAAAACTCCGAAGTGTGTGACGCACTGTTCATGTGTGGCGCACGGCCAACAGACCTCGTTTTTACGGTCGAAAATTTTGGGAAACACGCTGCATTGTATCACGTCAAATACGAGTAGTGCGATCTCAAAATTAACTCTTGAACACGGAAAATACATACACAGACAAGCTAGATCAATTCTGTGAATTAACTTGCAAAAATGTTCTTTCTCCATCGGTGTTTTCTTGGCATTTTACGATGTCGAATCCGACCAGTTGACAGTGCACGTGCCTGCAATGCATAGCCATGCTAGCGCTATCGATCCCATAGCCATGACAGACTGGTTACCGCATTTTCATCATGTCTTCTAAATTGGCCCCTGCGCGGCACGGCGGGAACCAGTCGTCGCCGCATTGAGCTAGGTTACGTTTACGCACGTGATTATAGTCACCGTGACATCGAATTGCAAAGTAGTTATATCGCGAAGCGAATTTGTAAAAATAACGGAGGTTTCTTTTGAAAAAACAGCGAATGTAAGTAAGAAAACAAATAAATACAAGCATTTCTTTTTTACGCAAAAGGGTTGTTGAGAGGTATTTTGTGAAGACAGAAAAGACAACAGGTTTTTATTTTTATTTATTCAATCATTTTTTTTCTTTTCGAATTGCTGATAAAATTTTTAGGGTCGCAGCCTAAAAATAGGGTCAGTCGGGCAACCGGAGGCAGAAGTATTATTTTTTTTGGTCTGAACAATGTAAGTTTCTCTTGTACATCATATCAGAGTTTTTTGTAGTAATTCATCAAAGTTTAAAAAGTATGTTCTTAAAGTACCAGACATTTGAAGGGGAAGGTCTATTGTATTGAATCAGTGACCAAAATGGAAATATGGTCGGTGACCCATTATGGACAAACATTAAGCAAATTTACAATCCTTGGGCTGAACAAGATATAAATACAGCGGATATGCCTTACCTGCAGGTAAAGGTTGATGAACCATGTCAATGAGTATTGATACATTGGTTCAATGTTGGCCAAATCCGATATGGTAAAGAACAAAATGGAGGAATGCTTAGCCACCTACAAAAGGATGAACAAGCAACAAACACATCCAGCATGAGTAATTTTAGGAAAAGAGTAGCACACAACTGAATTAGCACCTTTCACGAAGGTATTGACAAACTGTGGACCCGCCAACCTTGGGTTGGATAGCTCAGTTGGTAGAGCGCCACTGGTACAGTAATCCAGCGGTTGCAGGTTCAAACCCCGCTCCAGTCAATTTCTTTGTTCAAGTTTATATCTATTATAACTGCACCTACACGGTTTCCCTTTGTGGTTTGCTTTTATTAAAAATAAAATTGAAACATTTAGAAATAATGGTTTAAATTACTGGTAATATGTAATTCCACTTGAGAAGCAGATAGCGGCAGCCCACAAATAATCATCAAACAAATTATAATGGCAATTTATTGCATTTTTATTGTATTAAAAAATGACAGGCAATTAGTGGACTCTATTTGGATAATGGCTCTAAACTAAAACTAATTTCATGGGAGTAGCAGTTGTTTCAAGTCTGGTGATCTGAACTTACTGGTTTGTAGCCATCTCTTGTCTCATCAATCTCCTTCTCTGTCCTACTAGCCACCTCCTGCTTCTCTGAGATCTCCTTGGATAGCACCTTACTGGAAGACAAGATCTCAATAGCCGTCTCATCCTCTAGGATGTTGCCTTCTGAGGTAGACAGAACCTCCAGGATCTTATCCTCTATCTCCTTGAGCTGTTTACGGTTGTGAGCACCCTCAATGATCAGCTGGTTCTTCTTCTCTTCAAGTTGAGGCTTTTCTCTGGCTGCTACCAGGCCAAGCAGCTGGTCCTCAAGCCCCAATGGGGTGATCATGAAATTCAACAGTGTAACCTGCAGTACATACAGACATTTCAGTAACTCAGAAAGTATGTGCAGACTGCTCTTATTCAGTGGCATATCCACAGGGGGGGGGGGGGCAAGGTGGACCCCCTGGCAGATTTTTTGACAAATATTTTTTTTCAGCAATTATTGCAATAAATGGTTAGAGACTTCCGACATCAATTCCACAAAAGAAAATCCGCTCAAAAACCATTACAATGTGCCGTGAAAATTGGTATATAACTTGCAGTATGCATAATAATGGTCAGTTTTACAGAGCGCCCCCATTTGGAATGGGTACCAGCCCCCCCCCCCCCCCCCCCCCCCGACATCTACAGCTAGATACGCTACTGCTCTCATTGTTTGTGTCTAGTCATGTTTTAGCCAGGCTTGTGTCCTATGAGCAAGATGTCACAATTTTCTCTTTAAAAAAAGGGATCTAGTACTTCAACAGACATCATCTGGGTTCTCTTTATCTCCAACATAGACAATAGCAAAATCAGTATTGTCAAGAGTTTTTTTTTTTTTTTTTATAAGCAAAAAAATTCTTTAAATTTTTGGGGTAATGGGAAGTGAAGCAAACAAACTATTTAGATCGATACAAAAAAGAACATCTATGTATAAATACAATTGACACACAAAGTCAACTACTCTTTCTCGAATTGGGATACAAAACTCTTGTGTATCCAATTAAATATTGATAGACATATAGCGCAATCAAATCCAATGCTTTGCTTTTTGCAGCTCACTTTGACAGAGACTTCTGGCAGGTAGTGAGGGTTGCGAAGTCTGGTGGTGATGTAGAACCTGAAGTCTTTGCTGAACTCTATCACATTATCTCCGAGTCGCAGGTACTCAAGACCATTCTGATAAAATAACAACACAAATGATCAAAAGATGGCACTTTGCGTAAGGGTGATGTAAATCATATTAGGTTTTGCCCCTCAACGACGTATAAACACTGTATACTCAGTGTGTTACCTCCTGAGTGAAAATGGGCAAAAAATCACTCATATTATAACTCACGACCTTCTGCTTTCTAATGCAGACGTCTTACAACTTGACCACCGAGCTAACGGGATTGGTTGGCTTGTTCGAATCTGATGTACATAGTAGCGGTTACCACAATGAAACTATTCATAAGATGGAACTTTGCCTTGGGGTGAAGTAAATCAAATCAGGTTTTGCCCTTCACCATCATTTAAAGAAGCAGCCAACCAATTCTGTTAGCTCGGTGGTAAGACGTCTGCACCAGAAAGCAGGAGGTCGTGGGTTTGAGTCCCACTCAAGCGATTTTTTCCAACTTTCACTTGGGAGGTAACACACTGAGTATATAGTGTTTATATGTCGGTGAAGGGCAAAACCCTAATTTGACAAATGATCAATGTTACACCCAAGATTGTGGAATTACTTTTGAAAACAAACACAGTTTTTACTTCTGGCAGACATTTGTATAAAATGCGAACAAATCAGCTTTTTTTTCTAATGTGCCGCCAAAAAAGTTTTTCCATGCAACAAGAGCTCCAGGAATATTCCACACAGTTCCTTATATTATAATTTCTTTACACTCCTGTATTTCAGTGACGAAGCAACAGAATGTCCCACCTGTTTGAATGTTTGCTTGAGAAGTAGTGATTCAAGAATGGGATCTAACTCCTCACCAACATTCTCCAGAAGACAAGGCTGGCCAAACTAAATACAGAAAAGAACATGAAATGAAATACCTGTCATCACTGTCATCACTCCCATATGAAGCCCGGGAAGGGACAGGGTGGAATTTTTTTTGTAATTTGCTAATTCATTCCCACGAATTGCTATTTTGTGAGAACGAATTGCTATTTCGTGGGAACGAATTGGTAAATCGTTCGCACAAATTGGTCAATCGTTCACACGAATTGCTATTGCTAACTCGTGGATCCGGGAACGGTTTAGTAATTCATTGGTAATTCGTGGGAACCAATTAGCAATTCGTGAAAATGAATTAGTGATTCGTGCGAACGAATTAGCAATTAGTGGGAACGAAATAGCAATTCGTGCAAACGAAATAGCAATTCATGCGAACGAGTTAGCAATTCGTGCGAACGAGTTAGCAATTCGTGCGAAGGAATTAGCAATTCGAGCGAAGTAATTAGCAAATTAAAAAAAAAAATTCCACCCTGTCCCTTCCCGGGCTTCATACTCCCAACCAAATTCTATATGACTTTATTTTGTAACACTCAGGGCACTGTAAGTCAAACATCTGGCTTTAAACAAATTTAGAAGTATGGTTTGGAGAGGTGTATGATTTAACACGAGCTAATTTGTGCAGTGAATAATCACATGTAAACATCATGCAAGGTTGACCCCACTATGAGGTCCTTGGTCAAATTTTACAGGGCTGGTTAACAGTTAGAAGGAAACTACTACTTCTTATCATACTCTTGGCTTGTGTGTGTACGAGTATTGAGCAGATATAAGGGGAAATACCTATGAATGGTTTGCTTACAAAAACGTTTACAATGGCCATTATTTTTTGAGTTGGCTTTAAAACTGTGGGCAATTAAAATTGGTCAGTTAGAAGCCTGTGACCATTACCTGTATGCAGTTTTCCAAGGCACGGGTGTAGTTAGGATCAGACAGTTTGACGACTTGTAACTTGTTTGGTTTCTCCATGTTCTTGACCCATTTGTTAGCTTGACCCTGAGGATCTATCATCAGGGGCCAGCGGTTGGCATTGGTCACTATAATGGCATTGTCTATGGAAAAACTAGAGGGGAAAATTAAGTTAGTCTACACTGCAATAGTTGTGCTGTAACATGATTTTTCTTGGAATGTTATGAATCTGTAGTTGCATTCAATAATGCAAAGTCAATAGGCCTAATGAAAATTTGGGAGAATTTTACAATTTCACAAAATAAAGATGTTTTGCATACTGTGAACAGATATGTGTACTCATACATTCATCTATAGCCTTAATCGGTATCAGCTTGCACAGTGTGCATATGTTTAGCTAGTGGGAATTGTTACCAATGGAAGTAGTAATTCAAAATGGCAGCTGAAGGGCAGATGAATGCCTTGTGTCAACGGCAAATCTTGCATAGGAACATGGACAAATAACACATGCATGTAAAGCAACTTATCCTCTTTCAATCAATCCTACATGTTTAATTAACAGAGCAGAAATTAAAAATCAATAATTTACTTTGTAATACACTGTGTGCTTGGATACTGTAATTTCATTGGTCGAGAATGGCCATGAGTCCAGTCTGTAAAAACACATATACAATTGTAAACCTCATATACAATGCGCATTGCACGCACATGTGTAGAACCTGCATGTGCACTCGCGACCGAGAGATGAGAACTGCATGCATGCAATGCCAAACCGCCCAGTCTCATGTCCAGCAGGAAAGCCTGCAGTTATCAAGGGTTACACCCACTGATTTAACTTATTTCTTGCATAGTAAGTTATAACATTTGTCGTTTTGACTATTGGCATGATATAACACAATAATAGCTGCTGTGATGTGGGATACGCCGTTTTTAACCCCCTTCGGGCGCACATCATGTCCCACATCAAAACAGTCAACAATTATTAAATAAGCCTCACACTGACTAATAGTGAGTGATATATCAGTGTCATGAACAAATGAACAGAGCGAGTCGCTATGATGTCACAGGAACAAACAGGTGAAAACCTTTCCAGTGTGCTAACCATAACTGCTCTTGTGTAAGTCCTCCTTTTTGTCCAATTCAAGTCCAGTGTGTCCCCATGCAAGACGCTTTAAAGCAATTGCTTTTTCTTTGCCAACCAGCAGCTCGACCCATTCCTTTGATTGATTGATGAAAAACACTAGTAACTGCACAGAATGTGACCTTACTTGTCAACTGGTAGACCAGCCAATTGCCAATCCCTGATCTTGACGGGATCTCCAAGAGTGGCCGACAGTGAAAATACATCGGACACAGGGATACCCTTTTCTTTACACAGAGCATACCAGTCTTTTAAGCATTCCTGCAAACAATTAAAAATGACAATACAATGTGTAAAGGATGTCATGTTGAGCAGTTATAACCAATGACCCCTAATAACAGATGCCATGGAGAAATGAGCACATCAGTGCTGCAGCATGTTCAATCATTCGGTTCACTGTGTGATCAAGAATGATCCTACAACCTACAAGGTGAACAATGGTAACCAGGAAGCTCTGAGCAGGGGTCTAAATACATTGCAAAGAAATCTGCAATTAGGCCAAAAGTAAATAACCATACTCTTGAGGTTTTAACCACAGTGATCCTCATAGAAAACACAACCAATCAGGAATGAAGCTGAGAATCTACGCAATTTTGTTCATGAATTGGCTTTGGCAAGTTACGCAATCCTTTTGATTCAACACAAGTTGAAAACTGAGTACACTTAAAATACGAGTGCTAAGCCAAACTCCAGCCATAACTTGCAAAGTGCCCATCCTAGATAACAGTTTGCCCATCCAAATGATGAAACCCTAGTTGCAAAGTAATATCCATTGGGTAAAATAACTGACCTGTCTGAAAGAGAGTGTGAAGATGCCTAGGTAAGCAACAACACCAGCTGATATAAGAACATCTCCAACAATGTTGGTGAAGGTTTCACCCAACTCTTCTGCTTGCTACAAAATGAAAAAAAATACAAGTGCTGGGCAGGTACTGGATACAACTGGATACTCACGATTCTGTTTTAGTAGTTAATAATCTCAACTGAGAAACACAATGATATCCAAAAGCAGCTTTGTTGCTTTGCAACTTTCTTTTTGCTTTGAGAGTCTTATGCCCTCTTTCATGGACTTGATAAAAAGGAGGTTTTTCTTCATTTCGTTCTAGTGACTGTTATCTTATGGTGTCTTCTTGTCATTAGTAGTGTTGAGGCGTTTTCATTTATTAGGGAAAAACAGATTCAAAAACTGGATAAGTGTAACTAATAACATCTTTGCAGTAAAATATGCAAGAATGATGATGCTTACAGACTGATTACCAAAAAAAAGATCAAAAGATGAAGAAAATGTATGAAAAGAGAGAGAGAAAAAATAGGGGAAGGGGCCTGAAGGGCTTGAGTTTTCTTTGCAAATAGGAATTACCTGCATCCATCTATCCTTCTCTCCCCCTAGGCCTGATATCAGCTTCTCAGCTCGAATCAACTTCAATCGTGTCAGCTCAATATTGTCCTCAAGTTGCTGAATAATGAGGAACAGAAGAAATTCATTGTCTGTACACAGAATGAACATATAAATACAAACACACAAAATATGATCTTTATAAACATCACAATTAAGTAGCTTGTAGTAATTGAACAATAACATATCAGACATCCAACCTTCTTTTCTGTATTTCTCTTGGTCAGTTTGTCATTTAAACCTTGCAGCTTATCAGTGATTTCCTTCAGCACAGCTCGTTTTTCATTCAACATTTTCATCTGATCACCAAGTTGAGACTCAGCATCGTGAAGTCGTGCTCTCTTTGGAGCTACAATCTGTTTGACAAAAAACCCAAATGCACCAATTAACACTGGTAACAGGGAAACAAAGCTTGTATATTTGAGAATCACACCACTGCCTGAAGTGACTGTAGAATGTGTACATGAGGCCTGTGATGTTTTTCAAGAAATTTACCAATTGAAATCTTGGTGATAACACATTTCATTCTGGAGAAATGGGTGGTTATAAATGTCCGCATATGGCCCACTAACCATACAGGCAGAGTACCAAACAGGGCAAGCATATTCAATTGCTGGACTCCCATAAATATAATCATTTATTAACTCTTCAATAGGCACCATACAGCGCCAAGTAAACGTAACAAGTAGAGCTCCGGTTGAAATGACCACTTATGTTGTTATTTGAGTATTCCATTTTAAATTGCTCAGTGCACAAATTCCAAGAAGTTTCATAAGATCTGTTTGTTTAATTAGTGAATGACAGACATCAAAAGAGGGTACAACAGGTAAATTCCTTTGGAAACAAACGTTCATGCTCTGACATTTGGTTGGGTTAGGTTTTTTCTTATTATCAACAACCCACTGTTGAAGATGTTCCATTTGCATGCTGGCATTCTGTTAGGATTGGAAAAGGTCTAAGTGTCAAATCATCAACATATTGATAATGATTAACCACAGGAAAATTTGGAACAAAAGACCAAAAAAGCATGACCAGGAAGGCAATGGGATGTAGTTTAGTACTTTGGGGAACTCCAGAATGCAAAGTCTCGCAGGAGTAAGAAATACCACTACACCTGACTGAATGTAAACAATGTGATAAAAAGCCACAAAACCAAAGAATCAAGGAAGATCATTTATGACAATATGATTGACTCTATCAAATGTTTACTAAAATCACTGGCTATCAAAACTGCTGAATTTTGGTTTGCATATATATCATCCAAGAGTTTGATTAAGCACTGCCTTGTTGAGGATCCCTTCGATGATCCAAATCGATGTTTGTCTGAAGAAGTTCTCACATCTTTGAGAATCCACTCTACTACAACTCTTCAAATATCTTAGATATTAAATTCAATTCTAGTTACTACTGTCTCTAACCTTAATGGTGATAATACATTCAATATTTACAAGTCTGGCTGAGAAACATCCCTACATTCTTCAAGACAAAGCTAAGAACAGTCTTACATCAGGTATGTCATACAGACCTTGGCTACCCTGTCATAGACCTCAATAGCCCTGACCCAGCTACACAAGCCTTCACAGGCAGAGGAGACTTTACGAATGGTGGCTGGATCAAAGTCTGGGTTAGGGATATAGTTGTCTCGGATCTTCTTCATCAACGGTGCTGGAATGTTGTCCTTGTCATAATCTTTGAGAGATTCCAAGAACTTCATGTCTCCAATCATCTGGATATAAATATAAGCAGAATTCTGAATTATGGCTTGTATGCCTGGAGAAATCTTAAGACAGTCACTGTCAATATTCAAGTTGTTAGGATACTGGGAAACCCACAGACAAATATATCAGGGCAAATTGGGGAAATCAAGAAAGGTCGAGTGGCATATCTTACTTGAGCTCAAATGGAATAACAAATTTATCTTCAAGCAAACTTACGTAAGGTTAAGATGGAATGCACATGTTTGTACACAAACTTTTTAGCAGTTATCCTACTACAATGTGAGTGCAGTAGGAATAGCGAGCACATCCTGGAAGAGTGTGATACGTGCAGTGCAATACGGACTGTGGTATATGGCATAATATCACACTGCAGTTGCCATGGATCAACCAATCAGGATCAAGTTTGCTTGAAGATAAAACTAAACACACAAATAAAACATGGTTGGAGGGTTGATAGTTGATACAAGTTCACAGAGGAATTAGAAGTTGACAAAATAGTTCTCAAGGTGCACCTGAGGGAGGCTAGTTTGTCAACATCCAACACCGAGGGGAGCCTACATTGACTATGCACCTGAAATACACCATGTTTTATTTGTGTTACTATACCTCATACATATTTACCAAGATTTTGTCAAGTTATGCTTTATATTTCTCGGCAAACATTGGTGTGTGTGTGCCCCCATTTTTTTCATGTAGCTGGGGAAATGTTTGTGTGTGTGCACTACCCCAATGCAATAGTTCCAAGATTGCTTCGTAAAGCACATGCGTAGTAGACTAGCGCACTGGAAACCCTTGCTAGTCTACTACACATACATGTAGGTATTTAACCTGCATGTGAAACCTTGCATGCACATTTGCTAAACAGCTAAACTAGCGGCTGAGACAGTGAGACCTCGGCTCTCAATCATGAATATGTATGAGTTATAGAAATATACAATGTCATTCATGTTCTCTCGTTCTCTGCATAGACCAATGTTAGCTTTATCATATGTATTGATAACACACACCTTTTTAGCTGCTGGCCAGTACTCCTCATAGGTTTTACCCTGATCATTGGTCTTCTTCTCTGGCTTGACATTCTGCACATATTGACGATTGAGGCATGTGAATGATCAATGGAACAGGTTAAAAACATGTATTTCTTGTGGGAAGATTGGGAGGTCCATTTGACTGGTGAACATGTAATCCTTGTGTGTTTTTTTTTTTTTAGCTAGCCCACTGTCACTAAGAAACATGGATAACAAAAGGTATCCCCAATTTTCATTCTTTATTTCTTGTTGCCATGTTAAAGGTGGAGAGTCAACATGGCTGTGTTTGGGGTTCAAGGTTTAATACATTAAGCAAGTAATCATTCCTCTGGTTGTTTCCTTTTGTATTATTGTTCTACTTGCTGGTAATGCAAATGACCATTTGTTTTTAAAGGTGCTTCCATATTTGTACAGTTTGTTAGTATTGTATTGAAACTAGAGCACTGACACAAACAATGCATTATCAGCCAGCAGATAGAGCTAAGAACCCAACATAGTGGGCAATTCCATGCAAAAGTGGGCACGGCCGCAAAGTGGGCAATTTATGAAAACTTCAGAACTAAATAAAACCTGGGGTTTTTTTTGCTAAAAATATGTATTTTAGGTAGCCACATTGACATTATATTTTCACAAGCATAATGCAAGTGTAACTGTGCGTTTCTGTCTTTAAGGCAGAGAGAAAGGTTCATATGCTGTGTCAAAATATTCTGCTGCTTATTAGTTTCTTAAAAGTGAGCAGACAAACTGTACTGGAGTTACCGTAGCACGAGTTACCAAAATAAACAGCATATGACAATGCCGTAACAAGGTAAGGGCACTGAAAAGATTCTTCAAACATATATTCGTGATATTTTAATGAGCCAATTTTGGCATGTGAGGCCCGATGGTCTCTCACATAGGAAGATGCATTTATATCGATTTAAATGTACCATTCTGTTTGGATACATGGCATTGTCAGGGGTTCTATTGTTCTGGCAAGACAACAAAAAAATGCCGCTTTCATAGGCTTGAAATGGATAAGGAACACTTGGGATTAACTGGTAAATCAGTTAAGTTATGGAACACACAATTAACAGTGGCATAGTATTTTGAAAATCTTTACGAAAGCGTGAATTGTCACAAAATAGTGGCAGTCCATATTTTGCCAACCACTGGTTGGTAAGAACTACAGCTGTGCAACATATAGGTACATTGTAGAGATAACTGACCTTCATAATACAGATAGCTTCCATGACAAGTTTGATTCCCTGTGGAGGGTTCTGCATGGTCTTGATGATAGTGATGTCTGGTTGCTTCAAGGTATCCAGAGCCTTGATGGCTGCATTCAGAGCTGGAATAGCTATCTCCAGATTCTTCTCACAGTCAGCCTGCGAGTCAACAACATCAAACAACACCCGATTTGTCATCCTGGAAGTCTTTCAATTTGGAGGGAACATACAGTCAGTTTGCATTCCATTGTTGTGGTCCCTATGGTAGCAACACAGTTGCATACTCTAGGAGCCAAGAGGATTCAAGGCATGCGTTATGATGCAAAACACCATGACTATGTCATTCCTGCAGCACCATGTTTTTTAAGTGTACATTATCAAGTTTATAGTCATACTATAATGACTGATAATGGTTAGGAATAAAGTCAGGTTTGGAACACCAGGATTATATCAAATAACCAAAGAGATTGGAGCCACACACATGACCAGAGGGTCATGATAAACCATCCTCAGAATAACAATACAGGTTACAAAATATGACAGCAGCAGTGACAGCAGCAGCTGCAACATCAGCTGCAGCCACAGAAAAGACATTAGTAGATGTACTGACCTTGATAGATTTGGCTTCTTCTGCTGCAGCATTAGCAATGGCCTCATCAGCTGCCACAACCTTTCTCTTCTCATCTACCTCTATTGTCTCTTCCTTGATGATCTCAATCAGTTCCTGGGTCTCCTTACGATTCTGGATCAGCTTAGGCTGCAGTGCTGTCAACTCCTCCTGCATGACTGAGATCTACAGGATCCAGAAGAAACAGACCTGGGTCAGCAATAGGCTTGTTGGAACAAATACAGCAGTCAGTTCCCATGCCTTTCGGTGAATCTAGAGACTGGAATGCTTACTTCTTCCTTATAACCAGAGCCAAGGCAGCGATAAGGCAGTCTGTTCAACTTGGTGTATCCTCATCAGGTGGGTCATGCAAAAGTTATGTTAATAGACTCATCGCATTTCTACATCGTATCTTAACAGTACAGAAAAATACATGAGACTTTTGATGTGTCACTTTTGAATTCATGATAACCTGCCTCAGTTCAACCTGATCCGCTACTATAGCAGAAATATTCAACATGTTTTCCCACAAGATTAGAGGATGATTTGCTGATACTGCTTAACTTACCTGTGAAGAGGCAAAGTCTAGTTTCTCTAGCCCCACCATATATCGGTTCCTGAGTGTCATGATCTCCATACGTTTCCTGTTTAAAAGATTCTTAAAGGTCTTGATCAGCTCCAAGTAGGACGTAGGTGTGACGTAATTCTGTCTCCTCAAAACAGAGAAAAATCTGGCAAGTAGAAAGGCAGAACATAAGACATGGCAACGTGGTACACCCAGCCTCCAATAATGTCTCTTGTGTATGCAGTTTGGGTTAGCTAGTAGGAACCATTATTTTGCTGATAACAACTTTCATAGATTCATAATATGTTCATAAGTCATGTTCAGACACCGTTTTAGCTAAAACGGTAAAAGTAAAAACCGTCGCTCACCACTGGAGGCCCGTCATAAAAATGAAACTGCTGAGTGTCCAGACATCATCTTAAGTACAGCAAGTTCAATTTGAAGTCATTTATCTCGGTTTCTAAGATCAAGTAGAACATCCGCCTCGGCAAAAGCGAGAGCCTTCACTCTGCCATTTTTACAGTTTGCTACACGTGGTCTGACCAGACCAGAAACAGGGGAGGGGAAGGATGCAAGCAGGGTATACTCACATGTCTGACATGGCTCTGACACTCTCATGAAAGTGTTTACACATGACCACCGTCTCAGCTCGCACCTTATCAGACATCTCAACATCATCCAGGAATTTATGAGCAACCATCTCTAGGGCATCTTCTGGCCAAGCCTGCAAGGGAACACAAAACAAAAAGATATTTGTTGGCTACACAGAACAATACACAAACTTATGACTTATCATTCAAAACCAAAATGTAAGCAATTGCTGGCAATCCATGGGTGTAATTTAATCTTCAGATTAATCTCTGTTTCTAGCTTTGGATTTGACACTAGAACATTTTACAAGCCTTTAACCTTTGTTATGCAGTGTCAAAACAGCATTGTTTTTCTCTGCAATCTTGTCTGCAGATGAAACCCTTGTACAGCATATGAGATGCGGGGTGTACTGGTATGTTGTAAGTGCAAGCACTTTTTCATCAAGCTGTGGATGTAGCCCATTTGTTGGTAAGAGAAATAAGGACAAGCAACTGACTAAAGTATGGTTGATCCAAATAAGAAGCATGTGCCTTAGCTTCACATTATTACACAAAACCCTGAAGATGAAGCTGAAAAGATGCCCTCGATCATCGTGCCCTTACTGTCCTCACACAACCAAACATATTAATCGGTCATAGAGACTTGGATAGTACAAGATTTTCATTGAAATACATAGGAGCTACAGTTTGCAACTTTGTAAAAACTAATTGTACCTTAAACCAGTCAATGGTGCAGCAGTTAATAAGGGATGGGAACATGCGGATGCGATTCCTGAAAGCATCGCCAATGGGACTGAAGGCCAGTACTACATGAAGGTTACGCCTGATCCTCTCCACAAACTTGTTATACATGTTGAGTGGTGTCATCTCAATCTTCTCATTCTCAGCAACCGCAAGCTGCTGCATCTGAAAGAGGAAGGGTAAGGGAGAACATTTTAATGGTTCAACTAAGAAAAATTAAGTGTTACAGAAAAGTCCAATTCCCTTTATGATTTGTTTCACGAAAACAGGGGAGCAGCTATAATCTTATCTCCCATGTCAGACACATACACGCGCAAGTGTGTATTTGCCAGCAATCGGGGACCCCCATTATCCCTCTTTTGTTTGTACTTCTTTCTAGTAAGACCTCCCATGTTTTGTACACATCGCCAAATTGGCGACCTTCAGGAATTGGGGGCCCTATTGTCCACTATTGTTCAACGTCCCTTATTGAATGCAGAAACAAACTCACAGACACTGCCATAGATTCGAATATGGCATTTACTAATGATTTCCCATTCTCCTCCTGCTGTATCTTTGATTTCCACATTCACTCATTTGAAATCACCTTCTTTGATTTGTAAGGTATTTCCAAGTAGGGATAGTGTGCTCAGGATTTGCAATGTGGCCTCTTGGAGGGAAATGCTTTGTAGTGCTCTGTGTGGTGAATTGATATAACTATCAACCAGTGATGTAAAACTTGAGTCCAGGACTTGGACTGGAGTCACATTTTTCGTAACTTGGACTTGACTCGAGTCACATGGGAATATGACTCAAGACTCGGACTCGGACTCGACCATGATGACTCGGACTACAGCTTGGTGACTCACGACTCAAAGCACATATTTTCATTTAAAGAAAAAACAACGTTACGCATTTGTGCGACTAACGTAGCATTCTTTTTTACTCCACAGACAAAACACGGCACCGCAGAAAATCGTATCCAGGGGCAGCCCACGGCGCATGCCTAGCGCCTACACGACAAGCACCGGGGGCCGGTGTCATGCCAAAAAGTGTTGGGAGGAGGTTTTTTTTAGGAATGGGAATTAAAAGGAAAACACATGTTGGGTCAAAACAACATGTACACACACAAGGTAAACTATATACACTGGGGTCTACTTAAAAGACAGAATGGTTGATTGAAAGATAATTGAAAGAAAATTTGAACAGTTTGGTGAACAACTAGGAGCAAGTAACTCGTGACTCGAACTCGAGGCTTGTGACTTGAGACTTGGACTCGAGGCTTGTGACTCGAGACTCGGACTCGACATTGGTGACTACAACACTGCTATCAATCTGCTATACTCTCTTGCATCCGTTCTTGATGTACACTGACACATACGTGTCCCATAACACTATAACAATAAGTAGCAGAGATGAAACTGGCATGTGGCAAAAAAATTTGAAAATCGGCCGAACAAAAATAAGTGTCCCTAATCTGGGCCGCGCTGCAGTTACATATATATATACAATTGTACATGTACATGCATGTACAATACACTTCATGCCCAATTTCTGGACACTGCCTCCTGCTTCATTTTCGATTCAAACAAAATTTTAAGATGAAAATGTGGCCTGTGTTTCTACCGTTGAAACACTCCAAGAACGACTGGTGAAAGAGATTAAAACTACGTTCGCAATGATTTTAACGTGTCGTTTCCATCAATTTTCTGTGAAACTTTGATTGAAATAAAATTAAGTTTTGTGGAAAAATCGTTACAAAATCAAATTCCGTGGGACACATTGTAAGAAAATCGGAAATTTCGTTGAAAAAGTCAAAAAGTCGGATTTCCGATTAAAATCGGAAAAGTTTTATCTCTGAAGTAGTCACCGGACCTTGTCTATTTTATGTACTTGCAGCATTTGTACAGTCTAATGCCAAATGCTGGAGGGACATGTTGTTGCTGTTACCTTCTCTATGATCTCCAGCCTGTCTTCATTCTCAAACAGGTTAGGAATGTCTCCAGTGTTAAGGATCATGTTGATGTCCTCAAGGAAAGACTCATCCTGGAAAACAAAATACAATATGATCATAATGGCACCTGTACAGGGTGAGTCAGAATGATCTGAACCCAAATTAAAGAAAATATTAAGAATATGTAACAATTACCAAAACAAGTGCAAATGAGATATTTTGTAGACTGGTATTTTGGACATATTTGGTAAAGTTTTAAGTATATCCACTGAACCATTTTAAAGAAAAGCGCCAGCAAAGCACACACACTAAAAAAAAAACCCAGTTCCGTAGTTCAACAAAAACAATTTCCATGGAACCGTGGTCAGAGTAATTTTTAGAAGACTTCTGGCCGTGTCCAGGGTCAGCTATTAATACTACTTATTTAGTTTATGCAAGTCCTTGTAGAGTACCTTGATCTGGTGATCTCCAAACAGAAAGACCATGGAAGCTCCTTCATCTCCTGCCTTTCGTAGCAATCTCCTGAGGTCATCCTTCCAGTCAGCTGTTGTGTAGTTTTTGGTTATCTCGATAGAGAAGAGATCATAGACAGCAATGAAAGCAGCTAGCCTGGCTGCACTCTGTCGTCCACTGCCTCCAATACCTACAACATGGCATGACAAAAGTCAAGAGATTTTGAGCATCTACAACAGGAGATGGCTTCCATGCTATCATTGGATCTCTCCACTCAGTGAAATATAGTCTTTCCTAAAGAAAAGAGCATGATGAACCCAAAATGGTACCTTTAGGAGACATTATAATGGACTTTTACACAAAAGCAATCTGAACTTTAATAACCTTTAACCCTAACCTAAACTAAACTTTCTTATCCTCACCAAACTTTATAAATTTGGGTTTGCATTACAAGGAATCGATTTTAAATATTGCGACTATAAAATGTTGCCTACAAGTAGGACTTCAAAACAATAGGGAGACATTGAAATCTCCAAGCAGATAATGGGGACTGATGTTGTTTACTAGCTATTCTTCAAGTGTCTGGGACACAGAGGTAATCTGTATAATGTCTGGAGGTTCAGGTAAACTATAGAAACTAGATGTGGTTGTAACTGAACAACCACAGAGCTGTTCCCAACTTGTTTTTGATTGTCTATTGGATAATAGAAAATAATGTAATGATTTTTGCAAAAATCTCTAACTTTTAAAATTGAAATTATTATCTTACATAATTGCACTTCCGGTAAAAACCGGAAGTAAAGGTCACGAGACCTTGACATATACATTTTCATTTATAACCCTTCCCTGTCTATATATTTACCAAGTTTGAGATCAATCGGTCGAATAGTTTTATAGTTAAAGGACTATAAAGATTGCCTCATTAAATATTCATGACGTCATAACATGAAAACATTAAGCTGCCCATTAATAATAATGCTACATATTTATCCTTTAATGTTGCTTAATACTAATATAAGGTGTCAACCCAATTAAATTTCTAATTCATTAGATATGATAATTAGGGTCTTAATTTAACACTTCCGGTAACACCGGAAGTAGAGGTCACATGACCCGGATATACCAATATTTATCTGTAACACTTCCCAGTCTGTATACCTGCCAGGTTTGAGATCAATCGGTCAAATGGTTCTATAGTTATAGGACTGTAAAGATTGCCTCATTAAATATTCATGACGTCATAACATGACAATAATTAAGTGCAGAGAATAAATAATAATGCAATATAATTATCTGTCAATATAGCTTTGTATCAATGTGAAGTTTCAACCCAATCAGATTAATAATTCATGAGATATGATATAGGGGTCTAAAATAACCACTTCCGGTAAAACCGGAAGTGAAGGTCACGTGACCTTGACATATCAATTTTCATTTATAACACTTCCCTGTCTGTATAACTACCAAATTTGAGATCAATTGGTCAAATAGTTCTATAGTTATAAGGCTGTAAAAATTGAATCTATAAATAGATGTCACGTGACCCCTGATGACGTCACGATGACGAAAAGTTTCGGCATACATCTTCAGATGATGGTTAATGACTATGCTGAGTTTAAAGTTGATCAGATTTAAAATAGTTCCCAAAGTGGCTTGTAGAATAAAAACGTGTGATATATATTTGAAAATGCATGTGTCCAACTTCCCCTAAAGCAGAACAAAAATCACTGAGACAAGTCTACTGATAGGCGAATGGGGGCGCCATTCACTTTATACGGTGTGCCGTTATATTTTTTTGGTGACGCGCAGCTGTCCTTATTTTGATCCCATAAAACTTAAGGCTCTGTGCCTTAAGTACAACCGTTAAAGTTATGTACTGCCCTCTTTTGGCGAGAATGAAGGGACGTAATGTACATTGAACGACGTTTCAAAGCCACGTGTACGTGCTATACACATTGTGGAAGTCCTGCGCATGTTTTAAAGCTCTCTACCGCAACTTGGGCAAGGGTATTTTTTGCCGACGTCGCGTCAACTGTGTGAACAATTTGACAAGCTGGGAACTTGGCACTGTTGAGGCAAATGTTTATGCTATCATTTAATGGGCGATTCAAGATTATATCTGTACGGATTGATTTTTCAGGAATTTTCTAAGGAAAAAAGGTCTTTTCATTATAACTTCCGGTCTGATGACGTCATACGCCTAAAACTTTGCAGACGTCTTAAGTGGGTCAAGGTCATCATATACACCAATATTTAGGGGATTCCGACAAACTTCGCCACAGACATCTATTCAAAATACATTTTTGAAAATTTTCAACCTGTCGCTAGAGGGCGCTCGAAGATTGCATGACGTCATCGGTAGATGATTTGAAGAATACTATCAGTCAAGAGACTAACACCGTTAAAAGCAAGTTCATATCTATTACCACTTTTAAATAATAAGCCACTTCCGGTTTTGGCCTTTTTCGACCGGAAGCAAAGGTCACGTGATTTCACGCACACTGAATAAAATAAAGACCTTAACCTATTCTACCACTTGCCGGCAACAGAATGCTGCGGACGCGTACGGTTGATTTCTTATGCATTTTTAAATATTAAAATTGTCACAATTTAATTGCCTATAAATAAACAACGGATGACGTCATCATGACGTCATCATTACACAATGTTGTTTGAATTAGGGTCTTTGCTTGGACAAAGATTGGTGTAAATGAATAACTGGCAAAGAGTCGAAAATGCCCTCTGAAAATTGACATTTTTTTTTAAATTTCTGTGTACAAAGTCTATGGGAAAAATTAAATATTCAAAATTCTATAATAAATCACGTGATGACGTCAGCATGACGAAAAGTTTCGGCATACATCCTCAGATGATTGTTAATAACTATGCTGAGTTTAAAGTTGATCGGATTTGAAATAATTGCCAAAGTGGCTTGTAGAATAAAAACGTGTACAAAACCTATGGGAAAAGTGGAAAAAGAAAAAAAAAGAAAAAAAAACCAAAAAACTAGAGGTTGTGGTTGTGAACAACCACAGAGCTGTTCCCAGTTTTGATTCTCTATTGGACCATAAACAAAATGATTTAATGATTAACAAAAAAATGAAAGTAATAAATTAAAATTATTACTTTTAAAGATTCCACTTCCGGTACAACCTTTTAAATATTCATGACGTCATAGCATAACAATAATTATGTGCACAGTAATAATAATTCAATTTAATTATCTGTCAATATAGCTTTGTATTAATGTGAAATTTCAACCTGATCAGATTAATAATTCATGAAATATGATATAAGGGTCTAAAATTACCACTTCCAGTAAAACCGGAGGTGAAGGTCACATGACCTTGACATGTCAATTTTTATCTATAACACTTCCCTGTCTGTATACCTGCCAGGTTTGAGATCAATCGGTCAAATAGTTCTATAGTTATAGGACTGTAAAGATTGTCTCATTAAATATTCATGATGTCATAACATGACAATAATTATGTGCACATTAATAATAATGCAAGAAAATTATCTGTCAATATAGCTTTGTATTAATGTGAAGTTTCAACCTAATCAGATTAATAATTCATGAAATATGATTTAGGGGTCTAAAATTACCACTTCCGGTAAAACCAGAAGTGAAGGTCACATGACCTTGACATATCAATTTTCATCTATAACACATCCCTGTCTGTATACCTACTACATTTGAGATCAATCGGTCAAATAGTTCCATAGTTATAAGACTGTAAAGAGTGTCTCATTAAATATTCATGACGTCATAACATGACAATTTATGTGCACAGTAATAATAATGCAAATAATTATCTGTCAATATAGCTTTGTATTAATGTGAAGTTTCAACCTGATCAGATTAATAATTCATGAAATATGATATAGGGGCCTAAAATGACCACTTCCGGTATAACCGGAAGTGAAGGTCACGTGACCTTGACATATCAATTGTCATCTATAACACTTCCTTGTCTGTATAACCTACCAAATTTGAGATCAATCGGTCAAATAGTTCTATAGTTATAAGGCTGTAAAAATTGAATCTATAAATAGATGTCACGTGACCCCTGATGACGTCACGATGACAACAAGTTTCGGCATACATCTTCAGATGATGGTTAATGACTATGCTGAGTTTAAAGTTGATCGGATTTAAAATAGTTCCCAAAGTGTCTTGTAGAATAAAAACGTGTGATATTTTTATTGAAATTGCATAAGTGTCCAACTTCCCCTAAAGCAGAACAAAAATCACTGAGACAAGTCTACTGATTGGCGAATGGGGGCGCCATTCACTTTATACGGTGTGCCGTTATATTTTTTTGGTGACGCGCAGCTGTCCTTATTTTGATCCCGTAAAAGTGTTCAGGCACAGCCTAGCCTGCGCGCCCGTACAACCGTTAAAGTTATGTACTGCCCTCTTTTGGCGAGAATGAAGGGACGTAATGTACATTGAACGACGTTTCAAAGCCACGTGTACGTGCTATACAATTGTGCATGGTTTAAAGCTCTCTACCACAACTTGGGCAAGGGTATTTTTTGCCGACGTCGCGTCAACTGTGTGAACAATTTGACAAGCTGGGAACTTGGCACTGTTGAGGCAAATGTTTACGCTATCATTTAATGGGCAATTCAAGATTATATCTGTACGGATTGATTTTTCAGGAATTTTCTAAGGAAAAAAGGTCTTTTCATTATAACTTCCGGTCTGATGACGTCATACACCTTAAACTTCGCACACGTCTTAAGTGGGTCAAGGTCATCATGTACACCAATATTTAGGTGATTCTGACAAACTTCGCCACAGACATCTATTCAAAATACATTTTTGAAAATTTTCAACCTGTCGCTAGAGGGCGCTCGAAGATTGCATGACGTCATCGGTAAATGATTTGAAGAATACTATCAGCCAAGAGACTAACACCGTTGAAAGCAAGTTCATATCTATTACCACTTTTAAATAATAAGCCACTTCCGGTTTTGGCCTTTTTCGACCGGAAGCAAGGGTCACGTGATTTCACGCACACTGAATGAAATAAAGACCTCAACCTACTCTACCACTTGCCGGCAACAGAATGCTGCGGACGCGTACGGTTGATTTCTTATACATTTTTAAATATTAAAAGTGTCACAATTTAATTGCCTATAAATAAACACCGGATGACGTCATCATGACGTCATCATTACACAATGTTGTTTGAATAAGGGTCTTTGCTTGGACAAAGATTGGTGTAAATGAATTACTGGCAAAGAGTTCAAAATGCCCTCTGAAAATCGGCATTTTTTTTTAAATTTCTGTGTACAAAGTCTATGGGAAAAATTAAATATTCAAAATTCAATAATAAATCACGTGATGACGTCAGCATGACAAAAAGTTACGGCATACATCCTCAGATGATGGTTAAGAACTATGCTGAGTTTAAAGTTGATCAGATTTAAAATAATTGCCAAAGTGGCTTGTAGAATAAATACGTGTACAAAACCTATGGGGAAAAGTGGAAAAAGAAAAAAAAAGAAAAAAAAAAAAAAGGAAAAAAAAAAACTTTAACGAAAACAATAGCTGTTCCCAATTGAAATTGGGAACAGCTAAAAAGGAAAAAAAAAAACTTTAACGAAAACAAGAGCTGTTCCCAATTGAAATTGGGAACAGCTAATAATTTGTTTTTATCTTACATGGCATGGATTTTTGGCCTTGCCTATTTTGTATTCCCAGCAGTGACTAAAGCCATCAAATTTGGAGCCATGCACACACAAGACACCCATCACATGTGTGATATCAGGTCCCAGTCTAATATCAGACTTACACATCATGCATGGCTATGCAAGGGCAGACGGTTTGGAAGCACATGTGTGACTCAAATGAACTCTAGCGCTCCAAAGACTTCTTGAGAATTACACAGGCAAAGTTTTCAAGGTATGGTTGTATGTGTATGTTTATAGTCTACATTAGGCCGGAAAAAATATTTCTACTTTCGATTACATGCCTTTCCAAAATAGGGTCGGTCGGAAAAAAAACTTTTTTGCCAATTTTTTTTTATGCAGATTGAATGGGGCATTCAATTATATGCGAAGTTTTAGCCTGAACTATTTCCATTGCACTAAGAAAGCTATACACAAAATGGCCACAAAAAGTAAATAAAACCTACCTTAATTATTGTCAATATATTTACGTTCGATAATTCTTAAAAAATAATGGAAAATTCAGGCCGTTCGCATCATATGCACAATGCTAGTCAAGACGGGAAGCTTTTTGACGCAAATGGGTTGTTGAGAGGTATTTTGTGAAGACAGAAAAGACAACAAGCTTTTATTTTTATTTATTCAATCTTATTTTCTTTTCTTTTTTGGAATTGCCGATAAAATTCTTAGGGTCGCAGCCTAAAAATAGGGTTTGGTCGGTTAACCGGAAGCAGAAGTATTATTTTGTTTGGCCTTATTAATGATCTTTCTTATAAGCTTAAAGGGATGACAGTGTCCCTTTAAGCTTGCTTCCTCATCTACAACTTTACAATTCAAGACTTGAAAGAGACTCAATAATAAAGTTGGCATCATCTTAAAGCATACTTTTGATGCATGTTCACAGTTTTACTCAAAGTGTGAAGCTCTACAAGGAAACTAATAGCCTTTGACTTGGATCTACATTAAGCAAAGAATTTAAAGCTAAACGTGACCTCTACAAATATCCACTGCTGTGGCAACAATTGACCTATCGCGGTAGAATCGCGTTAGAATCATGTCAACACATATTGTGAAATATTAAGGGAATAACAGTGTGAGGAGCCGGTCTTCACTGCGTGATAATGACCGGGTGTGGGGGTGACCGCTGTTAATGGACCTCGACTTCGTCTCGGTCCATTAACAGCGGTCACCCCCACACCCGGTCATTATCACGCAGTGAAGACCGGCTCCTCACACTGTTATTCCCATTAATAAATACCTTTATAACGAAATAAACAGTCAAAATGCTCCAATTTTGTGACTTTTTTCCGGCGATATTTCCAGACTTTTTTGTGTTCATGTTCATGGGCCATATTTTAGCTAAACAGCTATAACGACGTAAACTCAACAGAAACTGCTGCCGTAGCGAATTACAACAATGTTTTTATATCTTTACCTGATGGAGGAAGCTAAAATCTCGTTTACACATTCCTTGTGTCCGGAATTACAAAGATGCTTGGTTTAGGAAAGGTAAATATGTCGGTGGGTGAAGTGTTTCAAAGAAAATAAATCGTAGATCTACGCTTTCGTCGTAAACATCCTCAGTATATACTGCACTGCTGTACGATGTCGTTTCAAAACTTCCTTACGCGCGCGCACGCACGCATCCCTAGCAACTGTGTTGCGTACGCGCGCGTCAGTCTCACGCGATGGGGGTTGAGCGCATGTGCAGTGCTCAATTGTTAAAAGCTATCGCAGGACTGTTACTATATTATGACCAATCATTGGCTTGCATGGGGCTGAACGGGGCTTGATCAATGCTGGTTCAGGGGCCATTTATTCGCTTGATCTTTGAAGCCGGTCCATTATCACCGTTAATGACCGGCCACGTGATCGAGTCTCGACCAATCAGAAACCATCAACTCCCCAAGGTATTTATTAATGTCCAATAACATGATACAAATGGACACGAAACGCGCAAAATCTGAGACAAACAAAACTTGGTGTACAAAAACTCCATAGGGTTGTCTAACGGGGTTGGCTAACTCGCAAACGGCGATAGGTCAATTTAAGGGCAGTTCAGAATTCAGTGGGCAAATTCATGAGAAAGTGGACATGGTTGAAAACATTACAAACTCATGTGGCAGTTTCATCAGTGTGAAGTGTCATTTTTTTATTTTTTGGTCAAAAACCTAATTTTTATGCTAAAATTATGGCTTTAGGTTATAAATACCGTAAGAAAGAGTTCAAACTTGTTGGAGGGGTCATAATTTTGAATCTGATCATCCTATGATAAAGTCATTTATATAGACAATTGCACAGTGGTTTAAGACCCAGACATTTCCACACAAAAAAATTCTGAATATTATGCTAAAAAATAGTTTAGTTGTATCTAATGAGTAAATCTGTAGCGGATAAAAATATTTTTCCAACTTATTTGCTGCATATTTCACTTAAGTACACAGCTACACAAAACTAGAAGATGGTTAGAATTATTACAGTAGGTACTTTGGGAAACAAAAAAAAGTGTTTTTCTATGCCGAAATTATATTTTCAGATTAAAAGCTGTGCATCATCTTGTAGCTTGTTTCGTACCCTTTCCACTCATATAAAATTTGTTATGAAAAATGTTTCATAAAGTGCAGAAATTCAGGGATTTACTTACGCTAAATTATGTAGAAATATTCCCCCCAAAACAAGACGTGTTCGCTGATACATTTTTACAATCGGCCGAAAACGGCCAGAGTAAAATTGTCTAATTTCTTCAGAAATTGGTCGACTGATTACACGGCTTCAATTAAAATCGACCGGAAAAGTCGCGCAATGCATCGTTGTGCCGAAAAAAAAATCATTTTTGTAAGCAGTCACTAGCTGGGAGTACGTAAAACACTGTCATGGCCGACGAAGTGAACAGCGCCCTCTTTTGTTGAGATTTTTTTAGCGTACCGCATGTCGCTGCATTGCCGGGCTCAGTGTCGTCGCTTGTGGACTTCTGACATTTGTTTACGGAGGTTAGTGGTTATCTCAGGGCTTGAAAGTCAGCTCGGCTGGGATTTATAGTTGAAGAAATTTAGCTGTTCATGGTTTTCTTTGTCATGGGAAATGTAGATAGAATCAGAGATGAAGAGACTTTATCATAATTTTTTTTACAACTTTTTGGTGTAGGCCCACACTAGGCGCGGTCAGCGAAACGACATCATTTCCTGCAGTCTGTGCTTGTTTTTAGGCCTGGCAAGGCCGAATATGATAAGAGTGTTTTGCAAACCGCTTGGCGCTAGGCCAAGCAGGGTATCGTATTAGAACTCAGCTCTTTGCTTGTGGAATATAAAATGTTTGAACAAGTTTGTGTAGTTTTATTTTTAGGGGTTACTGACTTTTTTCACAAAATATCCTGAGAAGTAAATAATACTAAAAAAAAATACATCAGCCTCTCAAATTGTGTTTGTCATTGCAGAGAGAATCATGGCAGAAACTTTGTCCTTTTCAAACCGGGAAATACTTGAAAAGTACTTGAAGGGAAAATGGGTTGGGCGGAAGAGGCCAAGTTACGTTGGGATTGCAAGGGAAATAATCCAAGACTATGACCTTGCGGGAACCGAACACACTGAAGACAAAATCACACGACGAATTCGGAAGCTTCGCCAAGAATGGAAAAACAAATTGAAAGGGACTGGACGTTCACAGGGGAAAGAGCAACTCGAAGAAATGTTGGATGAGCCTTTCTTGAAAGTCACCCCAAAAGACAAGGCAAAACTGATGGTGGACACATCGTCACTGACTGTGGTAGAGGCTCTCAATCTTTCATCTGTGTCATCGTTGGGGTCACCAGACAACCGTAGAGACCAAGAAACTCAGTGTGATTGTCCAAACTTGGCTCCCCTTGACGAAGTAGGTCCACGGCAGCAGTTTCGAAGGACAAACTCCTTATTACACGATTTGCGTGAGGAAGCTGAAGAAAATGGAATATCTGCAACTGAGCTTATGGGATATTTGCTGCATAAAGAAAACTATATCAGCAACAGGAAAACAGCGGATGTTGGGTTGAAGCTTTTCAACAAGTCGTTGGTTGATAAGGAGATGTCTGTTGACAAAGGACTTTACATTTTGTCTTCATACAATATCGGAAGGACGGGGTACACTAATCTCAGACGTGATTTAAATGAACACGTGACACTCCCAGCCCACTACAAGTTGATGGAAAAGAAGAATTCTATCACTCCTGAACTGAAGCCTTATAGCATTGATGACAACGAAGGTATCACAGCTTCTCTTAAAGAATCATGCAGCATACATGTGAAAAGACTAATAGAAGCTCATCCAGAAATTCAACCAGGACAGTATAGAGTTCTCTGCAAAGACGGACTTGATGGATCGGGGCGCCATTCCATTTACCACCAGAAAGGACCGGCTCAGACATATAGCATGATATTATATATGTGGATACTGCTGGAAGTCATCAAAGAAGCTGGTTCATCTGGAGAAAGTTCATCTGGAGAGGGGTCATCCCAAGCATCAGGTACATTCATTATATCTATTGAACTAAATGTAGGCCTATGTTTGTTTATTTCAAGTACACATTTTAAAGTTAACCGAGTAGAGTTGTTTAAATTTGTTTCACTTTTCTGTAACGTACATTTATAAAGAATACACTAATTGATTTGAAATTCATAATTTTTTCAACACCTGCAGGATTGACCGTGTGGAAGGAAAGCGCAGCGAATAGTCCAGAGGCTGCTGTTCCCCTATTCCTCGTGAAGGGCAAAGAAGATAGAGAGCTCCTAAAATCAATCATACCTCCGATTGAAGCAGAAAAAACAGCTCTGTCAACTACTGGAATTGAGATCAACATCTCTGGTGCATCATATCACTTCAGATTTGAATTTAATTTGACAATGGTAGATGGAAAAATGGTGAAGCTCCTGACAGGAAGGGGAGGAGCCTACTGTATCCTGTGCCCTGCGTCCAGAGATGAATGTCATAATCTTGATCGTATTGATGAGGGCTTCCCAATTGGGGAAGTTAGTAATGAGGATCTGCGAAAACTTTACCAGGATCTCCAAGACGAGGGGGAAATTAAGCCAAAACCTGGTGATTATGCTGAATGACGGGGACTTACCCAGAAACCCATAACAACATGTGACATTAAGGTCTTTCCTATCCTCCATGCTACTCTGCGTACAATGGATTGGACTCTGAAGGTCATCTACCACTTAAGTGCTGGTGTAAGGACCTGGAAGGAAAACCTGCAAAATAAAGCTAAAATCAAAAGGGCTAAAGACAACGTGAGGGCCTCCGTATACGAACGAACTGGAATACGAGTGGACGAGCCCGACCCCGTAGGCAAAGGCGGAACCCCGACGACAGGTCCAATGAGCAAGCGTTTGCTCCATGATATTCCCATACGCCAAGCTCTGATCAACTGCGTCCCGGACAGGGGTAAAGACAGGACACAATTTGGCCAGATCGTCAAAAACATGTCAGTTATTCTGCGTCTAGTCTCGTGCTCAGACTTTGTAAATTCAGATAAGCTTGATGCACTTTGCAAGGATACAAGCCGAGTGTTTCTCGAACAGTTCCCTAGCTTCAAATTTACCCCCTCCGTTCACCAGGTTCTAGCCCATAGTTCAGAGCTAATTGCAGGCAACAAGAGCCGCGGCTTGGGAACACTGTCTGAAGAGGCCCTGGAGAACAACAACAAAAATATCCGCAGGTATCGAGAACACCTGTCTCGCAAAACCACACAAGAGGACAATTTGACTGATGTTTTTCATCGTCTCTGGCTGAAATCAGACCCAGTCGTGCGCTCGTTTCGTCACATCAAGAAATGTACATGCTGTGACGGCAATCATCACGTGCGATCTTGTCCCAAGAAAACAGCAGATTTTGGAGTACACGTTGAGGACGAGCTGTTCAGTTCCTTTCTTGTCTAGATTAAACCATTTCCGAACAGGTAAGTTTAACGCTTCACAGAGAAACGATCAAGAGGATGCCACTGTCGATGTTCATCCACTGTGTTTCAATCAATACATGGTTTTTGCGTTTTATTTTTTATACCAAAAAGAAACAAGGTGTTCACAATTTTAAAAATCTGAGACTAGACAAAAACATCACTTTATTAAAATCATACCTCTCAGATTTAGCATTTGTTTTCTTTTTGTCACTTCCTTTTCCACTCATTCCCTGTACTATTATATTGAAATTAAAAGTATTAAAATAAAACTGCCTTTGTATAATGCACGAACATTTCTATTTTATTATCGCGGCGGTGCGGTACGGCGCGGCGCGGCCATGGTGCTCTGTCTTTGCAAAAATTAAATAATTGTCAACAGAGGGCGCTATCGTTGAAGCGTGCTCCCTCGAAGCGATCCTAGCAAAGACGTCTTTCTGCGGCCGAATTGAGAACCCATGACGCTCAGGAAGACTCTAAATAAGTTCTAAATACTTGCTAAATTGTTATATTGATTGTACATGAACATAACTACACTGTTTTTGCTGATGTCTGGGTCAGGTAGGGTTTTAAACCACTGTGAATTGGGGAATTTTATTAGCTACATTTTGAAACCGTGTTTGCTACCAAAGACTGTAAATAGTCCAAGATTGACAATGGTTTATGAAAAATGATACAGTTGGAAAACCGTAACCAAACACACACATGACCATATTTGGCCCCTATTGATTACACAGTGCTCAAACAAAGCATGGATCATTTGAATAACCAACATGCTCCCATGCATACAAGCACTTTCCAGTCCGTATTCCCTAGCATTCGTTTCGGGCAGTGTAGCATTGTCACATGTAATCTATCTGTTAAATGTATTCATAATCTATTATTAAATGTGCAACTTTTTCAACTCCATCCATTTTCATAAACCATTGTCAATCTTGGATGATTTACAGTCTTTGGTAGCAAACAGGGTATCAAAATATCTATTTGGTCCGGTGGTTATTGCGTTTGACTCTTGTACAATGGTGCGGGGGTTCGAACCCTGCCAGGTACCAATCATCCTCCTGGGTGGAGAGCGGCAATTGTAGTTAAGTTTCTTTCTCAATGGCAAATACACACCATGTTCCTGGCAGAGTTCATAGTGTATATTTGCCATTGGGCAAGAAACTTAACTAGAACTTCCTCTCTCCACCCTGATCCATGCCATTGGCTAACTTACCCACTAGCAGTGCATGGCCATTAGGCTGTTTCAAGACTCGACTGATTCTTGATATATGCTCAATAGCAAACTGGAACATGACCAGATCCATGGGTGCTTTGCTCATCATGTTGTATTCTTCAAGATTCTTCTCAATTGACTAAATAAAAGACATTCAGACAGTCATTGAAAATGTTCATTCAAGTCAAAAAGTGATAACCTTTACTTGTGCAAAGGGCCAAAAATACACATCAAACACATTGGAATAAGGAGGGCATTTGCTACAAATAAATCCTGTCAAAAGACTCCCTGACAAACGTTGGTTGATGGTTGACTGCATGATTCTCAAGATACAAGCAAAACTAGTCACAACAATCCCACAATCATGGATGTACTGCATAATTGGCCACCTACAGATTTGGAGACAATACCACATCTAAATCATAATTTATTTAATGTCCCTTTTAAAGTATTATTTCCCACTATTTACAACATATTTTGCAAACTCTATAAAAATATAACATTTTCCATTCAGACAACAAACTTCATGTTCATTTTCCCAATATTTCAAGTGTATCAATGTCTCACAGATGCTAAATCAAACTTGCTTCATTGTAAATTGTGGGGTCTGTACAAAAAAAGTCTAAAATTGTAGGTGCATCTTATGGCCAGTTGTACATACTTTGGACAGGGCCTAAACATATGACTTGCCCGAACAGATTCACATTTGCCAAAAACTTGGCTCTAGCAAGACGACCACTGTAATAATTACCTCTCTGAGTGCATCCATGTCAGTTATCTCATCGTAAAGTTTTTCATCCTCGCTTGCTGACAGATAATCCCCAAAGAACAGGCTGAAATTTGGAAGTGAATAAATAACAGAATATTATACATCTAAACACATCATTTGACAACTTTTTGTTGAGGGGGGGGGGGGTTGTTGCAAGATACCAAGTAATGTAGGACAATAAGTCCTAGCGAATGGCTCGTGTACTCTAGGGAATAATGCATACGGAGCAATGCTCTACAGGTAAGATAAGCGCAGTACAATCAAATATCTTCAAAGAATTCAATTTAAACTTAGAGAAATCTGCATATTGTGCACTTATTTCACAACAATTAAACACTGATAAAGGATTGAAAACATGCAGAGATTATTACATGCCTTTTGCAAAATGAAAACTCCAAAAGCATCCATTTGTAATTGGAATATTAATTTGTTTTCTCATTCAAAACAGCAGTTTAATATGTTGACAAAGACTTTTATTTCTGTCAAGTTTATACTGTGTCAGATTAGTTCACATGGAGTATGGAGATAATGAGTATTTCTTAAAAACCTGTTTGGAAAAAAAACACTGTTTTCAACGACAGTAAGAGTTGGTCTCAGTCTATGCAAATGTATAGATGGAGTCATTAGAAGATAAAAAAGAAATCGGAAGTAAACAAAATCTGACAGTGAAAGATACAAAACTGTGTCATAATTGGAGAACAATGACTGGTAGAAAATAAAAGACTTGTGACTGACAATCAAAGAAAACAACATAAGGGTTGGATGGAAATGTGCAAACAGGAAAAGTGCTGGTTAGTTAGTTGGTGATAAAGTTCATCATAAGTAAAATATATTGATTAGTTACAAAGGATGGAACATCCAAAGAATGTTGGCTTTACTTGAAAGTGATAAAACTCTTTTACTGCCAGAGTGTAAAATTGCTGAAAAGTTAGACCCTGCACCACAATTTTACCCCCAAATATGTCAAACTATCTTTCAAGATCAGTGTTGCAGGTCTCGAGACTTGATCTCGGTCCTGACACCATCTTGAAACCTTTTTAGCAGATCTTTCTCAGTCTCAGTCTACCCTAATCAAAGTCTTGGTTTCAGGAGGGCTGGTCTCAATCTCGAACGGGCTGGACTTGTTCTCAGTCTTGGTTGTCAAGGTCTCAGATTCTACCCTTGAGACCACAATAAATAATGTTATTTTCATGCAGAGAAAATATGTTGACGGCCGACTCAGCTGACAAATAAACACTGTGTACCATGTTGACCATTTAACTCTTTAAAGTAGGACACAACACAGAACAAGGGAAATCAGCTACAACACTATACATTTGTATGTACATGTATGCACAGTCTAAGTCTCAGATCCTTGGTCTCTGTCTCGACAAGGCTGGTCTTAACTACAAAAATTAATAGTCAATTTGTTCTAGAGTTTGATGATCACATAACAGTACATACGATAAGAAGTTGACTCCACACCGTCAGTAAAATATATATGTTTTAACTCACACTGTATGAAGCAAATACTGACAAGGTGCCTTCAGTCCTTCTGATTTGAAAATCACAGGCGTGCAATTATTCACATTTCTCGGTAAGCTTGTAAGTGTGCGATGGTGTGGGGTGTGATCGCACGCCTCAAATCAGAAGGACTGTGCCTTAAACTACAACCCAGGCTGGACTTGAACCCACAACCTGCACTATTACCTACATATCTTGAGTTCATGCACTCTACCAGGTCCATGATTGAACTCAATAAGGTGCTGTATAATAGCTTTTCATAGCCTTGGTTCCAGACATGGCAAAGGGAGTATGGGGGCCAGTCTACAAACCCTCTCTAGTTTCATGTGTTTTTATCACCTGATTAAGACATTGAGATTCACTGCATACAAAAGAACTAGAAGTGTTCTACATTCTCAAATTGACATGCTTCACATTTCATTGCCGAGGGGGTTATTGTGCACATAGCCAATACTTCCCCTGATATTACAAACAAACACAAAGGTTTTAGTAGGTGCAGTTTGAAGACTGTGCCGTGATGAGTGCAACTGCAATCCAAAAGCAAGACAGAGAGTGTTAGTGCCAAGCATTAGCAAGCTACCTTCTCATATCCTCCGATCGCACTTCTTTAGAGTCACTATGTCACGGACAACAAACATTTGAAGAAAAGAAAATGCAGAAGCAGTGCTGGATGAGAATTAAATGGCATTTTAGACAAACAAAATTAGCATTTTTTTTATGACAAATGAAATCTACAAAAGATTACAAATAAATATTACTAAATTGCAATATGTGGTTCGTACCTCATTCAATGTAACATGTTATGCGTATGCAGCTAACATGCATATTTGTGGCAGCACACACTTGTTCATACATTGTACAGGAATCGCATACATTATGCCTATATAGGCATACTGCCTTGATGAAGTCCTGCTATTACAAACCTACATGTACATGTATTACCATGGCATTTGATAAAATAGCTAAACCTGTCATTTCATCATTAATAAAACACTCATTATTAACACACTTATTTCTGTATTTCTACTCCCCGATGGACATTCCTATGACAAACGTCACATAATTTCATCTCGCTTAAATGAACATGAAGTCAGCAAGGCAAATAATTGCCAAAGAGCAAAACAAAATTGACATAAAGGTGATTGATGAATACAATTGTACAATGACATTCATACGATAAGTGTATGACACAGGAAGTACTATTATCCATGTGGCTCATATGGAATACCCAAGAAATACCAGACAACAAAGTTCAGTTTGCAAATCATTATCAAAGTCAAATAAAAGGTTTATCACTGGCAAAAAGTTTATGTCAGTTGTCAGTCATACCTTCTGATGTTTGCATCTGTAACATTTTTTCCAGACAGAAGATGGCTAAAGACAGAATTCATCTTTTCTTTGAATTGGCTTTGAACGACATTCTGCAATACATGAACAAGGGAGAAATGAACATTAAACACAACAATCCACTCTGGTCAAACATTACTTAAGTTTATGCAATATTTCCAAAAATCAATTAAAACTTGGAACTGTGGTTGAAGTGTAATTATCAAATAAATATTATTGAAAACTTAAAAAAAAAAACTAAAAAAGCTGTACCTTGACTATCTTAAAAAAGATTTGTCTGTCTTCATCGTCTACTAGTCTATCATAGAAGACTCTGTAGACCTCATGGACCCAGAGGCGAATTAACTTATTGCCTGCCTCCTTGCTGTCTGACAGAGACTTGGGGTGGATCAGGAGTATACCCTGGACCACACGAGCAAAGTCACGCAGGTTGAACACGTAGTGGGACTTGGAAGGGGTGGGCAGAAAGTTGGACATGGACTGGGTATACACATCAGTGGTAGCACACACCATAATCTGTAAATGTACATGTTCAAGTTGTATTGAAATAAGTTTTTATAAACAAATAAATAACAATCAACAGTTGTTATAAACAACAATCAATGCTCACAACATGTATGAAAAGCCTCAAACTCATTATGGACACAAATGAATTATGAGTGAACAGTCAATTACACTTCCTGACACCAGAAGTTCCATGTATGGGAAACAATGAGTACATGAATTGATTTCATATACATGCATGTTGCAAGTAATTTCATTCAGAATGTGTACACAACCTGTATCGTCTCACATTGAAGAGTCCTGCCTTTAATCATAATTGTTGAGTGGGTACTTGTACACATAGTCCATCGGACAGTTAAAGCACTATAAAGGCAATGAGATATCTCCAATGTGGATCTGAATAGGCTACATAGCAATTGGATTGACTACATGTCTCTAGTGCCTACCCGAGAGAATCGTTTCAGGCTTGTCTCAAATCCCTGGTCAAAATGCCAGTCCATGATAGGACTAAAGATGTTATTCATGGTCTTCTCATCAAAGGAATCCAAGGTGATAATGTTGAAATGACGTAGGAATCGTGGAGTGATGGTGTTCCGTCCTCCACCTGGTGGGCCCATAGCTGACACCATCAACAGGTCTACTAGATGCAACATACTGGTGTCTTTCCTGATACAAGACAAATGTATCAAGACAACATTCTAAGACTTTCCATTGAAATATATTGGGGCAAGGTTAAGGTCCAATATGGCAACAGATTATGTTTGAAAACAAACCAATGGTTAGTAAAACTCTTCCGTCACATCCAAATTCGTATTATTCATTCTAATTCTTAAAATATCCCTTGAAAATATCATTTTGTCATGCTGGGTGACATTCCTGTAATTGCTTGCTTGTATCTAAACATCACATAAAAACTTGCACGTATTAATAGCGACATTACTTATAACTAGTGGCAACTACAGAGGAACACCGCTATGACGTCTTCCACTATGCCTAACATTTGGCTGTACCAAGTATACATGTAGGCTTCCTAATTCTATGTGCAAATATATCAGTTAATGAAACTTTAATAGTGAATACCAAAGACCATCATGGGCTTTAATGAGTAGTATGCTGGCATTATTTTGCCAGTGAATAGAAGAAAAAATAACATATAGGCCTGTATGGATGCCATGATCTGTTGTGGATCCTATTGTGTTCGTTATAGTTACTTCAAACCTCACCTATCAAACCAGTAACCATGATCGATCCACTGTCTAAGTAGCTCTATTGGGGGTTGGGCACCATACTTCTCCTTGGCTGGCATATTCAGATCATCAACAAACACGATCAGCTTCTTACCAATAGTCGGGCCATATACTCCCTTCCGTCTCCTGGACAGGATCGACACAATACATATTGAGGCTAGCAGTAAATTCTGTAACATCTTACATTTAGAATTGTCAAAAAAATGACATTATTTACAGCAACACAACTTGTACACAAATATTGAGTGGCTCATCAGAGTGAAATGGGAGGAAGAGTGAAAAGGCGAAGCCGAGTGAGCTGGAAAAGTCCAAATTTTACAAAGTGATTGTATTCCCCCCATTTAACTCTGATGAGCCACTCAATATTTGTTTTATATAGCTGATATATAGATCCATGTCATTTGATTTACAGTTCAAATGAACTTCTATTTCAATGCAAAATTTGTGGGAAATGTATTTCTCCCTTCCAAACCACCCCTTCACAAAATGTTTGAACCCACCTCTGTAGCTACTTACTCTTGGGAACAATATGCGCTACTCAACACGCACACCAGCATGCATTTGCACACAAATACTGCGCCATGGAACAAGGACGATCCTAACTGTTGAATAGTAAATCCCATTCACCATGGGCGAATTGGAGCTTTTGAGCCCTGGCATGAATGGGAGCAATAATGATTGTCCCGTGATGTGAGTTCCACCAATCAAATGACAAGGATCAGTGAATGCCAGTTATATAAATATAAATAGTCTGGAGAGGAGTTGCATGGATGAATGCATGAATATGCACACTTGTTTGACCGTACTTTCCTCACCTGTCTAATTTTGCCATAATGATATCTTGCGCCTGATTGGCTGAAGTCTGTGCAGAGAAGTTGATGTTGTTTGGGATGTAGTGACCCTTGGCCAATTCCAGCAAGAATGCATTGGTGATGGCTGACTTGCCAGTGCCTGTTGGTCCCACAAACAACAGAGGGCGCTCTTGGCTCACAAACTTTCGCAGGAAATACAACTGGCGTTCTGTTTCTGCTGTCCTTATAATCAACTCATTGATCTGAAAACAAAGTAGATATATAGCTTAACACAAAACAGGGGAATGAAATTCCAACCTCGCAAGTAATTATTTAACCCTTATGATGACCATGTAGGGATAACCAACTGTTAATGTGCAAGTTTTAATGGCATTTGCGATTTATGAATGAAAATGAGGATTATCAATGATTCATCTAAGTCCACTACAAAAGGTTGTATCACCACAGGTTTATGCTTGCAGTCAAGGATGAAAGCCAAAGTTTTTTTCTTCCTTAACTTTTTGAAGCCACATTAAAAAAAACTACACCAGAATGTAAACATTTTAGTCTCACTTGTTGTGTAATGGAGATTTCAGTGCTATAGTGGACACCCATTAATACTAACTCAACCAGACCCAGCCAAAATGTTTATGTCAGAATTATGTATTAAGAGAAGCATTGATCACATTCATTGTGCATATAAATGCACAGTCCAGGACCAAGGCTTTATGTTTTCTATAACCAGAATTCGTATAAATAGAGTTTGCATTAACGAAACTAGACTGTATATGAATTTGTGGCACAACAACTTTCAACAGTCAACTTCTTAAACAGTTGGATGTCTATCTAGTTTCCTTTACTAACTCAATGACTACATCACATGCACATGCTTCAAAGTGTTAGCACTATAACAGTGATGGCACCAGGCTGAATGAGACCTTCATCTAAAAATGAGTTGGTCTAACTCTACATAATGGTCATGAAGCCATCTCCTTACCATAACCTTGTAGTCTCTATCATTCTGGTAGATGACGTTTAGTGCCGAGGTGGCAGATAAAATCAAACCCAATCCAAGCAAGAAGCATGCAGCAAGCAAACAAAGTCAGTATGTTCATATTAGTCAATATGCAGCTTGTATAGTCATTGAATCACTTGTTAATTAATGCAAACAAAAATGTGGTAAAATACTTCATATGTAAAATGAAATAAGTGATTTTTTATACACATGCAATTAATCAAGCATAAGAAGAAAAAAAAAGATCTAAGAAAGATTGCTCGTTGTAAGTTCCCTATTGTAATTACAATGTTTCAAAATACTCAAACGTCAAGAACAACTGAGTAGAAAGAAAACCAAGTTAATCTGACCATGCTTCAACCTAACAGTCACTGCACATCAGAAGTGTTGTATCCTAGGTATGTGGTTACTTGTTTCACTCTCATATAAACCAGCAATATCTTCCAACTGTTAGTTACAGCAGCGCTATCAAGATATTTGAGCATTTGAACAAGACACATAAATATTAGGAACATTTATCAAACTTGCAAATGTTTTCACAACAATAAATGTTGTAATATTTCATTAAAACATTGCTTAATTTAAAGGGATATATAAAAAATAATCAATGTAATTCTTGTTAATAAGCAAATCACCCCAAAACCTCCTTGATTGAGAATCTTATAACAATTCTAACAAATACTGACTCTGACAATTTCGTATGTAAACAAATGATGCACAAGCCTGGTTATTAAAAGACAGCCATTCAAACAGCAAGCACATGTACACAAGCCAACTAAACAAAACAAATACGTGCAGAGAGTCGGTTCAAAGTACAATTTATCCATTTACCTTGCAAAGCTGTTAGTGTTGGTGCAGGGGTATATGTGAGTATGCAGACACACACAGTAAAGCAACAGGCAGCCATGTTGGAGACAAAGTGCAAAAGGGTGCATATGTACGTATATACACACATAGTGAAAATCATTGAAAGCATGATCAGTGCAAAACAAGAACAACAGGAAGACTTTATGATTACAATGCAATACAATGTTGTCATTGGTCTCATACCTTAACTTGGTTTTTAAAGGGAAAATACAACATTTGCAAACATCAAAAAAAAACTACCAAATCATTTGGAAATACCTTGCTGGACTGTTAGTGAATGACAGTGTAAAGCATCCTGTAAAATCTTGGCACCTGGTATACTGTCATTTTCAAGAAAAGTGGTATTTTTGTATCAATTTCCAACGCTGATCGGCCGATCAGCGTTGGAAACAACTGGCTTTTTTTCAAATACTGGCCCCAATTGACCATCGCACTTGTTTGCAATCGATTACAAACCTATGAACGGGTACGAGCCAGCTAGACTGGTTCCCTGACCTTACAATTCCCCAATGTATGTAAACTGATCTGTTTCTTCTTATATGGAGTCAGGGAACCAGACTACAGGAAAATGATCGTTTTTTCTTGGTTTTTATAGCATTTTCGAACCCAAAACCTCAAAAAAGTCAGTGTAACTATATTTGCTATATATTTCCAACCCCCAATTCCATCCATTTCTGAAAATTACAGCAAAAGCAAATGATGTATATTCCCTTTAATAATGTTTCTGCAAATTTTTCTAACAACAAAAATTGGCATACAGCATGGCTCCACCTCCAACCACATTAATTGTAGCCTCTAAAAATGGACCCTTGTTAAGAGATGTACATGTTATACACAATTAAGACCAAAAAGTCTAAATATAGGTTACCTTTTTAACACTTCAGGTGCCCTCTCCCCCCCCCCCCCCACAAAAAGGTAACAAAAGATGTTGAAATGTGCCCAAACGTAGTTATCTGAGCAACATTGATTTCATGGCAACAAAGCTTCCCTGTACTGCTGCAGATGCTTTGTGAACCCAACCAGTCACATCAGAGAGCAAGCAGTGAAATCCTACCCCCTACTTACCTTAGCCTTAGCTCCAATATCGCTAGCCATGACCAACGTCTCCCAGCGATGCCAGGAACCATATACCTTCCTGATGTAGACATAGTCATAGACTGTGCCACGTTTGGGGATAAGGAGGTTACGTGCAAACTTGAGATCCTTGGGCCTGGGATGACGACCAGCTGTGTCCATATCACACAACTGCTTGAAGAATTCACTGAAACTGGGAAATTATCAAAGAATTGCAACTTTTCAATAGATTTATTTTAAAAATGTGAGTTTTGGAAGGACTTACCCTTGCATCTTCCTGTAGCAATCAGGTGAAATATGAACATGGGCACTATCTAAAGGATCAGTCTGATGCAGTCTTGAATTGATTCTTGATCATAACAATAATTACAAAAATATGATAACATCCAAAATCGGGAGAATACTGCTCATTGACCTATCATTTCTGGAAAACAGGTTTTGGTGTCAAATTTAGCCCCCCAAAATAAACAAATTAGTAAAACAAACAGAACTCAGTTTCAACCCCCCCCCCCCAAAAAAAAACTCCAGGAATTGGCAGCGACATTGGAATGGTCCAATTGTGCAAAGGCTGTTCTAAATCGCATTTGCACCAATTAAACCACACTTTATTGCCAGACTTCTCCAAAGATTGGCTGAACTGATCGGAAGCTTTACTGACTTACTGTTCCCTCGAAGAGTGGTCTACGGTAGCCCCTACAGACCACACCAGTGAGAAGAGGAAATGGCAGACCAGCATGTTGGTCCTTTCCTCTTGAATCTTTTGCTCTGACATGGATTGATTCTGGGCCTCCACATCCTCTTCTTCATCTTCCTCACTATCAGATTCATCACTGTCATCAATGAATATCAGTGATTAATAACTTCATTTATAAATGTCAGTTCACCTATTAGATATCACTTAATCCAATGAAAATGAATCTAGCTTCTAGCGCAAAATTTGGCAGACTTGGCATTCACAAAATGATGATTAGAAAATGTATTTAGGTAAAAATGTTCAACTTTATAACCTTATAAAAATTCAGACTATTTATGCCAAGTATGCAACCAACTTAGCTAAATGTGGTAATTACCCCCCCCCCCCCCAATCTCTCTGTCTTTACCACTTAGCCTCAAAATGTGATTTTGAAAGTAACATATCTTATTCCCCCCCCCCACAAAAAAAACACGAAAATCTTAATGTAACCAACAAGCAGGAATTGATACGGTCATCTTCTTAAATCTGGTAATGAACAAATCCCACTCATTTACTGTGACTGCGTTTAGAGCTTGCAGCACTACATGACAATTATAGCCTAATCACGGCATGTGATCACCATATCACAAGGCCCCCCTTCTATGGAGAAACCATTGTGAATGCTATCATACAAAGCACGTGACCTGTGATGGATAATCTGAACAATAGCTGGCACAATTTGCCACTGAACAATAGGTGGCACAATGTGCCACTGAAGGGGCCTCCATGTTAGCTATAGAAGTGATAGTGTGCATGGATTACCCTATAGGCATGACATAATGAGATATGAAAAGGCCCAAAAACTTGTTCACGGACGCAGTGATGCATGATGAGATCTTTCACTTTTATGCCGTGGTAAAGCTATGTAAAGAAAACACTCCTGCAATAACCACAAAACAGAGTTGTTACATGATCTCTCTCGCTCTAAAAAAACAAAACACCAGTCAACAAACAAACAAACAAACAAACAAACAACCCAACACATTTCACATTACCGTCACTAATACTACTAATAAATTGAATATAGAAAAAGGACAAAGTACAAGTAAATGATTGATTTGCTATTAGTGGTGGACTGGTGGTAAGCTCTACATGGTCCAATTCATGCACAAGACAGAAGCAAAACTAGGAAAACTTACCAAAAGGGTTACAACAATAGTAAAATATTGATAAATAGAAGATGGAGAATAAGAGAAAATGAAATGGTATTTACTTTTACTAAACATTTATTGCTTTACATTTAGTAACTCATTTAAAAATGAAAAGTCTTGTTCAAACTGTGAGGGATTGACTCCATTTCAAGCCTGGATATACTGTCACTCTTTGTGTACGGTTGATACAGTGGTATCTTTCTGTCCTTCCACTTCAGTGACTTGGGTTAGAAACCTACCTGTGCCAACATGTAGACTGGATTTGTAGTTTCTACTTGATTATGTGGCCCCCCCCCCACCCCCGGCATTTTCTGAGATTTTCCTCCCACCTCCACAATGGAACACTTTTCATTACTCCATAAGTTTGGGAGATGTACTGCTTTGGTTTCTTGCAAGAAAGAAACCATGATTAATGGTGATAATGTATTTTTTTTAATTGTGAATCGAACCCAAAAAGTGCTGTCTAATTGGAATGAACTATAGTTAATCCAAGCCAAAGCTTTTTCCTTGGGAATCTTGAGTGGACTTCAACATAAGTAAAAAATAACAGCATTGCTGTTGAAACCCCTCAGCCAGAGTCAAGTTATCATCCGGAAACCATTAACCTTTAACCCAACATGGTGACCTTGACCTTTGACCCCAGAACCAATCCCAACATGCCTGTACCCGGGGGCAACCCCCTACCTAAGTCAGGCACCAAAATCTCATTTCCAACTCAAGTTATCATCCGGAAACCATTTACCTTTAACTCACCACGGTGACCTTGACCTTTGACCCCAAAACCAATCCCAACTTGCCTACTCCCAAGGGCAACCCCCTACCAAAGTTAGACAGCAAAACCTCATTTCTAACCCAAGTTATCATCCGGAAACCATTTACCTTTAACTCACAACGGTGACCTTGACCTTTGACCTTTTGACCCCAAAACCAATCCCAACTTGCCTACTCCCAAGGGCAACCCCCTACCGAAGTTACAACCCCAAACAACATTTTTAACTCAAGTTATCATCCGGAAACTAAGCTGCCCGCCCGGACGGACGGACGGACGTTCCAGCCAGACGGAATTGTGGGGTGATAGCATTGTGTTCCCATTATCCCTTTTTCTAAAGATTCTCTTCTGGGGGGATGTTTTTCTATTTTGAAAAAAGTGGGGTGATGTGTCCTGAAAGGAACATCACCCCACAAGGGTGGTATGGTCAGAACGTTCCGACGGACGGACGGACGGACGCCCTAGGCGATGACAATACCCCTCGAGCCTCTCGGCTGAGGGGTAAAAATGATGTAAGCAGGGCAGTTAAGACCTGTCTCTGGTGAGTAAGAGACTACCTAGCATGCAATAATGTTTTCCTCTGATTGACTTACATGTAATATACTAAAATGCAATAGGTATCAATAATTGAGTGCCTTGCAGAGGCTGAAAGGTGTAAACACATACTACACAAACTGACAGGTACGTAACAAAAACAAAGAAAAATGGATATATCAACCCTCAGGTGAGGTTAACCACATGTAATCATGGTGTAATTAAACCAAGAAACTTACCTATCCCGTATGGCCCTAGGACATGAGTAGTCAAACAGTTACCATCAGATTCCCACAGCATGACCACACAAATGAACAGACAAGGGTGCCAAAAAAGAAGTGAGTTAATTTCAAAGTACAGTTAGCCAGTCAACAATTACAAGCAAATTGAAACAGTAGTTATTAGTTAATCTTCACATCATGACTGTAACAAAGGGTTTTTACTACAAATGTAGCATTTGCATGCTATTCATTCTGCATAACAAAATTACTCAATATTAAAGGTTAATGAACAAACCACTAATCAATTCAAGCAACAATTTCTCTGCAAAGTTTGTAGAACTAATCACACATGACCATCTGATAATTCTCATTCACTATTTGTTAATATTTAAAACAGAAGATTTTTAAAAAGGACACAATGTAAATTTCAGATTGACCCTTTTTCTTTCAATGTTACAAATTAATAAGGGTCACTTATATCAAGTAGTGGCTGAAACGATGTCTTGTGTGCAAGAACAATACAATTATACTCAAACATTATATTTGTATTTCTTCCAGTCAGCTATTAGTGATTGTCTTGTCCAAGACTGGGAGATGATATTGGTTTCAAACAAAATAAGTTAACCCCAAAATCTTTTGCCTTATCAAAAAATCCAATAGTTTCTATTCACTTCCTTCAATGAGTTGAGTCGTGAGTAACAGACAAACACCAATAATAAAAGAATGACATTGTCACAGTTGATTGGAATAGCTTGTCAATGGACTTGAGACTGGATAATATGATTGCAAAGTGACAACTGGACTACATCTCTCATGCAGGGGTAGCATAACCACCTAGGTGTTTCAGATTATTGTTAGTGATGACAGCATGTGTTCCTGACTTGATCAGGCACTTTTTCTTGTGGACCATGTGAACTTTCCGTGATTTGAGACATTCGTTTACTGTCAATAAGCATCAGTGAATGACTTACTTGACTTCATCTAGGAGACAGGAAAACAGCTTCAACATGGACATTGTCATGTGCATGTCAGACACAGCCACAAGCTGACGACACTGCTTGGTCACATGACTGAGACACGGCGGCAACAGCCAATCAAACATCATCTGAAAACAAGTTAAAGAAATCCACTGTGATGCCCACAGACATTGCCTCACTTGCAATTGAGAGATACCTCAGATTTAGTTAGTTTTTCCTTGAGATATTTTGTTCAACCATGTTTTGTGTTTCATTTGATAACAAACTTCTTTAATCTACCTTAACTACATGACGGGCATGTACATTGTACACTAACACTCAGAAAACCTGTTATGTACATGACATGTAGTGACATGTAGAAATCTAGTGATTGACATGCAGAATTACTGTGAGATTCTATTTTCTACAGCTTGCCAAAGTTCAGCTGTGTTGCCTTTAATGCTGGGAGACTGTAGGTTTGGGCTCTCCCAATCAAAACATAGTCTTTACATTGTTTGTCAGCGGCACTTCACTTTGCCTCAATCGGCCCTTTCATGAAAAAACAAAGAGAAAATAACCAACTCTACAAACTTCATGTATGTTTTATACTCCTAAATGGAGTGGAGAGGAAAGAGTGATAAATCCCTTGCACAAGGGTGAAAGTACCACCGACTGACAGACTTGTATGACCCATGACTCGGACTTGAGTCACGATGACAAATGACTCCGACCCTGAGGACTCGGACTCAACCTGCATGACTAGGGACTCAACCAAAGGTACCAAAAATCACTTTTTTTAACAATATAATTAAATATTATTTTGAAGACGATCCTCTCTTGAGCAAGTGATACAGTCAGTGTGGTGCAGAAGAAATGCATCCAAAAACTGTACACATACACACGTGTGGCTGGCTTGTTTCCGATACATTGATGTGGGAACTCAATGTATCGAAACATGTACCCCAGCGTCCACACTTGACATCGCGTAAATGCAAGCTTAATTGATAGTGTTCGGTACCAGATTATCCTTTCCAGACAATGGTGCCTTGCTTTATTTGACATGTTATACATGTATTTCCAGTTCAATAAAATAGAGAAAAGCTGTGAAAAATGGAAACATTTACATTGTGAGGTTAAAAGGAAGATACAACATTTGCAAAAATCAAAAAACGAAACGATCAAATTATCACGAAACACCTAACTGGATAGTTAGGGAATGACAGTCTAAACCATCCTGTAAAATCATGATTCTCTTGGTGTGCTGACATTTTCAAGAAAAACTGTATTTTTCTAACACTGGTCGGCCAACTATAGCGATGGAGAAAAGTGGTTCTTTTTCAGCAAAAGCAAATGTTGTACATCCCTTTAAGCAGTACCTCAAAATTGATATCCAATTTATATTAAAGGTGACTCATGACTCAGACTCGACATTCATGGCTCGGGACTTGGACTCGAGAGAGGTGACTCGGTCTAGGACTCACACTCGATATTTGGTGACTCAAATACAAGTCTGCAGGTCAATGCTGGATTTGAATTGGTTTCTAGGACTACGCAACATGATCTTAACCAACACATGACAAAATGTCAAAATTAAACTTTAGGTAAAAACAGACAGAAATAAAAAGGTCATCCACGTCTATATGACTGCTTCCTGGTTTGCTCACCTTGATCAGTTCTTTCTGTGGTTTGGTCAGGAAGTCTGGTAACTGGTATTCCATCCATGATATAACAAGGGGTTTCCATCCAAGCTGTACAGGCTCCATGTAGATCATGCCACATCTATGAGAACAAATATTTGACAGGCCATTATATTCACGAAGTCAGACTATTACCAAGCTGTTACAGACATGACCATGTTGAACATGCTACGAGTAATTAAATACTATTGACGTGTTATCTAACATATCTATTTTGATATATCTAAGCTAATACTCTACATCTTAGGAAGAGTCTCCTAACTTGAAACAGTCGATAAATTGACACAATCCTGGTGCAGATCAGCAGTGATTCTAGCCCATTTTGGTAGTTTGTAAGCAGTCGCAAAGGCAAATGTTCCGCACTTATAGTATTTTAAAGCAGTTTGAACAGCCTGTTCACAAATATAACAGGTTGGATTCCCAGTGAACCATTCTAAGTATTTTGAGTTTGGAGTCACTCCATTATTTATATGTTAATAATATCTCAGAAATACATCTTGAAGCATCCCATTTTATTTCTATGGTTCTCATATTTTTTTGCCTCTGAAGTAGGGTCGGTCAGTTGAAATCTTTAAAATTTGAAGAAAATCATTGCAGTCGCTCTTGCATGGCTAAATTAAAAAATGCTAAGTGTGTATTGTCTCCAGTTTTGTTTATTGCAATGACTTTATCATGAGTTGTATCAAATAACATCGAAGCTAATAGCTTGAATTTTATGTCCATTATCTTTTTCTATAATGGGGTTCCCAACATGGAGGTCAGTGGTAATAAAAATGTTTTTTTTTTATTCTTGGGTCAGGAGCCCAAAATAAGGTCGGTCGGAAATGAGAACCAAAGAAGTAAAAACGGACGCCCTAACATTATCATATCTGATACTGATCTTCTCCAACTGGTCATTAATCTCAGAAATTACATTCCACTGCTTTTTTTTTATCTAAATGATTTAATTATTTCTATTGAATGTAGTATTTCTGGAAGGAATATCATGCCTTGAGTTTATCAGTCATGACCTACCTGCTGACAGTGGCTGGTGAGGCTTGTTCTAAGTCTTTTGGCTCAAAGATCATATTCTGCTTGTTATTCATCTGAATGATCTCACCACTCATCAGACACAACTGTAGAGAAAAGAAAGTGGAGTACTTTGTAATAACTAGAACAATTCAAGCTTTACAAATGTCAGCACCTTTCAGACCTGTTGTTACGTTATCAAGAGCTCTGAGCTGAAAGACAGCTTTGAGTTTTCATTTCAGTATCTCAAGCCATCGATGACATCAAAGGCTGGATGATTCTTGATCTGGGTTGATAACAGACACATGGAGTTTGTTCATGCTGCATTGGCCCCACGCCCTGCAGGCTATGAGAAATGATGATGATGATGATGATGATGATGATGATCTTGGAGAACCTACCTTTTTATTATCATCCAGTACAGTATTCATGTTCTCAATCCACACAGCGTCTACCGGACCATCAAACACACACCATTTGCGGTCATGACTTGTACTAGCAGCCTGTTCTCTGAAGATGTTGGCCAGCACACCATCTGACCACTCATGGGAGATGGGGTCAAAGCGGCCATACAGCTGACCCATGGTAATAGCTTTGGGATTTAGAATTTGATAGTTGACCTGTAGTTGGAATGAAATTGGACAATAGTATTTAAAAGGCAAATTTGTTTATTTGTTGTTATCCACTGAAGTAACAGCCTTGCTTGTGATGTTATAGTATAATGAGGGTTGGACTCAGGTTAAACATAAAAGTGTTCATGATCACGCTGGATGCACATTCACGCAATATAATAGCAAGGTTCATTTTTGTCTAAGGCTCCAAAAACAAATGAACTGGTCAAATCATTATGTTTTAACATATCAATTTGCATACAACAATATGCCATTTAGCTATTCAAACTGCTCATGCACACATTTCATTCATTTATATATTTATATATTTTCAGTGGAAAATGCAAGAAAAGATAAGTCCGAGGTTTGCCTTAAATGGATATGAACACACATACTAAAATTTGTATCCTTGTGGAGACATTTCTTTGTTCTCGTGTACTAAAGTTTTCGAGTTTGAAAGTTCAGTTTCAAAATGCTCTTATTTTAACCAGAATTAATTTCCTTGGCTGAAATTCGGACTTAATATCCCTTTTCTAAAACTCTACCATTTGCAACAAATCAACATACCTTGGAAATTCCTAGTTTTTGAGTAAAATCCATATATCCATTTCATGAAAACCTTGTGGAGACGTATTCATCTATAGAAATTGCCCTGTGGAGACGTATACAATCTTTTGTTCCCTATTGTGTGCATGTCTCCAGAGGGTACGGTGTATCAGATCACACGCAGTTGAGAAACCAAACTGTTTTTTTTTTTTACCTTTCGCTGTCACATTCGCTCACCTTAAATTCCTCCATTAGCTTGTTGGTGTGTAGTTCTCCCAAGGAGTCTGCCAGCACCTTGAAGGCACTTGTCTTGCCTCCGATGGCATCTCCGACAATCATCAAACCATGACGGACAAGGATCATCTCATAGATCTGATAAGTAAGGCACTTTGCTTGATTAATGGATTGAACATCACACACGATCCAGAATTCTAAGAATTAACTCACAAAAATTTTCTTTCTCAATCAATATTTGCTTGCCATGTTTACAATTTCAAATTCAACCATATATATACGCCATAGACAGGTTCCGGTCCTTTCATCACCAATTTGGCTATTATCTATAAAGCGCGTGGTAGGAACCAGTCTACCATTACTGCATGCATGATGCTTGTACTTTTAGTCTGTCACCACCATGAAGGGAATTTGTTGATTGTATCGGTAAAAAACATCAATGAGGATTTCCTTCTGAATATGGCGATTGTAAGTAAGCAAATGGACAAATACGGACAGCAGAAATAATATAAGCATTTTTGACGTAAAAAAACTTGTTGAGAAGCATTTGTATTAATGCATTTTTTTACAGTTTTTTAACTTGCCAATAAGAATGTTAGCGTCAGGTACTTAAATAGGGTTGGTCAGTAACCGGAAGCAGAAGTACATTTTTAACAAGGGAACTGGTTAGTGCCACTATCGGCATCAATAGGGTAAGGACGGGAACCAGTATGCTTGCAGTGCAGTTTTGTTTGAGTGCAAAAGCAACCCATAACAAACATAATTTCTGGAAGGTTGCTGATGAACAAAATAGAAACAGTTTGTACGCACGCAATGTATGTAAGCATTTACTGCAAAGACCAAGGGAAACCCAGACTTGAGCCAAGTCTATCTGTTAGTTGTTGTCTCTGATGACAAGATAAGAGTAGTACGACAAGTATATTGATCTCCTGCTAAAACAAGGACTATTTTAAAAAAATTTAAAAAAAGATATCTACATGAACATGTGTCTTACACTATGTTCACCAAGAACAATTGAATGGAGTCCCAGGGCTTGCTCACTTACCTGAATGATCTTTTCAATAAACCAAGGTACGGGCTGAAGCTTCTTCTTTATAATAGTGTTACTTAATGTCATCTCTAGTTCACCATAGTCTGGCCTGGGCATCTCCAGTCCAGGGAAGAGGTCTGAGATGATACCCTCAAACAGCGGGATGTCATGTGACAAAAACTGTACAATACAAGGAAAAAAAGAAAAGAAATCAGATTCCGCTTAAAACCATTCTACTAGAAAAAACTGTTGTGAATATTTTGCTATTTTGCTAGATTTTTAATTTTGCATTTAAAGATCATGAAGTTGAAGTTCCTGTGCCACTTCAGCATATCTTTTTATGGTGTTTTTGACCCTATGATTTGAAGCAAAATACTTTTTTCCTAATGTTGCATACTTTAATACTTACTTATTCAATGCTTTTCAAAGCACAGAGAAAATGTACACTGGCTCATTTAGGGACTCAAACCAAAGACCTAAATATCAGCAGTGAAAAATATAACATTATCCTCATCAGTTGCATGCATTCAGGATTTCGCTACATTCAGTTAAAATGTTGCTATGTATATCGCACATCATTGGTGTGTGTGGAACATATGTGACGTGCTAACAAGCACATGCATGTAATGTGCCCTTACTGATCCTACATTCATTGAGCAACAGGTACAACACACACTGACAGGAGATAGTATTGCACTGTGTCGGTAAAGGCAAGATATGACTTTGTTTTACCTTGGGCAGATTGACATCCTTGATGGATCTGAGTACCAGTATATCTTCAGCAGTCTCTGGGTGTTTGAGCTTTAGGTTACCAGCTGCTGTTAGAACTGATTTCACTGCTCTCATACCATAGTCATAGTGATGTTGCGATGATAACTACAAATAGATAAAGATATGATATTGAAAGTATCAGTTTCTGTTTTTGTCTTCCGACGAACCAAAACCATCACTCCGAGGTTATCTAGTTTCAAATATTTTTAATAACTTGCTAAAAAGCAAAACCCCCAAATATCTGGTTCTTATTACTACTGTTAACAGGCCACCAACAACCACAAAGCACCTGTTCTGAGCAGAGTTTGTAGGTAGCTACAATCTTAGTAGACAGTGACCTAGCAGCCACAAAACCCATGGAGTACAGGCTGATCTCAGCAATCAAGGCATAGTCTGGTACCATCATGGCAACAGTCCGGAACAAGACCTGCAACAAATATGTATATCAATTGATATTTAATACACGGCCAAAATGTCCCGATGCAATACCTTGTACCTTAACATGCTAAAATAATTTAATCCACACATTTATTGACCAAATAAGGGAATTTTGACCAGCCTTATGGCTGACAAGTAAATATTATGGCAAATGATGATATGCTTGTCTTTACTCCATACTTCTATCAGATTGAATCCATTAAACAATTGTTGTCTGCTTTGATGTAGTTCATGGCATATTCTTAACCTGAGAGGTGATGGTACTAGAGGGAAAACTGAGGCTGGCATTTACCCCCAAGGGCATACAAAACCCATTCAAAGGAATGTAGCAAAAAGCAGCAGGGACAAAAGTACTGCCAAGTCTTTGAGACTGATCAATGTAATGTACCCAGGGAACACAAGGTGATGCACTCCATCATGCCCCGTGTGTGCCTGACAATATGGCAGTCTGATGTGAAAACATTATCCAGGTTAGATCTGTACTTCTTGTAAGTTACTCAGTTCATCACACAAGTGCAAGATTCCTGAAAGCTAGGCCTCGGTTTGGCAAAGACAGTAACTGAACAGCTCTTCAGAATTCAAAACAAAAATAGCGTTTGGCAAATTGCGTTTATAAGTCAGCTGAAAATGATTCACACGTCGAGGTGCACATTATCAGCATTCCAGTCAAAGCATAACAAATCTAGAGGTTTGAAGAGTCAATTCTGTAGCCAAGCATGCAGGCACTTCAATGCTCATGTGTCTTGTGAAGCATGACCTGTACTGACCTTGAGGTTGTCTGGTAGTTCTGCCCTTCCTGCATAGCCAGGGTTCATGGTAATGAACATAGTACATGATGGATCCAATGAGATTTCTGTCCCCTCAAACACAAACTGTGTGACCTGTTCTGCTACAGCTCTTTGGATGCTCTGTATCTGCTGGGCTACTACTGATAAGACCTGCAAGATAAACAAAAATAATAATCAAAAAAAAATCAGTTAAAGATTGAAAGCGTTCAAGATCAGTAATTTTAAGAAAGCTCTGTGTTTGATATCAAACACAGGCCAAACTCAAACAGTGCACATAAAATTGATTACCATCTTTGGGAATTAACAATAAGTGTTGGCATCACTACTTTGTTTGGTAGGAGATATATGTCAGGCATGCAGTAACACAAAAGCAATCAGATCTTAACAAACTCAGTTATGAAATACATTTTACTGAAGAATACTTTTCTTTTAATAAGAAACATCATGAACAAATATCAACAAGAATCTTGAGAGACTGTTGCGAATATTTTCACAGGCTTTTTCACTTTATGCTACTTATAGGAACTACAATAGAATACTTTATTTTCCAATGGGGTTAAGAGCCTTAGAACTGATGTCTTCAATGTTTATTAATTATGTAGATTTTGGTATGGTGTTGTTGCAAGAGTATCACACTATATACAGTTAAGGCGGAAATATCACAATTTTAATGCAATAAAAAAGAGACAATTTCTTATGAACTAACCTCCAGTTCAATCCTGTTGAACTCGTCAAAGCAAGCCCAGGCCCCAGATGATGCCAAACCTTTGAAGAATTTGCCCATGGCCTTATAGTCCAGCCCATCCGAACAGTTAAAGACAACACACTGCTTAGCCACAGCCTTAGCCAGATCTTTGCATGTTTCTGTCTTGCCCGTGCCTGCTGGCCCTTCTGGTGCCCCTCCAAGATTAAGTAGAAGGGCTCCCATCAGAGTTCTGATGAGAACAATTCCAACACAAATAATGACATGTGTGGCGTTATGTGATGCACAATGTTTATGACAAATCAATGTCATGAACATGAACTGATAGTCTGGGACGTGCACACACTTAACTTAATTAAACAAAATTATTCCATTGGTTTAGAGTATCTAAAATGCTGGTTTAACCAAATTTCAAATGCTGTTCAATGCATATTTTATACATACCTATAGCACCTATCTGTCAATGGTGTAATGACCAGCCTACTGGTATTCCCCAGATACTCATAGCCATAGGGTACTGTAGTTGTGATCATTCTCACCATGACGCTACCTTCCTCATGATAGTATCTCAACTGACTGATCCAAGAGAAACTCAGGGGGTCTGTGATGCATTGCTTGCAGAGGTTAGCAACAACGTCACGGGCTGACAAAATAACATGGTAATTACTACATCACTAATAACTGATAATCCATCTGATCCTCAAAACATCAGGAACACAAGCTGTTGGGAGATCAGACTGGCTGTCTGCCAAGCTAGAATAACCTGAAAACTCTACCAAGTGCCAGTGATTTAATCTGTTGTGTAATCGAGTTACACAATGTTTTCCAGTTTGAATGTATGACAGTAATGAATTGATGAGCATACAAGTAGTGGTGGAATCATTATACCTATTGCTATGAGTGTATTGCTGGTTAGCATCAAAATGTGTGAAAACATGAAGAAATGGCATTTCAATATCATTGGTCTGATTCTGACATCCTTTTGAGGAATGATAACCTTACCGTGAACATCAATGACAATAAGTGCTCCTAATGTAATGCGAGCCATCTTTGTCAGTTTGCCTCGTACCAACTCCACTATCTCCTCAATCTGTTTATTGCACTTAGCCAGGTATGACTCTAGTCCATTCTCTTGGATTGCCTACATGAATAAATAGAGAGAGAACTGGTCTCATGGTCTGATGAACAGGAATAATAATTGTGAAGCCTTTTGAGACTTTGGTAAAAAGCACTATATAAGCACCACACTATTTATATTACTAGACTGATAGCCTTTCACCAAAACCCCTCTAAAACTTTTGTACAAAAATGTTGTACCTGAAGCAAATTCCACCATGAAGTAATGTATTATTTTACTGTTGGTAATAATTAGAGCACAAACTATGGAGAATCTGACAATACAAGAACACCTCTGAAACTGTTGGTAATGGTTGTAAATGAGTATGTATCAAAGAGCTGTTTAACAGACTCAAATACCTCAGCGTGTGGTGACTTATGTGATTTAGATTTGAACTTCAGGGGACTCACAACTCTACTACATGTACCAGTATGGTATGGGGTTAGTAGGTGGCCTTACTTTGGTCACTTCTGATGTCCAATAGATTGTACTTGCTGCAATGACAACCTGACCAGGCCAGTTTAACACCCATGTCTTGCGAGGTGTGTTTGGGTATGCATCCACTGCTTTGCATGTCACCTCCTGTAGGCTTCTCCTCATTATGTCCTCAACCTAAAATAACAACACAACAACTTTTGAGAAACAACAACCAAAATCTTGACACCTTATGCAGATGTTGAAGTGCATGTTCATATTGTGTGTAAACAGTAGTTTTGAGATTAACCCTTGAAATTAATCGCATTGTGCATCTGTCTTACCTGAATTAGCCATTTCTCCACCAGACCATTTGCATCGGAAGGAATGATCTTTGAGCACAGTTCTACTGCTTCCATTTCAGCTGATTCCATTGCTGTAATCTCCTTGGTGTCAGTGAAGGACAACTTGGCAATACCCTCAAAGCACTTCTTGAGGTGAGGCTGGACACGAAGTGGATCCTTAGTCTCTGAAAGGATCTCCAACAGCTCATCATTAGACAAGAAGAAGAACCTGATAAGAAACAAATAAGTTTTTTTAAGTGATATTAAAAGAAAATCAAAGAATGAACAGTAGGTTGTAAGAGGAGATTCAGAACGCACTGTTTGCCGAGTTCAGTATCTATCAGAGATGAAACTGGCATATGGCAAAAGAAATCAGAAAATAGGCCGAACAAAAATACGTGTCCGAAATCTGGGCCGCGCTGCCATTACACACATGTACATGTACATGTACATGCATGTACATTTACATGCATGTACATGTACAACACACTTCATGCCCAATTTCCGGACACCAACTCCTTCTTTATTTTCGATTCAAACAAAATTTTACGATGAAAAAAAAAAGTAAGTGGTTTCATTGCATAAAACGCCTGAATTACGGTTAGAGTAATGGGGTCATCAACAAAGAAGTTCACTTCTTACTCTTAAAAGTCCGAAAGACAAGGGCACCGTTCATGGTGCTTCAATCATGTCCATGATTCAACCACACAACTCCACTACTCCACTTGCATTCGTACGTGGGGACAAATCAGGCATTATCGTGTTTCTCTTCCAACAAATGCCAGTGAAATGTTTCGCTAATGCTCTCTTCGCTATCCTCGAGATAATCATCATGATTTTTAAAGCATTGCACTTTGTACAACTAAATCTGAAACCTCCGAAAATCGCACAACATAATGATTTTATCCACTGGATCGTTCACGAGGCTAACTGTTCCCAACCAGCCATGTGCTAGCAGCCGGACGGTACGGTGCGGTACGTACGCTGGTACCATTGCATATCATCTTTGTACAGTACATATTGCACGCACATGCGACACTGTGATTTTTCCATGTCACATGTCAATGTTCAAACTTTTGTCCAGCCGGAAAAGGCTCCAATCAGTGTTATGGCCTGTGTTTCTACCATTGAAACACTCCAATAACGACTGGTGAAAGAGATTAAAACTACGTTCGCGATGATTTTAATGTGCCATTTCCATCGACTTTTCTTTGAAATTATGATTGAAATAAAATGACATTTTGTGAAAAAATTGTTACACAAAATCAAATTTTGTGGGACACATTGTAAGAAAATCAGAAATTTTGTTGGAAAATTCAAAAAGTCGGATTTCCGATTTCAATCGGAAAAGTTTCATCTCGGATCTATACATTGTGGAACACTACACTATCATACAACAGTCAAAGAAATGGTTGATGAGGATAGGTTTATATGGCCACATCCATACAACTGACAAAAGAAAGGAAAAGATTCAATCTTCTATTGCAAAGACTAGTCAATGTTAAATAGTATATGTCACTTAATTCTGGACAGTCACATGACTTGCCACTGACACAATAAACAAGTAAAATAACTTGAGATGCACCATTGCTTAAGGTTTCATGAATCTACTGTAGGACAATTATTTCAACTATGATAAAAAAGATGTATTCAAATGCTAAACACCTTTTTCCATAGGTTTTGTATGACTTTTTTTGTTTGGTTCCACTAACCTTGGAAAGAACAGTCTTTTCTTCTCCAGGTAGTCATTCAGACCTTTCTGTATGGTGTCTAGAAGAACTTCTGACTTCTGCAGATTTTCTAGCATATGAGGCTGGGCTGTCACGACTAACGCACGAGTGTTTATCACAGCAGTCTGCATGATGTCTCTCCTTATTAGCACAAAACGTAAACAATGTAACAACCAATTCGTAATCATATTGGACATTTTTTCACTAATAAACACAGGCACTGCAGGATAGATAATGAACAACATAAAACTGCTTTTTTAAAATTCATGGACAAAGTGAAAATTGGCTATTAAATCCCAAGCAGTAAAATATTGTAAGGCATTTCAGTTGGTAACAGTCCCTTGCTAAGTTTCCTGTGCTTTTATGTTTAAGCAATATATTTCTTTATCCCATTAATTCAATGTTTTACTATCAGCTGAAGCATTGAATGTTTCTTCACGTATCTCTCAATACATTATTTACAGGACCAGGAATGAGGTACATTGAAAGTGTAGACAACCTCAGTAATTATTTTGAGATTTATTTCGTGATAAAACTGATGAATAATCAATTGAATATGTTAAGGTATGTGAACGGGACCTCAAACAGAGCAGTACACTTAATTTGCTCCAATAATCTCAGTGTAACCTCATTCCAATTCATTTGTCAATCACAAATCTTTAAGTCAATTACCAATTCTCATCAACATCTGTAAACATAGATCCCTCCACTGGTATCTGGCGGCGAATGTCTGCCGATCCAAAGATTGGTTCAAGATATAGCCAGGCTGCTTGGACCTTGAGCCAAGAGTCTAGAATATCACTCATACGATGCTGCAAGGATCAAGGAAAAAAATTAAAAGTGAGAGATATTTTTCTGGACAAACAAAGAGCTGTTTCCCTTTTTTGTTTAGCTTGGACGTATGTCTATATAATAGGTTGTATTGCAATGATGGTGTGTCATTTGGAAAATTGGAAAATTTATGCAGGTGAAATGAAAAATTGACATAAGACTATGGAATTTGTGAGTTTTATAAGGAGTCACATGAAATGAAATGAGGTCAGTATTTATTTTAGGGAGTCATAATTATTGGATGGTCTTTTTATTTGCAAAGTGTAAGGTTGAGTTGCTTTTAAATCATGTAGAACAAGGTGAATGATTTTCGGCAGTAGAAAACTGTACATGGGCAATCCTATCATTACAGACAAAACAAATTGAAATACTTGCAGTGACAGCAAATTTTATAAATTCAGTACAACTCCAGCGTACAGGGTGAATAAAAAAAAAACGAAACCCAAATGTCAGAACTATTGTTTTAGCCTAGTTCTGCATGTAGTATTTTCAAAATCTAGGATATGAAAGCCAAATTCATATGCTTTCTTTTAGTACAAGAATCATTCAAATCACTCATGTACTTTTCAAGTTACGGAATTTTAAACACAACTACCGTTTTAAGGTTCTGTCCACGGATCACAAAAAAGTTCAGTGTTCTTTCAGCAAAACGAAAAGAAATCACATATAATAGGAATATGTGTGAATTGTTTTCGTTTTGCTGAAAGAACGCACACCTTTTTTGTGATCCGTGTGTTTAAAATTCCGTAACTTGAAAAGTACAGAAGTGATTTGAATGATTCCTGTACTAAAAGAAAGCTCATGAATTGGGCTTTCATATCCTAGATTTTGAAAGTGCTACATGCAGAACTTCCCTAAAACAATGATCCCAACATTTGGGTTTCGGGGTTTTTTTTACTCACCCTGTAGAACTGAATTTATAACATGCCATGGTTGAAGTATTGTTAACTGCATTAATTAATGAGATACATGTATAAGCACTGTAAACAACTGTTACGGACATCACACATTCTGACATACCGGTAGGTACAACAACCTAAGATGCAAATAAATACAAACTTTCAACAAAATGGAGCTGTGGTTTTCTAGATGTAGGCCTTTTAAAATGCATCTTTAAGATGATGGGTCAAAGTGTGTGCCAAGTTAGAAGACTTCAGATTCATAAATGTGCCCAAATGGGTGGGTAGAAGAACACACACATACACATCTTGTGCACAAAGGACTCAATCCTCTTTTAAGTTCACATGAGTCAGTTATCAATTTGAATTTAGTCTTGTGCTGATTTCTGCAATCAAAGAAAGGAGAAGAAATCTACGGTAGAGTATCTAAAGCCACATGACATTTCTACTGAAACCCTACTTCCTAACAGCTTTCAAAGCTGAAAGATCAATAATTACATGTAAGTGCAAAATAATTGAATGTTTTCCTTTTTGTTTTCCATTGCAGATTCTAGATTCTCTACTCACCAACGTTTCTTCCCAGACTTTCACTTGCTTCTCAAATGGAGCAATGAATGGTGATCCCCTCATGGTTGAGGTCTTGACAATGTGATCTTCTAGCAGGACTTGCACATCTTCAGGAGATGACAGGATACTCAGTTCAGTGTCTTTGTACTCAGTGAAGTTGAAATGAACAGACTCCCAATCATCCTTCATCTTCATTAGAGCCTGCAATCAACATTGACATGATGCAAACATCAGACTGATTCATAGTGTTGTAGTCAAGATCTGGAAGTTCGAGACCAAGAGACCTGGATGCCCGAGGCGGAGACCGAGACCTTGAGGTTTGAGATCGAGACTGAGACTTGATGGTCCGAGACCGAGACTTTGAGGCTTCACGTTTAATTACCTTATTATAAGTAAAGTAAAAGAAAGAATATACATGCATAATGACATATGCGTACACACATACTGGAATTTGTATCCTTGTGGAGTCATTTCTTTGTTCTCGTGTACCGGTGCTAAAGTTTTTGAGTTTGAAAGTGTACTTTCAAAATGCTCTTATTTTAACCAGTAAGAATTTCCTAGGCTGAAATTTGCACTTAATATCCCTTACAGAAAATACTTCCATTGGCGCCAGATCAACACACCTTGGAAATTCCTAGATTTTTTAGTAAAATTCAAATATCTATTTCGTGATAACCTTGTGGAGACGTATTCACCTATAGAAATTGCCCTGTGGAGACTTATACAATCTTTCGTTCCCTATTGTGCACATGTCTCCAAAAGGGTTCCATGTAACAGATCAGTCGTATTCACACCGTTTAATCGTGTTTACGTTTGTACACTAACTTTTTAGGAAGACTTCCATATGTTTTTTTTACACAACCCCGTACCGGTACCGTATGCTTGGAATCACGGACCAACATGTTCTCTTTTGTTCTCCAGCATTTTTCCTCCATGGTTTGAATAGACACAGGTTTGTTATGGTGTAAATGGAGGATTTGGGATGTAAATGGAGGATGAAGGATTTGCCTCTTCCCTTTTCCTTGTTTATACTTAAATATATTTTGCAACAGCTCTCACTGGTTTTGTAAACGTTTTCTAATCGAGGTCATCCTCAATTTGGTTCCTGTCCTCAATTCAACAATGATGTTGTACATGTGTGTCCTCAAGGCTCAATTTACACCATAACACGCACAATTTTTTTTTTGGTATAGTGGTAAAGTGATATTAGTTGAGTCTTAACAAGTGCATTTCATCAAAGCTTATTACAAGCCAATGTTTAATTAGAAGGGCCTCCTTAATTTGAGGGATCATAAATTACTTTGTGTGAGTAATAAAGACAAGCAACATGTTGTTGCTGAGTTCAGATTGTTTAAGGTCCATGAGAATTTGAGTAAGTTGATTTCACATTTTAGAGGAAGGAAGTTCAAAATACACCCTGCTGATCCTTCATGATGCCTCTAGCATTAGTGATTGAACATGCTGCATACTGGTGGTCTTGATCCTGAGACCAACAAAATAAGACCGAGACCAAGACCGACACCATGGGGTACCAAGACGGAGACCAGAAAAACTGGTCTTGAGACCGGTCTCAAGACATACATGTACAGCACTGCTGATTCAAAAGCAATCAACTGTCTCTTAAACTTAATAAAACCCCAAAATTCAATCTGTAGTGCCACAGCAACAAATATATAAATGCTTTCAGATCAGGCAATAGTATAAAATTCCTCCATTGTCTTCATCATAAGCTTAAATATCAAAAGCATATCCATTCTTATAACTCACCTGACAAATACTTTCTGATTTTTCAAATTTGAATTTCTTTTGTTCAATGCAAAATTTCTGGAGCAGCCTTCCCCAAGTTTCAGACATTCTCTCACTTCATCTTGTAGGCAGGTGCTCTTTGTCTCATTACTGAGTCACTATCTCTATCTATCTTTAATCCATCAATCATGGGCGTTTCTAATGTATTCTTCATATATATGCATTTTCACAGTATTGTCAAAAAGTGTACTTAGTGAGCTGAAACTTTGACAGGTTAGTTGTTAAATTACCTGCTTCAGATTGATTGTATTGTTCTTTCTTGAATCGGCAAAGACACATTTTTTTTGCAACTGGTGTCAATTACTTTAGCCATGCCACCTCAACATGTTACAAATGAACAAAGTACATGTACATGATACAAACCAGTAGCACATTATTGCAGTAACTCAATTTAACAACATTGTTACCTAGCCATGCCACCTCAACATGTTACAAATGAACAAAGTACACGTACATGATACAAACCAATAGCACATTATTGCAGTAACTCAATCTAACAACATTGTTACCTAGCCATGCCACCTCAACATGTTACAAATGAACAAAGTACACGTACATGATACAAACCAATAGCACATTATTGCAGTAACTCAATCTAACAACATTGTTACCTAGCCATGCCACCTCAACATGTTACAAATGAACAAAGTACACGTACATGATACAAACCAGTAGCTCATTATTGCAGTAACTCAATCTAACAACATTGTTACCTAGCCATGCCACCTCAACATGTTACAAATGAACAAAGTACACGTACATGATACAAACCAATGGCACATTATTGCAGTAACTCAATCTAACAACATTGTTACCTAGCCATGCCACCTCAACATGTTACAAATGAACAAAGTACATGTACATGATACAAACCAATAGCACATTATTGCAGTAACTCAATCTAACAACATTGTTACCTAGCCATGCCACCTCAACATGTTACAAATGAACAAAGTACACGTACATGATACAAACCAGTAGCTCATTATTGCAGTAACTCAATCTAACAACATTGTTACCTAGCCATGCCACCTCAACATGTTACAAATGAACAAAGTACACGTACATGATACAAACCAGTAGCTCATTATTGCAGTAACTCAATCTAACAACATTGTTACCTAGCCATGCCACCTCAACATGTTACAAATGAACAAAGTACACATACATGATACAAACCAGTAGCTCATTATTGCAGTAACTCAATCTAACAACATTGTTACCTTTTCAAGCGCAAACTCCTTGCTTGCCTGCGAACTGATCTCTGTTAGATCCTCTAGGTACTTCTCAAGACCCATCTGTAGCATCTCCAGTAATGGTGTCTCCTTTGTTGGGGTCATGTTAAATCCAGCCTGGATATAATATCATGATCCCATGAGGAAAAATTCCAAGTCAATTCTTAACGTTTGTGTACATTTTACTTAAATGTTCAACCATTGGAACCCCTACTCATTGTATTGCACTGTATTTATTTGCTGATGAATCTATTAAAACGTACAGTGCTTGGGCAGTTAGGGGCCTTACGATGAGAAATGGCAGGACCGCTTGCAGCGGTACAGAGACTAATCGGTTTATGAGACGAGATTTGGTAATAGCAAGTATCATCACTATTGGATGCATGCACTGCCACAGCTTCACTCAAACACAGGCCCCTTCTGCACTCGTTCATCCACTTCGCTGCACTGTACATTAGTAGAGCAGTTAAGTTACGCGCTTTGCTAAACATGTACTGGAAGCTTTGCATTCCTGATTGCATACATGGACAAGAATTTAAGCAGGCATTTCATAGAATCTGATTAGGCGAACGTCTTTAAAAACTTTGAAAGTATATTGATTATTTTGTTGGCATGTGTGAGAAATGAGGTTTTTACCCCCCTTCCTCCACAATATGAAGAATGCCAAATTCACTTGTTTGGCATGTGTTGTACATGAGTTGCCAACGCATATTTTTGTGATGTTAACGCACATATCCTTGAAACAGCGTAGTATAGGTACAAAATTGTGGCTTAACCTCTCTAATCTCAGGTAAAGATCCATCAAATCTGATTTTTTTTTAACCGGTCAATTACACTGAATTCAATCTGCATGTCTAAAAAAGTGAGTGCATGCAGTGGTCTCCTATTTTGACTTTTCTTGAGGAAAACTCAAAGAATCAAGCAGAACCACAGACTCAATCAATACAGTGCACTAGACAGGATTCAAACCTCAATCACCTTAGATAATTGAGTATTTTACTCTTTGATTGACCATCCTACCTTTTCATTCATCATGTCCCAGTGTCTCTGTTTGATACCAGGGTTGCAAAGAGCTCCAATCAGTGGCATGTTCAGCTTAAACTTCTCTAGTTTAGCTTTGATGGTGATTGATGCTCTCATTGGTCCCATCATGTCAGTACTACCAGCGAAGGTCTTACTTAACTTGTAACTAGTCTTCCATAAAGACTGCACCTAAAAGATAGCATGAAACAATCATGACAATTACACAACAGGTTCTTTCTTGGCAAAAAATCAAAGCTTTTTTTATAATCAAACAGTACATGTGATAACCTTGAATGCCTAGAAACAATCTCATCACATCATGGGAAATGATTTCAACCAAACCACCATCTTGAAATTCAGACATATTTGGATTCAACTGTAGTTTAATCCCACTGAATTAAGGTAGATCAAGTTGACTATAACCTGGCTTTACCACTCAAATTAACCAGGTGGAATCTAGCCAGTTTTCATTACTTAAGGCTAAATCACAATTGAACAAATTCAGACTGACTGGAGCAATCTTGATGATTGCTGTAACAAACAGTCAAGCAGCATAAAAACCAAAAGAGTAAGGGTTGATGAGATCAAAGGGAAATTACACTGCACATGTACAGTTTCTTTAAAACAATTAACAATCAAATGTCTATTTCTTCAATGAGCTTGAATAACTTTTTTGGAAGATGTAACACACATTCTGACACCAATTAACTCTGCATATACCATTACTGGGAAATATAACCAATTCTTTGCCAGTAGGTGGCATAGTATGAAATATTTCCATGGATAATGCAAAGGAAACTCAGTCTGGATAACGACATTAAAAGCTGGATCAAGGAATCTCAAAGCTAGATGGAACTCAATAAATAACTAGATCAAGATAGGTCAAATTGGATGAAGAGATTGAGGCAAATCAAGCCAATGGAAGCCAAATCTAGCTCATGAAAGCTTGAACAAGCAACGTCCGACCAGTACATGTCTATTCCACTCCAACTAGCTACTAGCACTGACCTCTTCTTCGACCAGTTCTGCATCAACCTCAAGCAAGGGTCCATTCATCCATTTATCATATTGCTGATGGAACTGAACCGCTGTCTGCCAAAGCTTATCAAATGGTTCTTTCATCTCACGGATGTCATCCAACAAGGTGTAGGGACTAATCTGACCTGTGTCTAAGAGCTTCTCTTCTAAATTGATGCTGGCTTTCTGTTAAGGGGGTACAAGATTGAAAACAACTTAGTTTCATTCCATTATAACAAGGGGTAAGGCTTTTCAGAATAGTCCTCAAAAAAGGGAACATTTAAACTTATATTTTACAAGATAAGTTCAAGGTTATGTCTAAAACAGAAAAAAACGAAATGTTCTTATACCACAGGGTAACATAATACATGTAATATAGATCAGGACAACCTTTATTTTAATTTAATTTAAAAGTGTACAGATGACACTGGGAAGGAGTGAATATGCTCCAAAGTCAGTGACCAATTCTTCAGTACATGTACTAATTATGACAGTCAAACCCTTTACCCTGACAGATTCATCTCTACATAGAAATATTACTCGCATGAAATGATTTCACAAAGTTCTCATCATCTAAGGCTACTGCCTTAGACATTAAACAAAAAAGGGAAAATAAGACTGAAAATCTTAGTTGGTATTACAGAGCTTACTGTTCCAGTTCTGCTTCAGTCTTTTTATCAACCTTTTTTTGTTGTTGCTTAAAATAAAATCCAGAAAGGTATGAGTTGGATACTACAAGAACAAATATTCAATGAATCATGGAATGGTACATCAAAACTTGGTTTGAGTGGACGGGTTGATATTTGTGCTGTCAGGTCAGTGTAGGCTCATTTTCTTGCCTTTCACCGGCAGTGACCCTGCATTCATTCCTGCCAAGATCACTTTCTGGACTGGGTTTTTCTGTCCCTACTTGTAAATTCTTCTGGTCCTTCCTCCTCTAATTCAGAGCTAGGATGCAAGGGAAAATGATGCTGAAGTGGACCAACCAGGATAAACTTGAAATACACTGATTATGTTCAGTTTTGTTGACCAACCTCTTGATAAAACTCCTCTAGAACTTTCTGGATGTCTTGGAGCTTGAGCAGGTAGTCCTGAGCCTCAGACATCCTATCTTTGGTCTTGAATCCCTTGACAACATCAAGTACATCATGTAACCTAGCCTGGAACTTACGCTGTCTGTCCAACAACTTGGAGACTGCAATATCATGCTCTCTTTGCAGTTTGGTCTCGCTAAAATTGAATTGAAACACCCATGAAGCAAACAAAATATTTTTTAATACTCTGCTCTTCTGAAACTGAAATCAGTTTTAAAGCAAATCCTATATTCTGCGTAGTTTTGAGACAAAACAATTATTCACCAATTTTTAGAACAATTAAGAGCTCATGTAAATTTTGTTTATACGATTTCTATGGAAAATCTGACTGACGAAATGTACATGCACCCATTTTTAACTGACACCATCTGCATAAATGATGATGATGAATAAAAGATGATTTCACATTGTTTTAATGGTTGAAACAAAATTGAGTACTTTGACCAGCAAACAGAATACCATACTTTGATGGAACAAACATTCATTGGCTCAACATCTACATATTGGCATTCTTTCAAATAATTAACTATTTATTGGTTAATTATCTTACATTTAATGGTTCATTCTTAAACATAAAGATGCGAAATTGAAAATAACAAGTTGGGTCAATATTTGGACCAAATCACCAGCAATAGGAGAGTTTTTACAGAGTTTCAGAGAGAGGATAGCCTATTTGTGCACTACAGTTTCTCCATTATACTCGGAATGGAAGCAATCTAGAAATGATGGCAAATACCCCAATAGTTTGCATCTCATTACACACCAAGCTAATTTCCTCCACGGACAGCTATTGGTTTTTTTCTCACCAATCTGCATGGAGACCATACCTGTTCACGTTTAGCTGTGCAGAATATCTCCATTTAGTACCATTGCTCAGTGTGCTAAGTCCAGACACTTTGAGAATACTTACCTATTTTTGATGATTGGTACAATCCTGGTGCTCCAGGTGAATGTAGTATCATTGAGTATCAGATCATCTTTGGACAGTGTAGCATAGTCCATTAGGAAGAGGAGGTTACTGGCTGCAATCTCAAGTCTGGTCTAAAAAAAATAGGGAAGAAAACAGGTGCTTCAAGACCCATTTACGTGATTAGGAAGAGTTTCTTCGACCCTTTGCAATCAGCTGACATAAAATGCAAAAGATGTCTGCTCATGTGTATCCCAATGGAACAAAAGAACACACTTCAAAGATGGCTGTAATTCAAAGGATCTATACAGAACTCCACTATGAGTTGTGATGGCGAAGTTCAACCTGAAATGTATAGGTTTCAGTATTGGATATTTCCGTTCTGAAACATTCAATAAGTTTCAGGTCTTAAAAACAATCAGGTCCAAGTGACACAACATTAAAACCTACATTTGTAGACACCAGGGGTGCGTTTGGGCAGTTATAATGAGAATTGGTTCAGCTATTTGTCATTGGCTGAGCATCTAGGGGATTGTAGTAATGTAGTAATCATACATGATTACTGTAACATCAAAGTCAATCAAACACTCCACCAATAACCAAAAAATGAAATAGCTTTATGTTACACCCATCAAACTGTGGTTTCCCAATACGCAATTTCGTATGATTAATGCAGTATCATGGTACTTCAGTATCGCAATTATTGATGCATCATGGGATCATTGCAGCCCAACTGCCTTGACACTACGAACACATGTAGATGGCTTTGAATGCATCAAAATCAAACACATTGCATAAGACATCATGAAAACACAAATGCACTTGAGAGCATTTTAAGTGAACTAATCATTTATCATGCAAAAAACTGAACTTATGTCGTGTCCCCCCCCCCAAAAAAAAATATGAGAAATGTCATGCCCTTGTGCAAATCAAATACCGTTATGTAGGCATTTAACAACTGTTCCGAATCCGTAATGCACCCTGAAAATGGCCTGACCATGGAGAGCTCCTTGTGATACACTGCTTTGTGAAATGAATGCACAGATGGCATGAGAGGATCACATCAAAGCATGGCTATATCATTGAAAACCACAGTGAAGTACCCACACCTAACAAAGTTGTGCACATACATATACCTTTAATTGTAGCAGTTCACCAACCCACAATCCATCCACATATTCCTGCAAGGAAACTAGTTGGTTTGTGGATTCTGACTGCTGAGTTATCTTCCTGACAATGTTGTCATACTGGGTGCAGATATCACGGTTGAACTTGTGACTGGTCATAACAATATTGGTGATCATGATGTTGGCTAGGTCATCGGCTCGAGCCATCAACCACTAGAAAATAAAAGTTATGATTGGATTTGGACATCAACATTCCTTATCATGGATTATATATTCACTATTTATGGTTGGCTAAGAATTTATTATGGTATTAGAATAGGTTTCCCCAAAGCAAAACTTGTGTCATATTTATTAGTTGATGGGGAAAAAAGAGTTTAAATTTGTTCCACAACATTGATGTGTTTCATTGTTACTTTTAATTTCAAATAAAACAAAAAGTGTACACAGTTGCCCGAGCCAGATATTCGTTTTTTCCGGGTCGGTTCGGTTTCGGGTCTGTTCGGGTCGGTTTTTGCTTGATTTTTGTCGGGTCAGGTTTGGGGAGTTCAGATCGGTTTTGGTTCGGATTATATCTATAATGTTTCGGGTCAGTTTGGCCTGGTGAACCTGACCCAATGCATAACATTAGTTTCAACAAAAGCAGAAAGTTTGCCTGAGCGTAATCTCTCAAACCATGTAACAGTGCAATACATGTCATTATAAATTAAGAAATACTTGTATGTCTGGTACGAGAAGTTGAGTTTGGATAAGATTAACTAAAAACAAAGCAAGAGTGGACAGAAGATGTCTTAAATATATTTAGAACTTGGAGTTGTTTGGGGGGGGGGGTTTTGGTTGTTTTTTTTTTCTTCGGTAAAAAGAAGTTACAAAAAGTTGAGGTTTCTTTTATTTATTGTGCTCCCCCAATTTAAAGGTCTGAAGCATTTAGGAATACATCTGGATGCTAACTTACACTATTAATGTTATTACAGTCCAGCATGAAAACGTGCATTGGCACATAGACAGGCAAAGATGCAATCTCTTTGGCCATCGCTTTGAGTTTCTCTATCTCTCGGACATATTCTCGCAAATGCTGCTCTCGACCGACAAACTTCTCCACTCTAACATCTGATTCACTGCTCAGGAGGTAAGCATAGGGCTTGTAGACTGACTTGTACCTGGTGACAGGAAGGAAGATGGACTCTAGGCATTATAGAACTGTCTGGTGTGTAGAAGTGACTGTATCTTCAATGGCTATGCATCATTTCTAATATAATGACTGAAGTCCCAAAATGAAAACGTATACACCTACAATGTGAGAACATTCATACATTACATGAAAAATGTGAGAATTCATAGCACTGGCTATTAAGTTAAATGGACACCGGGTTTGAATTCCCTGATGAAGTGTCGTCAACTGAAATTCATTTCACCACACAAGCCCAACAAACTCAGCATTGTAGAAACGGATGTAGATGTCATTTTGAATGATTCTATTAAACCCTTAACTTCAATGCGTGCACTAATTGATTAACGATGTTCACATAAGGTATCAAGATTGTGTCATATTATACAGAGACAAAATTCCACATTTCTGTGTATTTATGTATTGGATTGTACATTCCAGGAGAAAGCAATTAACAGAGGTGCTGCTACACAGTATTGACTGCTGGAACACTTCCATGGTCATAACCACCATTCTCATTGTTACTGACCTTATTATCATTGTCATCAATGTTGTTATAATGTACATTATCTCCCTTGACTCACCTGTTGGGTCCATGGCTATTGCTCATCACCAACTTCTGGATCCGCCTCTTGGCAATCTCAACAAGCTCCTCCCCTTCCCTGACTGTGCTAATGCTCCTCCCAACCAGATTATTAACCTTCTCAAACAGGGCAGTTTCCACCCTGGGCAGTCCCTGTGAACTCCGGACCATGACATAGATGGCTTCATGAAAGAGTTGTGTTGTGCCATCAAAGGAAGGGCTGAAGTTACAGATGTCATCCATGCTGGGTCCCTATTAAGTGAATACATTAGAATACAGTGCATAAGCTGACAAGAAAGCAGGAATGGCTCCTTGAATAGGTGTTACAATTAGTTGTATGGCAGGACTTAGCTAGTTAACTGCAATAAATTGGTTGCACGAAAGAAAAAACATTGAATGCCCACAAAGATACCAAAATATGACAATATCCTTCTACAAATTGATTTGTTCAAACTGTCACCGAGTCAGAGACAGTATGTAACTTATCGGAGGTTGGTAACCAGAACTTTACAATAAAAAGGAACATGATGTCACAAGAAACACTCTGAAGCTCTTAATTAAAAACATGAAAAGGATTTCAGGCTTAGTATCATTAATAACTTCAGAAATTGCTTTGCGCCTTAAACATGAATCACAAAAAGAAATACTGAGATGTAAGTGTTCCTAAATGGAACCAGATGCTGTTTCAAATCGCTGTCAAGGGTGTTTAAAATGTAAAACAAAGGGATGACAGTTTATGGGAAATATTTATCCACTTTGATAGCTTGTTTGGAAATAAAAAAAATCTTTGCCAAATGTATGTACATGTATGTCATGGTTTATTAGCATGCATACAATAGTTTTTGCTCCGTCTTCAACACGACTCTTTTGACTATTGAAATAATGCCTATACACCAAGCAATATAATTTCAATATAATTTGCAGGCATTTGAACCCAGGCTGTTTCCAAAATTTGTTAAATGACATTCACCTGACATACAAAAATGTAAAACCTCAGTCTCTATGTTACTATGTCACAATGTTGTGCTCCTTTATCAGTTTTAAACAATTTCCTGGATCAAACTTATTTCGTAATTTTAAATTCAAAGGTAAAGTGAGACTCTGGCCACAAGTGCCTGTTTTTTTTTGGCATAGGTGTTAAAAATAGGAAACAGTGATCAAATTTCAGTGATCAAGTTTATCAAAACTTTGGCTTTACTGATTAAGTAAATTTTAGTCTCTTTTGTTTTTGTTACAAACATGCTGATGTTAATTTCCATCGGTAGAAAAAAGGTCTATTCAGACATTGCCTACGTCACAATATAAATATAGGAATTCCTCTGAAAACATACCATGAAGACTGTAAATGGTTGAGGTAATACAGGTAATCTCAATGATGTCTGCTTGTATTCCCCTTCGTAGTTATTGCCGTCGCTATACTGCTCCAACCACTCACAGAGATCAAATACAGACTTCTTAACACCATCTCGGAGACATACAGACATCAGGGTAGCCACTGAGGAGAAGAAGTGATCCATGTGGTCCATCCGAACATCCTGATGTAAGACAAGGACATTGCTTGTATTTGATTGATTGAATTATGGATTCGGGTTTCAGGTCTCAGGTGTATTTCCATAATATTACAAAGCTAGTAAACTTCAAGGAAAACATAAACGGTACTTAGATTAATAACATAGGGAGTCCAGACTGATTGAATAAAAGAATACATGGAGTCACAGGTTGGATGACTGACTGACTGACTAAACTGATGATTCAATTAACCAAGTAAGAGTTGATTACATGTAGCTGATGAATTGAACTGACTGATTGCTTGCCTGATTTAACTCATGATTTCCTGAATGACAATTTAACGATTGATTGATTAATTGATTAATTGATCAATCTTCTGACTGATTGATCAAAATGGATCAGACATGGGAATGCAAAATCTCAAAACAAGTCTGAAAACTGAATAAGGTCAAGAAACTCCAGAAATCTGTTGGTTTCAGCAACAACAATTTTATGTGACATACATAAAATTCATTTCAGTGAATATTTATTTCAATCAAACCAACACTCCTAATTGCAAAGAAACATGTAAAAATGTTACCAAATTGCACCACAATGGTCTATATATGTACATTTGAAATCACTTGTTTCCTTATCACGTTGTGCAAAGTAAACTCTACTTTTGCAAGTATAACGATGCATGCGCGTCTTTATGACTAGCCTTTATTCAAGACGCAGGTTTGCACAGTGATTCCTTGTAGACGTGCAATTACGCCTGTAAAACATCCTTTCAAACACAGCAGTTCGGTACTAAACTGGATGTCACTGAATGTCATATCTTTGCATATCCAATTTTAAATGTAGCTTAACAATGTTAAGTTTTCAAAAATAAATTCCTGAATTCAGCAATAAAAATACAAAACCTCATACTTCAAATGCTTTTGGTTAAATAAGTAGTTAGAAGTATTTTTTCATAGGATTGCAACGGTTTTTCATAATTATTTCAGGGGGTTCGATGGACATTAGCTATTAAACAAGGTGATCCACGGATCGCAAGTGTCGCCTTTTTTCGTGGTCGACCCCCCCTATGTTTTGTGTTCTTCAAAAAAGTAAACATTTTCAAATATTTTAACGACCTCAAATGACCCGACATGACCTTTGACCTCAAATTTCGGAGAGCTGTAATGAACCCCCACCCAAGGATCACTCCATCCGAGTGACATTAAAATCCAACCAATTCTGTAGACTAAGAAACATTTGAAGCATATTTGCACACGACTTCTAATGACCCCGACATGACCTTTGACCTCGATAATCCGATGAAGAATTGTGTCTTCCCACCCAAGGGTCACTACATCCAAGTTATACACTTTTTTTCAAAAACCTAAACCTTAACACACGGTTGACCGTTTCAGCGGATGGGAGTTCTGGCCCTTTTTCTAAAGATTTCACTTGTGGGGTTACCATTCCCTTTGTAGAAGTACCCACAAGTAGCTCTGGTGTGTACTAAATATGTAGGGTCGTACACACCAGAGCTACTTGGGGGGTCCTTGTACAAAGGCAACAGTAACCCACAAGTAAAATCTTTAGAAAAAGGGATAAAAGGACAACAATGTTCCTACCCCAGAACTCCCATCCACTGGAACGATAGGATTGTACTTTTTCACTGATCCAACTCTATGAATAGACATTCGCTTCGCCTCTGTTTGGATCTTAGCGCAGCTTTTTTCACCACTTGAGGACGGATTCTCAGCAGAGCTGCCCACAGCCGATTCTGATAGAACACATGTAGCATACAACTACTGAATGTTTGTGAGTGCAAGGATAAGACTGATTTCTGTCACTGAGTAAAATGATTCTTTTTAGTGCTCGAATGTAAAACATTCATTATTTGTTTTATACTACACCTGAATAATCCTTGACATCTGATTGGTCAGAGCTGCCAAAAGTGTGACCATTCAATGGACCTTCCATTTTATACCGCCATAAATCATGGAATTTGTTTTGCCAGTACGTTTTTAAATGAGAGGAAAATGGAGATTGTTAAGTTTCAGTAAAGAGGGAAACAAATGTTTCATAAGCAGGATCAGCTTGCTGGTAATCAAAAATGTTACTCCAGTCCATAGCTTTGATATCTAGCATAAAAGCGCCAATGGTGTTGCTATTAATATCCCTTGTTGTGTATGTCACTGGAGTACGCTTCGAAGACAGGAAAACAGAGGGAGTAATTTGAAATACAGGTAACTGATTCGAGAAGTCAACATTAAGAATACCTACCGAGATAACAGAATCATTGTTAAAAAGTACCGGGGTATGTTATCAATAAGAATGCCACTAATTGGGGCGATACGAGTGGGCTGGTCAATCAAAGGGCAGAAGCCATGAATAAAATGTGTTTACACAGTCGTCTGTAGGTCGATGATCAGAGCATTTCAATAAATCACGGTTAAAATCGCCTATCCAATAGCACAGCTTCTTTTCTTTAGAAATGGCATTCAGACACAAATCCAAATGACGTAAGAAGCTATCAGATTGAATACCAGGAGCCCTGTAGACATTTCCTACAATTAAATCACAGGCGTGTTCAGGTGCAATTTCAATGAATTAAACACACATTCATAATCATCTGAAGATGGCATTAGATCATTACGGACATTGACATTCAGAGATTTATGACTGCACATAGCTGCTCCTCCTCCGCTTTTTGATGAGCAGCTATATTCATTTCTGACAAAAGAATATTGCCAATGTTGGATTATGTATCTACATATATATATTGATAGAAAGAGTCAAAGATTGTTATGGATTGCAGTCTGGACACCAGATGTGGAACTTTGTTTTTGGTCTAACCTCATCATTGGGCATCCATCGCTCTATCTCATCCTGGTTGCTGCGAATTATAGATGAACATTCCAGCACCCACTCATTGAGTAGAGTCTGTCTTCCTTTCAGACTAGAGGCCTTAACATGTGCTAGGAATGCATCCATGGTTAGAGGCATCACCTCCTTGAGACCTGGGATATCAATCAACCTGAAACTAGAGTACCTGCAAGGGAGAAACCAATAAATAGAGTTCTCCTTAGTCACCAAACCTGTAGCAGCATGGTATAAACATGTAATGAACAGGAAGATAGCAACAGCAAAATAGCACTGCAATCTAAATTTGAGTCTTTTTAAAATGTCTTTAATTCATTTTGGAAGAAAGTGATGTAATTACGTGACGAAATAAAATGCTGCACAGTTATGTGGAGCTACTAAGGGGAAGGAGTTTATCACGGCAATAAATAAGACAACATGAACTAAGTATTTTTTATACTAAATGTAGGTTTTGCCCTTGACTGATACATGCAGCGTTGTCTGAGAGCTTATGAGCAGGCTTGCTAAGGTGGACTCAAACCAACACCATTGTGCTGAGCAGGGATGTAGTCCAGTCCATCACAAGTCCAGTCACAAGTAATTCATGGGTCCATTCACAAGTTTAGTCACAGGTAACAGAGGATGAACAATAACAAAGGAATGTTATTGCCAAAGCTCATTCTGAGTAAGTTGTGAGTTGAATTGGGACTGGAGGATTTGTGCTGGACTTGCAGCACCACTGATGTTGACTAGGTCAGTGGTGTATCCAGAGCCCCCCCCCCTCCCCCCCCCCCCCCCGCGGATTTTTTTTGAAATAATTTTTTTTTCATACTTTTTTCATAAGTATTTCCATAAACAGTATTACGAGAGTTCTCACATCAACCCAAAAATGAAAACCACTTCAAAAACCATAACAATGGGCCGTGAAAATCGGCATAGATTTTCCAGTATGCACAATAATAGTCAGTTTTGAAGAGTGCCCCCATTTGGAAGATACATACATTTTGGCGCGGATGTGCCGTTGCCCCCCCCCCCCCCCCACCCCCACACCCAACATAAAAGCTGGATACGCTACTGGACTAGGCTATGTTATAAACCATTTGATTAGGAGCTTGCTAGGATTGGTGGTCTATCTGAAGATGATAAAACATTAGTATTGCAATCAATATCTCTTGGGGATTTAAGTAGGGTAGCTATAAACTCCAGCAAGCAAGTGGTTGGGATGTACAATGTATGCACCAATAATCAGGAGATTGTGGGTTTTGAAGGGTAAAACAAAGCTTATAATAGGTAAACAACTCTTCACAAGTCTTTGAAATATTGGTGTTGGTTTACAACATGTAATAATTATATAATGTTGGATGGCTTTGAGGAGAATACAAAAATATATTGCACGAGCAATAACAATTTGCACGAGTCCCAGACAAGTGCAATGTCGTTGTAGCAAGTGCAATATATTCTTGTATCCCACTAAAAGCCATCCAATATTATTATTATATTATATTGATATCAGGCTGACTAGATTCAAAAGAAAGAAATTTCATGACGCTGTCTTATAATAATCGCTGACTGCTTTCCTCACTTTCACATTAATGATAATTTAGAACTTGAACAAAATATCCACAAGCATTATGCCAAAAAAAAACTTCAGCTTCCTGTTACCCGACCAACCCTATTTTTAGGCTGCAACCCTAAAAATTTTATCGGCAAGTAAAAAAAAATAATAAAAATAAATCAATGAACAAATAAAAAAAATCCTGATGTCTTTTCTGTCTTCACAAAACACCTCTCAACAACCGTTTTGCCTAAAAAATGCTTGTATTTATTTGTTTGCCTACTTGCGCTCTTTTTTGGTTTTTACAAGTTCGCTTCGCGATGCGATAACTAGTTCGCAATTCGATGTTGCGGTGACAATATGAAACATGTGTGTTATAAATGCTGAATGCAGCGATGACTGGTTCCCGCCGCGCTGCGCACTGAAAGGCTAGAGAAGGCATGATGGAAATGCAGTTACCAGTCTATGCATGGGCCGGCCGCAGTGTACTGCAGTTGCAGGCCGCATCAGACATCATAAAATTGCGAAGAAAACACCAATGGAAAAAAGAAAACAATTGGCAAGTTAATTCACAGAACTTGATCTCTCTTGTCTGTGTATGTATTTTCCGTGTTGATGAATTTATTTCAAGGTCGTACTACTCGTATTTGAGTGATACGATGCAGCGTGTTTCCCCGAAATTTCCTACCGTAAAAACGAGATTATTTGCCCGCCACACACAGTGCATCACGCACGCTTTACCGAGCGATTTACGGACAGCATTGGCCAGTTTCCCGTCATGACTAGCGTTGTGCATATGGTGTGCACGACCTGAATTTTCCATTATTTTAAAGAATTATCGACCGGAAATATTTTGACAATAATTAAGGTAAGTTTTATCACTTTTTATGGCACTTTTTTGCACAGCTTTCGTAGTGCAATGGAAATAGTTCAGGCTGAAATTCGCATATAATTGAATACCCCATTCAATCAGCACAAAATTTTTTTTGAGAGGCATGTAATCGGAAGCAGATTTTTTTTTTTTGGCCTTAGCTTTTCCAGCGTCTCAAAATTTGTCAGTAGATTCTTCTTGGCCAGATGTGTTAGCAGAATATTTACTGTCACCTTGGTTGCATGTACCATGCACTAATCTCTGTTGACTGGTTGCAAACTGTGAGTTTCTACGGGCTTGATTGAGCGGGAATCAGCGAAATGCACGTTGATACCATAAATGCCCGAATGGCATGTACTTTTTCTGCAAGTATACAATAGGCAGGCGCGGACACTCAGGAATTTTGTGCATCGGCTTGTCTAGCTCCCAGACCTATATTCTTGAAACTCAATGGTTCTTGAGTCTGGAGTGCATGCTGAAAAGCAACACATAGCAACCAATAAATGGTGTGCAAATAAATGAAAACAAGGTATGTTTTCATCGGATGACATCACTCCGCCCTCAACCAATACACTGATTTATTTTTACTACTTCGAAGCCTGATATAAATAATAATATAAAATATGATACAATGGCCTTCGGTCTTGTCCATGTTTGGACTAGTGTGCTCCCATCATCATCAGCACCCTTGAGAGGGAGACTAGTCACTAGTCACTGTCAAACCTAGCTCTTTTGTTTAATTAGACACTATAGAAATTGCCTAAAGGTCTAGAGAAAAACTCTTTACAAATCCTACTGGCTTAAATTTCATGTAGCACATAAATTATCTCTCAAGATTTTTAAGGTGATAAATCTAAGACTCTAACCCAGTGATTTGGCAATATGCCTTGAAATTCCCACTTACCAAGTGTTCACTCTTTGAGTGCTTCACTCTGATATTTCCAGACACCAACCAGGCTGTCCCTGGCGTTTATTTTCACAACTCTTCAGCACTACATCAATTAGTATTGAAACTCTTGATCTATTTGAGAAATTCTATTTTCCCTTCATGATGATGCTTTGACTAATTGAATCTAATACAACAAACTTTTATATTATAAAAACATTTGTAAATATGTTTGCCAAATGTTTTTAAGAAAGTCCCCATCCAGGATAATTTGTCTGCAATTTTGAGGCTAGATTATAATTTTCATGACAATGTCCAGTTTTCCCCAGGTCTTTCCAAGACAGTTTAATTTGAAAATTTACAATTATTCAAGATTGTTGATGTGAAAGACCTAAGTATCAGGATGCCTGATATGATGCAAGCTACTGACGAACCTTAAAAAATACGATACTATTGAGCTCACTTTGTTTCCCAAAGATAGAGAATACTGGTCATGACAGGGTGGGTGATGTACAGCTGTGTTGCCATGTAATTCTTTGCTTCCAGCACAGCCTGTTGCCATGGAAACCATAACCGGCCAGCAGAGTGACTAAGTTTTTCTGGTAGTGGGATTCCAAGTCTTTCTCTTTCCTCAGAGTCTTTCAGGATATAATCCATGATAGCCTGACGTATACTGCTGGTGTAACAGGACTGTACCTCCTATGCAACAAAATTAACATCGAAGCAAAGGTTTTATGTTATAATTGTCCTGGGTCATTCCGTGCCATTTCAATGGGCCACGACACCATATGTCACAGATTTTGTTCAAACTTGGTGGCAAGATTCTGTTAGTTGTTCTATAGATGAGGTCCAAACCAAAAATTCAATTTGCTTTCCGTTGAACGGCAGCACAAAGTTCAATGAACTTTGCCAAAAACGGGGCATCTGACTGGCCCATAAACTAAATCGCTGTCTTTAAGGACCCATATCTTGAGAACAACTAACAGAAGCTTTCCACCAAGTTCGAACAAAATCTGTGACATATGGTGCCATGGCCCATTGAAATGGCATGGAATGACCCTCCTTTAAATATTTCTCCATGGCATTAACTGTTATGAAGTGTCAGCATCTTCATGCTGTCTTGCTTGTGTTTGTCTGATATCCTTTAGTGTACAATCATTATTCACCTTAATTTTATGTGTATGGGTCTTTCCATTATGACCTCAACCAGGCTTCTCATGGTGAACGACTCAGATTTGTCTTAAAAACATTCCAGAAGTATCATACTATGTATGATGAACGAGCAACTACCATTAGTCAACCAGTGGTTGATTTGTGATGTACATGTAGCTTATGGCGGTGTACTAAAAGTAACATACCAACACCTCTTAAGAAATTGAACATTGGTTGCTCATCACCAAAAGTGTCCCAGTAGTTTCCTGGCTTGTCACTCTAAATTACTGACATTTATCAAACTCAATATGAGTAAACTCTTCACTGTATTTTTGTTTGGGTGTTTGCTGGGTTGCTTGTTTGTTATTTTTTGTTTGTTAAATACATGTTGACTTCCAAGAAGTACCTGTTGATTACCAAGTCTGGTTGAATTTAACAGATTTTTTTCCTGGAAAATTAGAGATGTTATTTAAGAGAAAATAAACTGTTTTCTATAAGCAACTTACATCTGTGACCTCCTTGAGACAGGGTGCGAGATGCTCTACTTTGAGCTTCTTTGGGATGAATTGATGAATACCCCTCATACATTCCTTGCTTAGTGGTGCTATCATGGAGGGACTAATAGCATCCTTGATCAAAGTGAAATACCTGCAAACAAAACATTTCCAAAACTGAGAAGTTTGCTACACATGTCATGTCTTGTTTACTTTGTCTATTCAAGTGCCAGGAAGTCCAGCTTGTATTTTTGTCTGTTTTTAAGTGTTAATATGCTGTCTAACATGGACAACTGCAACAAAAATAATTACACAAAAACTAATAAACTATTGGTTAAAGGGAAAATACAACATTTGCAAACATCAAAAAATAAAACTACCAAATCATTTTGAAATACCTTGCTGGACTGTTAGTGAATGACAGTGTAAAGCATCCTGTAAAATCATGGCACCTGGTATACTGTCATTTTCAAGAAAAGTGGTATTTTTGTATCAATTTCCAACGCTGATCGGCCGATCAGCGTTGGAAAAAACTGGCTTTTTTTCAAATACTGGCCCCAGTTGACCATCGCACTTGTTTGCAATCGATTACACACCTATGAACGGGTACAAGCCAGCTAGACTGGTTCCCTGACCTTACAATTCCCCAATGTATGTAAACTGCTCTGTTTCTTCTTAAATGGAGTCAGGGAACCAGACTACAGGAAAATGATTGTTTTTCTTGGTTTTTATAGCATTTTTGAACCCAAAACCTCAAAAAAGTCAGTGTAACTATATTTGCTATATATTTCCAACCCCCCAATTCCATTAATTTCTGAAAATTACAGCAAAAGCAAATGATGTATATTCCCTTTAAACAAAAATAATTACACACAAACTAATAAACTGTTGGTTTTGTGGCTTGTTAGACTTGTTTCTGAAATTTTAAATGCGAATTTTGAAAATTTGGCAAGGATAAATAGTTATCACAAACATTTTTCAATCTTAATTATGTGAAAGCTGTCACTCATCGGTCTTATATTAAAAACAAAATGTCCTGAATGCAGAGTGTTGTCAGTTTGTTTTGTATTTGAATAATTATGATTTCATGTATTTCTCAAGGAGCCAGGTATCTGTCTTTGCTTATGCCTCGAACCACCATTCACCATCTTCTGTAAATTTTAGGTTTTAGGTTTTCATTGTAGTGCATGCAAAAAACAACAATCAAACCTAAAGAAAAAAAGGAAACTAGAACCTTTTACAAACCCGTTTGTAAACCTGTTTGTAAGCATGAAAACATCTGAGTGATTTTGGGATTACCTTGGTTGATCTTGTTCTTCTGGTGTGGCAGGCCTGGTCAGGCCATGGGTGGAAGTAGTGTAGGGTGGGAATACTACTTGTAAGACAACTTGCGTAGCTTCATCATGGTCTCGTTGGGTGTGGCTTGGTGACTTGGGAAGGGCGTGGCCATTTACAAGCCTTGTTGGGGTGTCTAGAATAAAGACATTTCAAACATCAAATTAGAATTTCTTTACAAACACAATAGTAAATTTATGTCATTCAAATTGGTGAATATTATATATTAATTTATTTGCTCATGTGGAGTAAATCTGAAACATAGTAGCTTTTCAAGCAGACACTTACCATTATGCTGTTCTGAGTTGACTAGATTGATTGGTGGAATAATATGAGGGGCTGATCCAAGACCTGACGGTGGTGTACCCTGAATACTGTTGAAGCTTCCCCTTCCACTATCCATAGGAATGCTGACTAAATGGTCTGGTCCTGTTCCTGCTGATGAAGCCCCTTCATCCCTTCCATTTAATGGTACACTCCGATCAATACTGACAACTGACTGTCTAGGACTGACAGGTGGGGTCGGACCATTGATAGGAGGGAGAGGTTGAGAGGAGGAGATGGCAGAGTGAGTTGTCTTGGCACTTGTTGGCCGGGGGCTCCATGGATCAGTTTGCCTGTGTCTTGGTGACTCCCTAGGACTGCTGAAAGATTCAATACAAGCACAATTGACTTCAGTCTCTTACAAATGAGAATTCATTATTAACTCTTGTAAATCAGGAACTTGTTAACCTTTTAGTGACCACAAGTTTCTCAATGTTTGTCTTCTATGCCTAGGGTATTTTTAATCGACAAAACACCTGTAACTTTATTTTCATGTGGAAAAAGACAAAACAACATACTTGAAATGAAATATTTTGGGGATCTCAACAGCCACTATGAACATTTTAGTTCTGGCTACTTTTGGCCAATGCAGTCACTTCCTTTTCACTAAAGAGTTAAAAGCCAAGGGTATAACAGATACTTTGTGAAGATTTATATATCCAAATTTTTTTCATTCCCAAAATTACAAACACAAATGAGACCTATGAAATCCACAACCAACATTTTAACCCTTTCGCTCCATTAAGGCAACAAACAAATACTATTGCAATATCCATATTGCTTGCATCATTGGCAAAAGAGAGCTTCAGGTGCATGCCTTCTCAGTGATTTTAAGCACCATTTTAAGCACCCTTAAGCACTGTCCGCACTGGACTGTTTTTGATAAAGCTTACCGAGACTGTGGATACTTTTCTCATTTTAAGTCCAGTGCGGACAGCCTGGGACGTTTTCCTCTCAGAACCCGTTCCCACTTGATCCACCAATTGGGGATCTGATCCACCTTTTGCCAAATTGCCGGATCAGATCCCCCAATTGGTGGATCAGATTCGGCAATTGTGTGTAGTGGGAATGCTAACCAGGATCCAATCCACCTTTCTTGATCCACCTCTGGACCAGGATACAGATCCCCCAATTGGTGGATCAGATTCGGCAATTGTGTGTAGTGGGAACGCTAACCAGGATCCAATCCACCTTTCTTGATCCACCTCTGGACCAGGATACAGATCCCCCAATTGGTGGATCATCAGATCCGGCAATTGGCGGATCACGATCAAATGGGAACGCAATAGGTGGATCTGATGCGGCAATTTGACCTGTCAACATCCGCCTGCTGCACGAGTGGCGCGAAAATGTTGCGGTCTTATGAACGAAGAAACACGTTTTTAGGCATGTAGCTCATGTGAAAATTTGCAATGTGCAAAATATGCACAATAAACAACCGCTGAACTACGGGCTAGCACCGCGAATGCACGATGCATGCATGCATGCAGCGCACGTAGCTTATCCTAAAAGTAAACTACGCCAGGCCTTTTACAATTTTCGTTGTGTATTCATCAATTTCTAAACCTTTTTCATTTGTGAAATTTTACTCATGTTTCCATCCATAAATTACTTTGTGTTAGTGTAAAGCCCGCACTCATTAAAACACGTTACTTTGGCACAGAATCATGGAAAAGCTTACGAGAATGCGATGAGAATACAGCCGATAACGCGGTACGAACTGAGGTGACAAATCTCTAGTACTGATTATAGAAGATTGAAAAATGACGTCGTAGTACATCATGTGACCATTTTTAACCAATGATAAGCTTCAGAACCAGGGAATCCCTTATTGATGCATTGGTTTCTGCCGCGCGAATGTGGCGTCGCACAATAAGCGGTGCTGTTCGATTTCACCAATTAATTCATGCACGGATCCTCTATACGGATCCGTGATTTATGTCGGTGAATTTGCGTAAGTTATGTCGGTGAATTTTGATATCACTGCTTGAAAATTGACCTGTCATAGCATGCAACACTTTCGGACTAGACATTTCCGTTCAAAAAGGTGGATCAAGCATAAGTGGGAACGCGACTTGCAGTTTCGTTGGGAACGCAGTGTCAGTTACTTTTCCTCTCAGTTGCTTTTATGGGCGCAGGGAGGTGTGCCCATAGTGTCGAGTAATAAAATAGTTAACTAACAAATAACCTACATTTTTTCAGCAAAGAGTAAAAATCCTCTAACACATTGTGCCTTCATGTTTGTCTGTTTTTGCCATTTGCAGCAAAGATGGCAAATATTTGTCATGGTGCTTAGTGGCAGTGACAACATATTCCCCAAGAGTTGCTCTTCACAAATGTTTACTTTTAGGACCCTCTGGGCAGGCTTACTAGAGGTGCTCCTTCTGTGATATTTAGAGGTGCTAGAGGGGGTAAACCTCTCCTCTGTGTCCCTATGAATAGGCCCTCCTTGATAATATCAGCCTTCCCAATCTGCATATAACGGTTTCATGGTTGATGGCTCTATAAGCCTTTTCACTATTTCAATTGCGTGTGGACACATCAGATCCAATCAAGTCTATATGGGGGATGGGGTAACCGAATCCACATTTTACTGAAACAAAAGTTTCCATCTTCTAATCAAAAAGAAGATGAAAACTTTTGTTCACACAAAAGTTGGAGCATACAAAACATCTTTAAAATCTTTAACCATGGATTTCATTGGTACCCCGCTAAGAATTTGCACGGTGTGGCGAACTGTTTCTCTCTCAAAACTAAATCGTTGAATCTGATGTGCACATGTGTACTGAAATTGCAAAAATGCTTATTACTAATTCAATGGTACTGATGATCAATTCCAATACAGATAAGTATGTCAATTAACAGCAAAATACAATGTTCAGCAGTACAGACTCTAAAGATTCAGGAATTAAAAATGGAAACATGCATTGTCAGCCTTGTTATTACTTGGGTCAATATTGGTCAAGACCCCCGTTGGTTTGTCACACAGCTGGCCAGGAGGTGAGGAAGAAAATTTGACCATTGGTGACCTCTTAAATAATAGGAGGGTTAGCTAAAGACTACTAACACCGCGTTCCCACTTGAATTGGGAAAAGGTGGATCAAGATCCTGCATTTTGGTGTGATCGTTATCTTACCGCAACGAAACCGCAAGACGCGTTCCCACTTATGCTTGATCCACCTTTTCGTACGGAAATGTCGGGTCCGAAAGGTCACTGAGTTCGGAATTACGCGCGCTCTGTGGGAGTGCCATTGTTGCATGGTTGCGTGCTAGACCAGGATGGGTCAGTTTTCAAACAGCACTATCAGAATTCACCGACAAAAATTACGCGAATTCACCAACATAAATCACGGATCCGTAGAGGACCCGTGCGTGCATAAATTAACAGGTGAAATCCAACATATCAGAGCCGCTCATTGTGTGACATCACGGCAGAAACCAATGCATCGATGAGGGATTCCCTGGTTCTGAAGCTTCTCATCGGTTAGAAACGGTCACATGATGTACTACGACATCATTTCAAATTTTCTATAATCAATACTTCAGATTTGTCACCTCAGTACGTACCGCGTTATCGGCACTATTCTCATCGCATACTCGTAAGCTTTTCCATGATTCTGTGCCAAAGTGAAGTCTTTTGGTGAGTGCGGACTCAGAGCCATTTATGGATGGAAAAATAAGTAAAATTTCACCAATGAAAAAAGGTTTAGTAATGGACGAGCACGCAACAAAAATAAGGCCTAGTGTAGTTTTAGGATACCACGTGCGCTTTTGCATGCGCGGTGCTAGCCCGTAGTTCAGCGGTTGTTTATTGTGCATGTTGTATACGCTGGAAATGTTCACATGAGCTACACGCCTTAAAACGTGTTTCTTCGTTCATGAGACCGCAACATTTTCGCGCCACTCGTGCACCGGGCGGATGTTAACAGGTCAAATTGCCGGATCAGATCCACCTTTTGCGTTCCCATCTGATCGTGATCCGGCAATTGCCGGATCTGATCCACCAATTGGGGGATCTGTATCCTGGTCCAGAGGTGGATCAGAAAAGGTGGATCTGATCCTGATCCACCTTATAACGGTTAGCGTTCCCACTACACACAATTGCCGGATCTGATCCACCAATTGGGGGATCTGATCCGGCAATTTGGCAAAAGGTGGATCAGATCCCCCAATTGGTGGATCAAGTGGGAACGGGGTCTAAGACTCATGTACTACACATTTATACAACATGTCATTGGACAACCTCAAAATATTCATTTTAGTAGACTGCATTTATCTGACAAATTTCGCAAAAATTGATATTCACATTGATGTTCAAATGTTCCATGGAGTTCAAAGCATTTTATCTACATGTACATCATGTCTAAAAAAAGAAGCAGGCAAACAACACTTTTTTTTGAGGAAACTAAATCCTTTTTTTTATCAAAACATACCATGAAATGATAGAATGTTTCTTCACCCTTGACAGGATTTTTGTGATTTGGACCTTTTGTTTTAAAGTTACAGCAAAGCCTGCAAAGACAAAGAGTGTCAAAATCTGTTTAGGCCACTTTTCAGATTATCTGGTATCTAATCAAAGGAAAATGTGAATGCCTTTCATTAGATACCCCGGTACCAGATTATTTGAAGAAGGGCCCAACTTGGAATTCAAGTCCTTTCGTTTAATTCTGTATCTCTGGACTGGGGTCTCAAAATGAGATGGGCCAAAGAGTATTGTGTAGAATATTTATTACAAAAGATTCTACAGATTCGTTTTGCAAAAAGAGAGTGCTTTTAAAGTATTTTTAGTATTTATGGGTTGACTGCTACACTCTTTAGTGACACACACCGTACATGTTCTTCTAAACAAACCATGTAAACAAACCATGCTGTCACTGCATTTGCCCTAGAGTAAGCACACACTTTGAACCAATTGTCTATTTAAGTTGACTTCGCCCCTTGGGCTTTGAGCCATAAATAGAATAACACCCTTCACAGTCTTCTCCCTGAAGTAAGACTCAATATTGACAAATCCTGGCCTTCATGAATTACTAACTCCCAAGTGAAGCTTATAGTGGGAAAGGGATTAAATCACACAGAGTGGGGGAACTTCTCCACTGTAGTATGGGACGGATGGTAGAGTTTGAGCTATAGTTACTTGGTTCATGCAGGAAGGGTTGATAAGACTGGGAGCATTTACTAAGATGGTCAATGGGAAAGGAAATGGAAGGGGCAGCTCAATCTACTGACTACATGTACAATTACAAACCATTACTGTATGCACGTCACTGCATTCAAAAATTGGAGATGCATTCATGCATTTTTGCATGAAATAGGCCTA